AAAAGGAAAAATTAAAAATTGAGAAACTGAAAAATCGAAGAAAGAAAAATTGAAATATTGAAAAATTGCCAAATTGAAAAACTAATGCAAACTGAAAAATTGAAGGAACGAAAAATTGAAAATTTTGGAAGTCGAGAAATTGTAAAATTGAAAAATTAAAAATCAAAACGAAAAATTACAAAATGAAAACTTGAAAAATCTTAAGAATCGAAAAAGTGAAAAATTAAAAAAAAAAAGAAATAGGTATTATGAAATAGAAATATTGAAAATTAAAGAAATTGGAAAATCGGCAGACTGGAAATCCAAAAACTGCAAAGTGAAAAATTTAAAAATTGAAAAATGGACGAATTGAAAATTCAAAGCCTGAAAATTTGAAAAACTGAACAAATGAAAAATTGTAAAATCGAAAAAAAACACAGAAAATAAAGAAAATGAAAAAACGGACAGTTGTGATATAAATCGAGAAAATAAAAATTAAAAATTCGCCACATTGAAAAAAAAATCGGGAACATGAAAAATTGTTGAAACGAAAAATTGAGAAACTGAAAATTCGTGAAATTGACGAAACGAAAAATTGAAAAATCGAAAGAAACAACAAGAAATAGAGGAATTGAAAAAATGAAAATTTGTGACATAAAAGCGAGAAAACGAAAATTGAAAAATCGAAGCATAAAGCTGTCGAAAATTTGAAAAATCTGAAGTTTAACGAAAAATTGAAAATCCAAAAAGTAAAAAAGGAGTGGAAACCCAAAAACTGCAAACTGAAAAATTTAAAAATTGGAAAATCGACGAATTGGAATCGATTGGCCTGAAAATTTGAAAAATTGAATAAACGAAAAATTGGAAAATCGAAAGAAACAACAAAAATGAAGAAAATGAAAAAACAAAAAATTGTGATATAAAATCAAGAAAATGAAAAATAAAATATCAGGAAAGTGCAAAATAAAAATCGGTTAGTTGAAAAATTTAGGGTACGAAAAAGGGAAAAAATAAAAATCGAAAATGTGAAAAATGGAAAAATGAGAAATTGTAATACTGAAAAATTGGAAAATTTGGAAGTTGACAAACTCTAAAATTGAAAAATCAAAAATAAAAAAACGAAAAAGTGTATAATAAAAACTTGAAAAATGTAAAAAGTGAAAATCAAACTTGAAAATTTGAAGAAAAATTGAAAAAACCTGAAAATTTGAAAAATTGAATAAACGAAAAATTGTAAAATCGAAAGAAACAACAAAAAATAAAGGAAATGAAAAAACGAAAAATTGTAATATAAAATCGAAAAAGTGAAAATTAAAAAATCGGGAAAATGAAAAATAAAAATCGGAAGCAGAAAATAGGATAAGGAAAAAATTAAAAAGTGAGAAACGGAAAAATCGAAAAGTGGAAAACTGTAATATTGAAAAATTGCCAAATTGAAAAACTGATGCAAACCGAAAAATTGAAGGAACAAAAAATTAAAAATTTTGGAAGTCGAGAATTTGTAAAATTGAAAAATCAAAAATAAAAAACGAAAAATTACAAAATGAAAACTTGCAAAAATCTTAAGAATCAAAAAGTGAAAAATAAAACAAAAGAAATATGTATTATGAATTAGAAATATTGAAAATGAAAGAAATTGGAAAGATTGGAAATCCAAAAACTGCAAAGTGAAAAATTTAAAAATTGAAAAATGGACGAATTGAAAATTCAAAGCCTGAAAATTTGAAAAATCGGATAACTGAAAAATCGAAACATCGAAAAATTGGAAAATCGAAAAACCGAGAAAATGAAAAATAAAAAAATCGGGAAAATAAAAATAAAAATCGAGAACTTGAAAAATTGAGGAAACGAAAAATTGAAAATGACAAAAATTAAAAACTGAGAATGTGAAAAATCGAAAAATGAGAAACTGTAATATCGAAAAATTGCAAAATTAAAAAATTGCAACTCGAAAAATTGAAAAATTTGGAAGTCAAGAAACTGTAAAATTGAAAAATCAAAAATAAAAAAATTAAAAAGTATATAATGAAAACTTGAAAAATGTCAAAAGTGAAAATCAAACAAGAAAATTTGAAGAAACGAAAATTTGAAAAATCGACGAGTCGAAACTCCAGAGTTTAAAAAAATTTAAAAATCGGATAACTGAAAAATCGAAACATCGAAAAATTGGAAAATCGAAAAACCGAGAAATCTAAAAATCGAAACATCTAGAAATACAAAAAAAATGAGAAATTAATAAATTGAGAAATTGAACAATCAAAACATCCAAACATCTGAATTCGATAAATCGAGAAATAAAAAAAAAGAAAAATTTTAAAAAAGAAAAATTAAAACATCGAAAAGTTGGAAAAAAATTGAGAAATCGATGTATAAAACTGTCGAAAATTTGAAAAATCTAAAGTTTAACGAAAAATTGAAAAACCAAAAAGTAAAAAAGGGGTGGAAACCCAAAAACTGCAAACTGAAAAATTTTAAAATTGGAAAATCGACGAATTGGATCGATTGGCCTGAAAATTTGAGAAATTGAATAAACGAAAAATTGGAAAATCGAAAGAAACGACAAAAATTAAGGAAATGAAAAAACAAAAAATTGTGATCTAAAATCAAGAAAATGAAAAATAAAAAATCAGGAAAATGCAAAATAAAAATCGGGGCGTTGAAAAATTTAGGGGACGAAAAAGGGAAAAATTAAAAATCGAAAATGTGAAAAATGGAAAAATGAGAAATTGTAATATTGAAAAATTGGAAAATTTGGAAGTCGACAAACTCTAAAATTGAAAAATCAAAAATAAAAAAACGAAAAAGTGTATAATAAAAACTTGAAAAATGTAAAAAGTGAAAATCAAACTTGAAAATTTGAAGAAAAATTTAAAAAACCTGAAAATTTGAAAAATTAAATAAACGACAAATTGTAAAATCGAAAGAAACTACAAAAAATAAAGGAAATGAAAAACGAAAAGTTGTGATATAAAATCCAAAAAAAGTGAAAAATAAAACAAAAGAAGTATGTATTATGAATTAGAAATATTGAAAATGAAAGAAATTGGAAAGATTGGAAATCCAAAAACTGCAAATTGAAAAATTTAAAAATTGAAAAATGGACGAATTGAAAATTCAAAGCCTGAAAATTTGAAAAATCGGATAACTGAAAAATCGAAACATCGAAAAATTGGAAAATCGAAAAACCGAGAAAATGAAAAATAAAAAAATCGGGAAAATAAAAATAAAAATCTAGAACTTGAAAAATTGAGGAAACGAAAAATTGAAAATGACAAAAATTAAAAACTACGAATGTGAAAAATCGAAAAATGAGAAACTGTAATATCGAAAAATTACAAAATTTAAAAATTGCAACTCGAAAAATTGAAAAATTTAGAAGTCAAGAAACTGTAAAATTGAAAAATCAAAAATAAAAAAAACTTGAAAAATGTCAAAAGTGAAAATCAAACATGAAAATTTGAAGAAACGAAAATTTGAAAAATCGAATGATTAAAAATTGAAAAACTTAAAATTCGAAAAAGTGAAAAATAAAAAAAAAGAAATATGTGTTGTAAAATCAAAATATTGAAAATTAAAGTAATTGAAAACTTGGAAGACTGGAAATCCAAAATCTGCAAATTGAAAAATTTTAAACGTGGAAAATCATGGAATTGAAAAATCAAAGCCTGAAAATTTGAAAAATTAAATAAATAAAAATTGTAAATCGAAAGAAACAACAAAAAAATAAAGAAAATGAAGAAACCAAAAATTCTGATATAAAATCGATTAGTATATTCGCTAGATGGATCTCTTTACTGCGTGATCAGCAAAAAAATCTCTAAATCGAATCTTACAATTATCAGACAAAACTAAATATGTTATACCGGACTTCAAGAGCTGAGAAGGAAAGCGCTGTCTAAATAACTTTACACCAATTTTCATAATTCAACAATTTACATAGAGTATCAAAAATAAAACACCGATAGCTTTCGAATAATCTTGAATGTGTTGTGCTATTTTTTTTTTAATTGCACCAATATTGTCTATTTTGACAAAATGACGAAAGAATCGAAACTTTGGAAACATTACGAGCTTACTTACATGTACAAGGCAGGAACTTTGAACATCTGATTTTGATGTTGTCGAATATCTAATCGAATTTGAAAAATAATTGCAGAAAATTTTGTCTCAAAAAATTATATAAATATAAAAAGGAGCTTGAATCTAATTACCCATTTAAGATTTTTTTGCACGTTTATATTAAATCCCGATAAGTTTATTTTTACCGAAATGACTATATTAAATTTTTGTTTTTAGTTATAGTTGGTTTATTAAAGTAAAATCCAAGAATGTACTATCTCCGCACGAATAAATTACTTAGCCCAGCTTCAGCTTCCGGCTAAATTTAGATTATGCGAACAAGCAACACAGTCGTTTATCTTGCCAAAACCGCCCGAAAATATCGCCCCCTCCCTCCATCCGAACGACAATTACCCCGGAACCCTCAGGTGGAGCACTTTTGAAGCAGACAATCGCACAAACTTGGCAAACTTTTATGAATTATGGTCGCGTAGTGGTGTCAGTTGTAAATAAATTTATATGAAGGGAAATACGAGGAAATTAACAATTTATGGCCCTATCTAGGAATCCATTTTGTGCCATCTTCCTGACTGCGCCTTTTGTAACGTGAATAATTTCTCTTGATACGGCTTTCCAACTTGCCTCTCCCGTCCTGTACGAATGGAAGGTCGTAAAGGTGGCGGCACACGAGTCTGTCTAAATAATTCATATTTCGCCAAATTTGCTATTAAATCCATTGATCGTCTTGTCGGAGTTGGAATGGCACATTAGGGAAGTTCTGTGTGCTCAAAGTCCACCATCTAGGCGACAATACAGCGCTATTGTAATCACTTCAAGAAACTTTGCTTTCCAAATTCGGAGTTGTGGAGGGGTGGTTGGATTGTGGGGGCGGAAAGATGTTTGATGCGGGGTGGAAAATTACATGCTAGAGTAGAAACGTCGGGAGAGGTTTACTCACAAAATAAAAACGACGTCAGTCTTGGTATATTTACATAAATAAATAATTTAAAACTATAAGTAAAATAAATAGTGAAGACGTGGTTCGAGTGGTACTATCACCACCTTTGGAATAATCGTCATCGTCATCACCGTCACTGTCATCATTCCCACCAGAATTATTACCATCAGTCTCGAAAATAAACGTCCTAATTTGCATGGGCTCTAAGGTCACCGTTTTAGTTACACCAACTTCTGAGTCCTCTAGAAACTCGTTAGCACCTAAAGAAGTTTCTCTAATTTTTGTAATTGAAAATAAAGTGAAAAGTTTCTAAAAAACAAAACACCTTTAGTACGGCACAATCCACAATCAAAGACTAACATTAAGATCAACCGTCACAGGTTTCGACAACTCTTCATCTTCACCCCGTTCCAAAATATGTTCAAGCCTTAGTAAATAACTGTCAATCCAAGGTTCCAAAGTCAATATATGGACATTCTGAGGCAGCGACGCCGTCAATCCTTCAAACTAACCCCCAATGTAACAAAATAATTAAAACAGTACCCCATACCATTGTTTAAGTATATTATAGTTGGACAACCTACAAATTTTACTTCACCTAAATAGTGAGCTTTAGGACAAGGAATCCAGGGGGCGTAGGACAAACTTTTCGTCAACGCGCATTTTCACTACAGTGAGCCAACGTATTAGGTTTATTTTACTCTACATCAGATGGCGCCATCAAACATTAGCAAAGGCAAACACCCTTCGCTCTGCTCTTATACGAGGAGTTATCCATAAATCCATAATTAACATTGTTCCGTAAACAGTAATGTGTATAAACATATGTGTACAAAATATGAAAATCTACTTGACATAAAAAATATGAAGCAACGCGCTGTAACGTGATACGAAAGAATTGTATTTAAATGAATTTGACGCCTATTTTTATTTGACTATATCTGAAAACTGACAGAAACTTTCCAAGGGTTTTTAAACTGATATATACTTGTCCAAAAGGTATAAGGTTATATGACCATCATAAAAGTAGTTGACCGCAAATAAATACCCCCTTTGTGTGGTTCGCACTAAGCTTACCGGTTGGCAATAAATCCTCTTCTAAACAATTCTTGCTCACATTTAACAGGGCCGGCTTTCAAAGCGAGTGGTTATTTCAGAACCCTCAGCGGCTGCAGGTAGTAAAGAAATAGTGGAGTGGTGGATTTTCATATTTAGTGAAAGCCGCTCCTGAACGAAACCACAACAGCCGGTCGAGCTGCAAAGGGCACGTTATTTACGACCCTAAAATCTTTTCTATTGTAAACAACTTAACTTCGACACAATGGGATGATTTTATGATGGCCATATAACCTTATAGCTCTTGGTCCACTATACAATAGTATATTCCCCGTTTACGGTTTATGCATCCGTGTCGAGTTTTCACCTTGGACGTCAAGATTTTTGGAAAAAAAATCAACATTTTCCAATTTATAATATTATTTAAATTTTAAAAAATAGCATAGTCCTGATCTTGTGACTTATACCTAAATACGCTATTAGGATTTTTCGGCTTGTCGATTTCTCGATTTTTCAACTTTAAATGTCTCAATTTTTCAATATTTCAATTTTGGGCTTTTTCGATTCTTCCATTCTTCGAATCTTGTATTTCACGATTTTTTTATTTTTCGATTTCTCAATCTTTCGATGTTTCAATGATACGATTTCTCAATTTTTGTCCTTTTCAATTTTATGGTTTTTAAATATTTCGATTTTTCAAATTTTCACGTTTCAAAATTTTCAGTTTGCCGATTTCTAAAGTATTTTTTTATTTGTCCATTTCTGGACTTCCTAAAGTTTCGATTTTTCACATCTTCAATTCTTCAATTTTTCGATTTTTTAAGATTACGATTTTTCGATTTTGCTTTTTTAGATTTTCGATTTCTCAATTTTCCAATTTTTTAATTTGTCAATTTTTTGAATATTTCTTTCAGTTATGAAATTTTTCAATATTTCAATTTTTCGATTTTACGATTTTTGAATTGATGGATTTATTTTGATTTCCCGATTTTTTACTTTTTAGATTTTCAATTTATTGTAAACTTTAGATTTTTCAATTCTGCGACTGTTTAATGCTTCGATTTCTCAATTTTTCAACTTTTCGATGTTTTAATATTTCATTTTTTAAAATTCTAGGTTTTTTGATATCTCGAGTTTTCAGTTCTCCTATATTTCAATTTTTCAATTTTTCGATTTTCCAGTTTGTCTTTTTTAAAATTTTTCGATTATTCATTCTTTTAATTTCTCAATTTATCGAATTCAGATGTTTTGATTTTTCAATTTCTCAATTTTTCAATTTTTAACTTTCCTTTCCGGCTTCCGACTCTTTTTTCGATTTCTCGAAGTCTCAGTTTTTGAATTTTTCGATGTTTCGATTTTTGGATTTCTCGGTTTTTCGATTTTTTTCTTTTGAGCTTTTCAATTTCTGGATTTTCCAATTTTTCAATGTCCCGATTTTTCAATTTTTCAAATTGAATTGGATTTCTCGATTTGCGATATTTTAATTGTTCAGTGTTTTAAATTTTAGTTTTTCGATTTCTCGATTTTTTGACTTTTCAGTTCTTCAGTATCTAAATTTTTCAATTTTTCAAATTTTTGCGTTAAATTTTCAGTTTTCTGATTTCTCAATTCATCTATTTTTGATTTTCTCACTTCTCAAAGTTTCGATTTTTCAGTTCTTCAATTCTTCGATTTTTGACTTCGCTTTATTGGTTTTTCGATTTCTCAATTTTTGGATATTTCTTTCAGTTATGATATTTTTCAATACTTCGATTCTTTGATTTTTCCACTTCCAGATTTTTCTAGTTTTTATTTTTGGATTTTCAGTTTTTTGTTTTCTATACTTCAGATTTTTCAATTTTTCGATTGTTTTATATTTCAATTTCTCAAATTTTCAACTTTTCCATATTTTAATTTTTAAATTTCAAGATTTTTCGGTTTCTCGAGTTTCCAGTTCTATAATTTAATTCTTCAAATTTCCGAATTTTTTAATATCTCCTCGATTTTTTTGTCTTTTGATTTTACGATTTCTCGATGTCTCAATTTTTGAATTTTACAATGTTTCGATTTTTCGTTTGTTGGTTTTTTGATTTTTTGCTTTTCGGTTTCTCAATTTTTCGATGTTTCGATTTTTGATTTATCCGATTTTTCAATTTTCTAATGTTTTAAATTCTCGTCTTCTCGATTGTTTGATTTTTCAGTGTTTCGATTTTTAAATTTTAGATTTTCGAATTTTTATTTTTTTCATTTTTTAATGTTTGGATTTCTCCATTTTTCAGTTTTAAGATATTTTAACTTTTCAGTGTTTTAAATTTTAGATTTTTCGATTTTTCAGTTCTTCAATATTTTTTAATTTTTCAAATTTTGACGTTTCTGAATTTTAGTTTTCGGATTTCTCAATTAATCAATTTTTTTAGATTCCCATTTATCCACTTCCTAAAGTTTCGATTTTTCACTTTTTCAGTTCTTCAATTTTTCGATTATTCAGGTTTTTGATTTTTCAATTTTTAGATTTTTTAAGTTTGCGATTTTTCGACTCTGCTTTTATGACTTTTCTGTTTCTCAATTTTTTAATTTCCTAATTTTTTGATATTTCGTTCAATTTTGTGATTTTTCAGTTTTTCGATTTCTTAATTTTAACTTTTCAATTTTTAAATTATTAATTTTTTTCGATTTTTTGAGTTTTCAGTTCTTCTATATTTCAATTTTTCAATTTTCAGAATTTTTAAATTTTCGGTTGTCCAATTTTTTTTAATTTTTCTATTGTTCAATTTCTCGATTTTTAAATTTTAGATTTTCCAATTTTTATTTTTTTGATTTTTTTAAGTTTCGATTTCTCGATTTTGCACTACATATACATATATTACATATATGTAAAGTCTTCAACACGTACGTTTGCTTATTTTGTGACTGCTCCCCGTACAACGTACTGATTAATACGTCCGTTTACTACCTTATCGACATCACGTGCTTACAGACTATTTTTACCCCCTTTCGTAAGGTACCGCCACTTCATAGTGAAGCGAGTGAGATGTAAAATATATATTCATTCTTTTCTACATGGGAAAGTGATTGTCCGTATAGGTTGCCCAACTATAATATACTTAAACAATGCCCATACCTTGAACTCCAGCAACCCCTGAATTTTTTCCAAAGTCAGTCCCTCGGTACTAACATCAGCGAGTAGCACCAAAGGCGACAAAAGTACCTCTTCTGCTAAATTTCTTTCAAAAGCGGCTGTACCATTTGCTTCGGTACTACCAAACGTCAGAAAATGTCTCCCTCGTGCGTACAACCCTTGCCCGTACTGTTTTTCATTTAACGTTTCACCCACACCCAAACCATCATCTTGTGTCAACCTCCGGTGAAGCATCAATTCTATGCTCCCTTCTGTCAAACTGGTACCACCCTGGGCACGATCATTCAAAACCGCCATTTGGAACTTGTTCGTTTCGTCCTTAATCCCGATTTTTGACGTCACAGGGTAGTAATTACCGGTGACAGGGGAACTCGAGGGGTCGTACGAGTAATCGTTTCGGTGGTTCAACTGACGTTTTATCATTTCTCGACCGTTTGAATCAGTGTAAAAGGTTTCATTGTTGTTGAAATCTTGAATGGTGTACCTTGTGACTAGTTCTTTCCCGTAGGAATCAATGCTACGACAATATTGTCAAACAATGACGATTAGAGATAGTACTTACTATTGTAAGTTTCCGACTAGCCAGTCAAATTCGATGTAGGCGTCATTTTCGCCCTTATAGACTCTTGTAATTTGGGTAACTTCTGTATTAATGACTTGGTGGTACTCGTCGACGAAACTTCCTAAAGCGTAAGTACCTACCTTACTAGCAATCGGTGCAGCTGCTTTGTCATACGGTCTGAACAAATAAGCGCCTGAAGATGTCGTACGATAGGTGAGAAACTCTTGATTGACTTGACGTGTGATTCCTTTAATAGTCACCGACTTGACTTTACCACTCGCGTAGTCAACGATGAAACCATTGCTCTGAAAAATGTAACCAATTTTTGAAATTCTTCCAAATGGTACTAACCTTGGTCCCGAAATACAAATCCTCTGTCAATTTTTTAAAAGGCTTAAACCGTTTAGACAAAGACGTTTTTTCAACGTAGTAAAGTTTCACACCAAGTGGTGGCAAATTTCTAGCCGCAAAAACCAGTTCTTTGGACGCAATTTTTGCCCTGACATAGTCAAACTTGTGGATGCTTTCAAAAACGTCGAAACTTTCTTCACCGTCAGGTCCTGTTATTTTAAAACCGTCACTATTGACAGGAAGACGAACGTAATGAGTCACACTTCTGGACAGAGGGTTTTGGACAACAACCACAAAGCGTTCTTTTTGGGAATTGTCACACACGGTGATGTTGGTCAATAAGCACGAAGAAAAATTTAGGTTCAGGTTTGGTGAACCGTTTTTCCCTAAAAGAGTTCTACAATTCGTCGTTAGTAGTACCACTACTAGAAAAAGTACTTACGTTATTATTTCACTAAGTGGTTCTTCGGCTTTTTTGATCGCGCTGTCAAGCAGTTTGGCATAGTCATTGGCAACGAATTGTTTTTCGGTACCAGTGATGGCGTCGTGGTGTTGCAGCACACCCATAGCTTGTCTCAAGTCTAGAGTGTAGATATCATGGTCTTGGTCCTTGATTCGTGAAAAAGTGGCCAATTGTTTGACGCTTTGGAGTACCTTGTTGCCTATTCTTTCAAACCGTTTTAGTGTGGGTCTGGAGGTAAAATAGCCCGTCCAGTACGAATTAGAGTTAGATGCGTACGGAAAAAAGTCGTCGGTTTTTTCCTCTAGAACTATAGATTTTTGACGAACTTCGTCCTGGACGGCTTTGATGTAGCAAGAAGGGGTTGAGTAGAACACGTTGTAAGTTTGGTGGTTTTGGAAACCCCTGAAAGACAATAGTAGCTACTTGGTGTATATATATATATAATATTGAAAGTACTACTTTATGAGTTTGTCCATATTTTTGAAGTTCCTTTCGGCCACTTGATACGTGAAGTCGTTGCCCATGGGCATCATGATATTAGAAGTTTGGTAATATTTTCTATACGTGTCTAAAATTTTGGCAAAGCCGTTAACCTTGTCGTTTAAGTTCGAGTCTTCTATGGTATTCCCATGCAAGACGTCGAACCTATATCCAGGCTCGTCTACGTAAAAATCGGGAAACATGGTGGTGAAAAGCTCCGAGTTGTCTAAATTTATCAAACTTAAATTATTTGGTACTGAACAAATTTTCAAAATCTACTTAAATTGTTGCTGGTTTTCCAAATGAAGTCCAAACTTTGGTTGCTTTTTCGTCGAGCCTTATCCCTATAGTCGATTCTCCCTACCACTAAACCCTCAAACCCGAACTGTTTGCAAATCGACCCATGTTCCCTGCTGTGACCAAACGGGTCTATTTGCCAACCTATTTTCGGACGGGCGCACTCTCCCACAGTTTTTGCCAAAATTCTATTAATAACGATTTTCAAAATTTGATAGTAGTGAAAATTTGATAACTAATACCTAAAACCCCAAGTGAACTGGTCGATGATGGATTGATAATGGGCTGCCGCTTCGTCGTTCATGGACCAGGCTCCATTTATCATTTCGAGTTGCCCATTGTTGACCAAATCTATGGTGTCTTGTTTGGTCGCTTCGTCTTGGTGCAGCCACCATTTCCAGAAGAAGGCGGTTTCGACTTGGATGAACCTAGACGGGTTTATCAGGTTGTGGATATCGTGTTTGGTAGGTTTACCTTCTGTCGGGCTTTGCTTTGAGGGCTTTAATCGTGGAATTTAGGATGTATTGGACACCTGCGTTCTCATATGTTGTGAAATCTGACGATAAAAAAGTATTAGTAGGTGGATTATCTATCTGATTTTTAGGAATTATAGTGTGTTCACACGTGGGAGATAAAATTGATAATGATAAGGTTTTCTCGTTTATTTCGAATTATAATAGTACTTACCTCCAGTCCCATAGTAGTATTGGCTAAATGTTTTCAACCAGCCTACGTCATCGTGAGAATGTGGCACAAGATGGACGTTAATTTTTCCGTCAACTAGAGGATGGCATGACTGAAAAAGGCACGTTTTTTGGTTATTAGATACTAGTTTGAAGTCTCACCTGGCATGTTTCAAGATTCTTAGGTTTAACAGGACTAGATTTAACACTAAACGAATTTAAAACTAGAATAAGTACCGTTGGTACTATGTAATTTCGCATTGTTATATCATCACAGAAAATACAAAAAAGGGTTTACACGTTATCAAAGATTATGGTAACAAATGCGGTTAAATACTAAACTACTGTTACAATTTTAGACTTTTAATAGACTCCGAGACTGTGTAATAGATATCAAGATGAGACGTGATTAAAATCTGCCGACGGAAGTGGGAATTATGACGAAATCTGTCATCGTTTCGGTATGTGACTGAATTGTCAATTTTTTAAATAATTGTCATTTTTGATTATTTTTTACTAGTAGTACTTGTTTTCGTTTGGACTAAATTATTTTCTGATAATTTCAGGCAGAATATTTTTACTATCGCATAAAACCGACCCTGAAGTTTTAGAATTTATCTGTGTTTATACGTTAAGGAGACAAGAGAAAATAAAATCCTTTCATTAAGTTCTAAAAACCCCATGAGTTTATGTTGGATAAGACACTGCAAATTAGTTATATGTTGAAAATGGGCTGTTACGGTCAGAAACACACATTAAATTTTTTTATATCTCAAAATATTTTTAAAATGTGTTTTGATTCCATTTAGACAGAAAACTCGTGGCAAGTATTGGATGGTTATTTTTAAACGCTTTTAAAACGGTTGAAAATCGTTGGTAATTAATCAGTGACTATTAATATTACACCTACACCTACCTATCTTGCGTCGGCTACGACAATTTTGAATTTTGAATTTCATTTATAATAATAATTTTAGCACTAATAATTGTATCACAAAAAGTGGATAATCTACAGGTAGCCTCAATTTTTGTGAACAATCCTTAGCTTATCACCTTTGGACCTAGAAATCTAAAGTACCCATTTTTCGGTTAATAACATTTCGAAACATACTTGACGTACGTTATCTTTGTCAGATGTGATAATAATATTAGCAGCTTAAGATGAGCACATGATAAATGATAATACACGTTTTATGACTTGTACAGGAGAGTGGGATAAGTTATGTAAGGAGCAAATTTATATGCACAAATATTTGTCAAAATATACGTATACATATACAAAATTTTACCTTAGACGTCTAGATTTTTGGAAAAAAATCAACAACACTTTCCAGTTTAGATTTATTGAAAGCATATGTTAAATTGTTAGTCAAAATTTATCCGTTGATGCCCCCCAGGAGTTGATGATGTTGAGTTTCCTTAAACTTTAGGTTTTTCAACTTTTCGATGTTTGAATTTTTCAATTTTTAAAATTCTAGGGGTTTCGATTTTTCGAGTTTTGCGTAAAGTGAAGTTCAAAAGCGTCAAAGTGTTTTAAGTTGTAAGTACTACAGCCTTCTATTTTTTAGAAGGTATATCATTTGTCAAAATCAGCCTTATCTTAGCAGGTACCACTTTTTCTGATTTTTTGATGTTTGGATTTCTCGATTTTTCATTTTTGCGATATTTTAATTGGTCAATGTTTTGAATTTTAGATTTTTCAGTTCTTCAATTTTTCGAATTTTGGACTTTGCTTTTTGGTTTTTCAATTTCTCAATTTTCCAATATTTTAATTTCTCAGTTTGGATATTTCTTTGGTTTTGGGAGTTTTCAACATTTCCTTTCTTGGACTTTTCGATTTTGCGACTTCTAAATATTTCAATTTTTATATTTAAAATTTTTCAATTTTTCGACTGTTTTATATTTCGATTTCTTAGTTATTCAACTTTTATCATTTTTAAAATTCTAGATTTTTCTAATTCTCAAATTTTCAATTCATCTATATTTTAATTTTTCAATTTTCGAAATTTTTAAATTTTCGATTTTTCAATTTTTTGTGGTCTCGATTTAATAGTTTATTTTATTTAATAGTTTATTTTTATTTTATTTTATTTTATTCTATTACGTCTCCAACAGAATTGAAATGAGACTCGGATGTTTTGACTGTTCAATCTCTCGATTCATCAATTTTTCCATTTTTAACTTTTCCATTTTCCGATTTTGGCCAATTTTAGATTTTCCAATTGCAGTTTGCAGTTCTTCAATTTTCGAAAATTTTAAATTTCTGATTTTTCTTTTTTTTTAATTTCTCGATTTTCCAATTTTTTGCTGTATCGATTTTTCAATTATTTGATTGTTCCTTTCGTCTCTTCGATTTTTCGAGTTCTGGATTTTTTGATTTCTCGACTTTTTACTTATTGGATTTTCAGTTTTTCGTTTTTTAAACCTTAGATTTTTCAATTTTCCGACTGTTTTACACTTCGATTTCTCAATTTTTCAACTTTTAGATATTTTAGATTTTCAGTTTTTAAAATTTTAGGTTTTGCGATTTCTCGAGTTTGCAGTTCTTCAATTTCCGAAATTTTTAAATTTCTGATTTCCTATATTTTAAATTCTCGATTTTCCAATTTTTTGCTGTATCGATTTTTCAATTATTTGATTGTTCCTTTCGTCTCTTCGATTTTTCGAGTTCTGGATTTTTTGATTTCTCGACTTTTTACTTATTGGATTTTCAGTTTTTCGTTTTTTAAACCTTAGATTTTTCAATTTTCCGACTGTTTTACACTTCGATTTCTCAATTTTTCAACTTTTCGATATTTTAGATTTTCAGTTTTTAAAATTTTAGGTTTTGCGATTTCTCGAGTTTGCAGTTCTTCAATTTTCGAAATTTTTAAATTTCTGATTTTCCTTTTTTTTTAATTTCTCGATTTTTCAATTTTTTGCTGTATCGATTTTTCAATTATTTGATTGTTCCTTTCGTCTCTTCGATTTTTCGAGTCCTGGATTTTTTTATTTCTCAATTTTTTACTTTTTGGATTTTCAATTTTTCGTTTTTTAAGCTTTAGATTTTTCAATTTTCCGACTGTTTTACAGTTCGATCTCTCAATTTTTCAATTTTTCGATATTTTAGCGTTTCAGATTTTAAAATTGTAGGCTTTGCGCTTTCTCGAGTTTGCAGTTCTTCAATTTTCGGAATTTTTAAATTTTCGAATTCCTTCTTTTTAATTTCTCGATTTTCCAATTTTTTACTGTATCGCTTTTTCGATTATTTGATTGTTCCATTTCACGATTTTTAAATTAATAGTTTTGTTGCAGACAATTTATTGCTTCAAAGCATGTATTTTCAATCTAGAGTTTACAATTCTTGTAAATTAAATGTTGTCTTTTAAAATTCCAAAATCACAATTTTTTATAATTGATAAATAACAAACTACAATTGATATTAAAACACACTATAAAATTCCAAAACCCAAATAATGGAAGTTGAACGACGTTAAAACAGGGCATCAAAATTCACCACAGCATCTTCTGATAACGTTGAATCTTCGTTCTTCTCAAAAATATGTTCCAGTCTGAGCAAGTAACTGTCTTTCCAGATTTCAAGGGTCCAACTGTTGGCATTCTAAGTATATTGACAATAATGAGATAGAGGTTCAGACGTAATACCTTAAAGTTAAAAGTTGCCAGTACTTTTTCCAGAGTGAGATCATATTCAGTGGCATGGCCTACCAAAACCGCAAGACCAAGAAGATTTTTGCATGCTAGATCGAACTCAAAAGTGACAGGAGAAGTTTCTAGAACTCAAAACTTACAACTGGAACCAAAATCCAGACACACACTTACCTATTTCTAGTGTACCAAAAGTAAGATGGTGTTGACCTCTTGCGTAAAGACCTTTACCATACTGTTGTTCATTTAGGACTTCAGCTACACCAAATCCATCGTCTTTGGTGTCACGTCGGTGAACCATTAGTTCGCCAACACCTTCTTTCAAACTACTGCCCCCTTGTGGTCGATCAGTCAAAACAGCAAGCTCCAATTATGTCGTTTCGTCTCAAATTACAATTCTATTAGTAACCGGGTAGTAGTTGCTGGAAACAGGCTCTTCAGAGTAGACGTAATTGTAGTCACTTCTCTTATTTCTCCTTCTTTTCATCTGTTGGCGACCATTGCCATCAGTGTAGAAGATTTCGTTGTTTTCAAACGCATCAGTGATTGTGAACCTAGTGATGATTTCTTTGCCCTTACTGTCACTAAAATACAAACACGTAATACTTTTTTTAGTTGGAGTCAAGTCACACTTACACTTGAAGGTTACCCATTAGCTAGTCAAATTCAAGATACGAATCTTCCTCTCCTTTGTATACTTTGATGATCTGTGTGATTTCGTCGTCAAAAACTTGATACACTTCGTCAACGAGACTTCCTAGTGCGTACTTCACAGTTGTAAGTTTTTCTTTAATTGGGATGGCAGAACCATCTGGTCTGAATATGTAAGCACCGGAAGCTTGACCAGAGGCCATTCTTTTGTAGTAGAGGAAATCTTGTTGCAGGTTTACCAATTGCCCGTTAATTGTTACCCATGCAAGTTTACCGTTATCGTCAATAGTGAAACCATTGTTCTTTTGAAATGAACAGTCATTAAATAAATCACTACAAAAGTCTTTGACTTACGTCATCTCCGAAAGATTTTACATCAGCGATGTCTTCAAATTTGTGATATTTATCTGACGCGTCGTCAATTTTTTCAACGTAGTACAATTTAACACCTAGAGGGGGTAAATCTTTTGCCAAAAACACCAATTCTTTAGTGGCTGGTTCACCATCAGTGACGAAATCGAAAGGATGTATAGTATCAAAAATGTCAAAAGTGATATCACCGTCGTCTTCAGGTCCTGTTATTTTGTAGTTTTCATTGTCAACAGGAAGTCGCACGTAATGAGACACACTTTTAGATAGTGGGTTCTGGATAGCAACGACGATACGATCTTTTTTGCTGTTATCACAAATGCTCATGTTTGCCCGCAGACAATTGACAAGATTTAAATCAACACTAGCACTATCGTCTTTAAGTAGAAGACCACTAGAAATTTCGATTAGTTTAGCAACGATAAATGTAAATTCTTACCTGACAATTTTGCTTAGGGGTTTCTCAGTTTCTTTAACTGCTTCGTCAAGCATCAAATTGTAGTCATCCGCTACTGCTTGTTTCTCAGTACCAGTAATAGCGTCGTGGTGTTGCTAAACACCCATTGCCATTCTCAGTTTGTTGATACTTACATCGTCGTCATTACCCTTGATTCTGGAGAAAATTGTCAACTGTTTGGCACTCTGGAGGATGTTGTTGCCTACTCGTTCGAAACGTTTGGCTGTAGGTCTGGACGAAAAGTATCCAGTCCAGAAGGAATGATCTTTGGAAGCATAAGGGAAAAAGTCGTCTGTTTTGACAGTCAACTCGATTTTATTTTTCTCAACTTCGTCTTTGACAGCTTGAATGTAGCACGACGGCGTTGAATAAATCACGTTGTAGGTGTCGTCATCCTTGAAACCTCTGAAACGACTGGTTTAGCAAATATATGTACAAAAAAACAAACAATTACTCTATAAGTTTGTCGATGTTGTTGAAGTTCTTGTCAGCTTTTTGGTAACCGAAGTCTTATCCCATAGGAATAAGGATGTTGGAGGTTTTGTAATAGTCCTTGTATTTGTCGAGGATGACTTTGTACGTCTTCACCTACTCACAACTTTAGTAACAAACTTCAAACGTCAACCCACTTACCCTTTCTTCCAAATTGTCGTCAGTGATGTTCTGATCGTTACAATAAACATCAAAGCAAAATCCCGTTTCGTCGACATAAAAATCCGGGAACATGGTGGTGAAAATTTTCGCATCTTCTTCTTCGAAGTTGTCGTTGGTGTTCCAAATGAAGTCCAAATTTTTCTCTTGGATTCTTTTCGCTTTGTCTCTGTAGTTAAGACGACCGACCACTAGACCATCGAAGCCGAGCTGTTTGACGATGGAAGCGTGCTGCCGACTGTGTCCAAATGGATCGACCACTTTCGGGTCTTCCGCACTCACCAACAGTTTCTTCCAAAATTCTCTTGTTTGGTTAGTTTTTTATATTCCAGAAGATTTAGTGCTTACCGGACCCCAAGTGAATTGATCGATGATGGAATGATAATGGGCAGCGGCTTCGTCGTTCATGGACCAACCACCATTGATCACTTCTAGCCGACCTTCGTTGACCAAATTTTTGACGAGGTCTCTGGTTTCTTGGTCTTGGTCGTTCCACCACTTGAAGAAAAACGCGATTTCGAGTTGAATGAAACTAAAAGTGTTACACTTTCACACTTTGAATGTTGTAAATAATAGAAAGACACGTTTCAAAATATATCTTTTTATTAATTTTAGTTTATATTACATAGTTTACGGTAGATATGGCAACATGGAATTATTTTCATTTTTATTTTAATTATTTACTTTACGATCATTCACTACCCAGGAATCACTGTTCTAGATGGCTGAAAATAAATAAAATTTACTGTTGTTTCGAATAAAAAAAATGGTCGAAGTTTATGTAGACAGAAGTTCCCTCGCCTTGAATGAAACATTAATAGGCGTGTTAGAGTAGAAGACATTGCGTGTGAATTGAAGCAAAATATCACCAAGTGTCACAATTGTTAGTATAATTAATTAAAAATAAAAACGAGTGTAAGTGTAAGCAAAGCCACTACTGGTGAAACAACAAAAATATGACCACTCCCTTTACCATCGTCTCCACTGTTGTTTTTGTCAGTCTTGATAAGAAAAGTTCTGATTTCCATAGGCTGTAGCACGACTGCTAAATCTTCAACGACGTTCGTCGCTTCCTCATTCAACAGTTGATTTGCCCCGAGTTTAGTTTCAGAAATTTCCACTACATCGAACAACGTGAAAAGCCCCTAAAAATATAAATCACAAACGAAATTAACACACTTCCTCTAAATTACCAACCTGAAGATCCACAGTGACTTCCCCCGACAAAACATCATCTTCCCCCTTCTCCATCAAGTGCTCCAGTCTCAAAATATAACTATCCTTCCACGGTTCCAAAGTCAAAATGTGCACATTTTCAGGCAGAGCGGTTTTAAGAGCTTCGAACTTAAAATCAATCAAACCTTGGACTTTCTCCAGCGTGGACAACCCGTCAACAGTGGCATCAGCGAAGAAAACCCTTGGTGCCAAAAGTACCCGATGCGCCAACTCTCGTTCCAAAGCGGCAGTCGATCTGCCACTTTCCACTTTAGACTCAGTACTACCAAAAGTGAGGTAGTGTTGGCCTCTCACGTACAAACCCTTCCCGTACTGGACCTCACTCAAAACCTCACCCACACCGTACCCGTCGTCTTGCTTCAATCGTCTATGGACCATGAGTTCCACAGCGCCTTCTTGCAAACTGGTACCACCTTCAGCACGATCGTTCAGTACCGCCACCTCCAACTTCTGTTTTTCGTCTTTAATGACAATTTTTGACGTCACGGGGTAGTAATTACTCGACACTGGTTCTTCGTCTGCGTTGTAAGTAAAGTCGCTTCTTTTATTTACTTGTCGTTTGACTTGTTGGCGCCCGTTTGCGTCAGTGTAGAAGATTTGGTTGTTGGAAAAGTCGCCAACGGTGTATCTGGTGATGACTTCTTTGCCTTTGTTGTCGACACTGTTGAATTAGTGTTAGTCAAAGTAGTACTAAGACTGGTACTTACATTTGGATGTCTCCGACTAGCCAGTCGAACTCTACGTATGGTTCTTCGGTGGCTTTGTAGCTTCTGATAATTTGAGTAACCTCAGGGTTTATGACTTGGATTAGTTCGTCTACTAAGTTTCCTTTGACGAATTTGATGGACTCGAAGGGTTGGGTGGTCATGGGTGTGGCTACATTAGCCGCTGGTCTAAAAATGTAAGCTCCGGAGGATCGATGGTCACCACTGGTACCATCCGTGTAACTAGGGTAGTACAAAAACTCTTGACTTATATCTTGTTTAGCACCATTAATTGTCACCGTTGCTAGTTTGCCTGTTTTTGGATCAACCGTAAAACCATTGCTCTCAGTTCCAAACTTCCCATCATCTTCGTCTGTCAGTTCTTTGAATGGTTTATACTCCGACTCTTGTGTCGTTTTTTCCACATAGTAGACTTTGATACCCAAAGCTGGAAGATCTCTAGCTACAAAAACAAGCTCTCGAGATGCCGGTTTAACTGATTCTTTCACATAATCGAAGCTGTGAATCGTGTCAAAAATATCATAAAGTTCGTCACCATCAGGGCCTGTAATTTTATAACTGTCACCTTCAACGGGTAGATGAACATAGTGACTAACAACCCTAGAAAGTGGGTTGTGGATGACCACCAGAAACCGGTCTTTTTGAGTCGTTTCACAAATACTAACATTAGTTAGCAAACAACTCGAAAGTTTAAGATCGACTTCACCCGAGTCCTTTTTCAAAAGATCACTAAAATTTGATGATATTAAACACCATCACTAGAATTATCGTTATCACTCACCCAATAATGGCACCCACAGGTTCCTCGGCTTTAGTGACAGCGGCATGCAACATTCTAGCGTAGTCGTCACTAACAGCCTGCTTTTCAGTACCCGTGATACCATCATGGTGCTGCATCACACCCATAACACCACGTAGATCCTCAAGGTTTTTATCATACGTTTTGTTTTGAATTCTAGCAAACGTCGTCAGTTGTTTCACACTCTGAAGAATATTGTTACCCACTCGTTCGAAACGTTTGGAAGTCGGACGGGACGTGAAGTACCCGGTCCAGAAGGAGTGGGGTTCAGACGCGTACGGAAAGAAGTCGTCTGATTTTTCTTCCAGAGATATAGAATTTTTGGCAGCTTCGTTCTTCACCGCTTCTATGTAGCAAGATGGAGTTGAATAGATTACGTTGTAAGTGTCATGGTCTTTAAAGCCACTACAAACGAAAGTCTGTTGAAGTTTTAACCCAGTGGGTACTTACTCGATGAATTTGTCCAAGCTTGCAAAGTTCTGGTCGGCCTTTTGGTACGTGAAGTCGCGACCCATGGGCATCATTATGTTCCTGGTTTTGTAGTAGTCCTTGTAGCCGTCCAAAATTTTGGCATAGGCGTTCACCTTGAAGAAAAATTAGAACCAGTTTTGGTACTACTTTCACATGAACCAGTACTTTTGTTTTGACGTTCGAATCCGTGATTGTGTCCCAACACATAACGTCGAAGCAAAATCCAGCCTCTTCGAAGTAAAAGTCCGGGAACATGGTAGTAAAAATCTGGGAATCATCTACAACCACAAAATTACTCCTACAAACCTTACACAAACTTTACCAAAGTACCAAAGTTTGGATTCGTGTTCCAAATAAAGTCCAGACTTTTCTCGCTTCGCCTCCTTTCCTTGTCTCTGTAATCTATCCTCACGATAACCAGACCATCGAAACCCAGCTGTTTTACCAGCGACGCGTGCTCTCGACTGTGTCCAAATGGGTCGATTTGCCAGCCGATTTTCGGGCGGCCGCATTTGCCCACAGTGTCCTCCAGTTTTCTGCGAAAATGGGCTGAAAATGGTTTTTGGTGATTGGGTTGTTACCTGAAGCCCCAGGTGAACTGGTCCACGATGGAGTGGTAATGGGACGCCGCTTCGTCGTTCATGGACCAACCGCCATTGGTCATTTCCAGCTGGCCGCTGTTCACCAGGTCCACCACGTCTTGCCGGGTTTCGGGGGTTTGTTGTTGCCACCATTTCCAGAAGAAACCGGTTTCGACTTGGATGAATCTGGAGAAATTGGATTTAGAGGTGGTCTAAGAAGATGATAGTTACCTTCGATCTGGATTTTTTTTCAGAGCTGGTATGGTTGAACTTATAATGTACTGAACTCCGGCATTTTCTACAGCGTTGAATTCTGCAACATATCCATAAAATTTAAATTTTGGGTGACTTTCCAGAAGTACGGTGATAAGATAGATCGATCGTAGTTTCGGATAAGCCGATAACAAAACTGTGTGATAAATATACTGTTTGAGTGGATGTTATATAAGATAACACAAACTGACGCAGAAAATCTTCCAGTTCTGCCTATTGTTTTAGTTAATAAAATCCTTGGAATTTTCAGTGAAAAACTAAATATCATGAAGCTTACGTCCGGTTCCATTGTAATATTGATCGAACGTTCTCAACCAGCCAAGATCATCGTGCGAATGTGGAATCAAATGGACATTGATTTTTTTATCGTCTAGGGGATGACAGACCTGAAATCGACACAAAGGCGGAAACGGATGAAATAAAATTTCGTATTAAAATTAATGTACTCACTTTTTTACACTCGGAAGAATTTTCTTTTATGGGAGTAGCTCCCAACAAATAAAAATTGAGAATAAAAATTGCTGTGACGGATATCATGTTTTAATGCTGTCACAAAAGCTATAATAAAATTTTACAGATCATTTAAATTTATAAGCGACAATATGTGAATTACACGATATGAAGTTATCGCAGATAAGATACATTTTTGCCACACAATTGGCCAGGGGAGTTAATTGTTAGCCGATTTTTGAACATTATAAAAAATGGCAACAATGTGAAAAACACCACAATGTAAAAAAAGTCTGGTATTTAATTTCAAATTTGTTTGTTTATTGCAAAACATTTTTGATATAAAATATGTTTAATAAATTACCTGGTTTAGCAGAAACGAGGAAACTGATTTTTTCAAACCATTCAGTCACGCCAGCAAGTACTAATTAGAACACACGTGCACATTTTGTTCTTTAATTTAAAAGCCAAACCGCTTAACACATAATCTGCTAAGAATGCAGCAACGGACTGATTATAACACAATGGAATTCAATTTCATGCAGTTTCAGAACAGAATTAAAAATTTCTTGATTCATGGTAATAAGTTAATAACAATAGCAGTAGAAATAATTTTTATTAACTTTTAACTTTCACAAGGTAAATTAAACACTAGAATAACGAAAACACGAAAAATATTCAGTCAAGATATACACAGTCCTTTGTTTTCAGAGATAATTGGAAACATATCAACAATCATAAAATTTTATTTGATTTAATAACAACAGTCCTTCTGAAAATACCTCGAGTGCACTCATGATGCTAATAATTCGTTGATGTAAGTTCGCACCTTTTTGCCTGTTGATAAATATTAATGACATAAAAATTTTATTAACTAGATAATAGGTTATTGCAATCAAATTCAACAAGCATAAAAACTAACAATGCCAAAAACCAACGCATAACACGAAATGTGTATCTTAGTTTCGTAATAAAAATTTCGATTTAATAAAATTTGTTTCAGAGATACTCACATAGTTATAAATTTAATGATGTAATGAATTTCTGCTGTGTCAGGTGCGTTTTCAAGGTGAGACGTCCTTACGCATGAACTATGTAACCAATGCACTCATGGACAATAAAATAGTTCCCGCAAATTAAATGTTGTATTTAAAAAGGACAAATTTCACAAAATAAATATTAAAACACGCTATAAAATACCGAAATTAGTAGAGTCAAAAGTGTGAGAGAAGTCAATGCTTGTGCGCTACTGCTCGTGCCACGAATCCCGATATCATGTCCACCCTTATTTTCTTTATCAGTGATAAAAACAAACGATTTGATTTCCATTGGTTTAAGAGTAACTTTCAACCCTTCGACAGTTCCTGGATCTCCATTCGCTCCTAGTGTAACAGACTTAAGTTCTGTGATATTAAATTGAGTGAAAAGGTTCTAGAACGACACTGCGTTAAAAAGTGCATCAAAAGTAGCAACCAAAGATACCTCAAGATCAACCTCGGCATCTGTTGACAAAGTCGCATCTTCGTTCTTCTCAAAAATGTGTTCCAGTCTGAGCAGGTAGCTGTCTTTCCAGGGTTCAAGGGTCAAAATGTGGACATTGTCGTCAAGCGATTTAGACAGAGCTTCAAACTAAAATCAACCGTCTGAGTATATTGATAGAGGTAGAGGTTCAAACGTGATACCTTAAAGTTAAATGTTGCTTGTACTTTTTCCAGAGTGAAACCATCTCCAGTTGCATCACCCACCAAGACTACAGGAGCAAGAAGATTTCTGCGGGCCAGATCGCGCTCAAAAGTGACAGGAGAAGTTTCTAGAACCCGAAACTTATAACTGGAATCAAAATCCAAACACACACTTACCTGGTTCTAGTTTACCAAAAGTAAGATAGTGTTGACCTCTTGCATAAAGACCTTTGTTATACTGTTGTTCGTTCAGGACTTCAGCTACACCAATTTCATCGTCTTTTGTGTCACGTCGGTGAACCATAAGTTCCACCACACCTTTGTCTAAACTACTGCCACCTTGTGGTCGATCGGTCAAAACAGCAAGCTCCAATTTTGTCGATTCGTCTCTAATCACAATTCTATTAGTAACCGGATAGTAGTTGCTGGAAATAGGCTCTTCAGTGTCGTCGTAACTATAGTCATTTCTCTTATTTCTAATTCTCTTCATCTGTTGGCGTCCATTGCCATCAGTGTAGAAGATTTCGTTGTTTTCAAACGCCTCAATGATTGTGAATCTCGTGATGATTTCTTTGCCCTCACTGTCACTAAAATACGAACAGGTAATACTTTTCTTAGTTGTAGTCAAGTCATACTTACACTTGAAGGTTACCCACTAGCCAGTCAAATTCAAGATACGAATCTTCCTCTTCTTTGTATACCTTGATGATCTGTGTGATTTCGTCGTCAAAAACTTGATACACTTCGTCAACGAGACTTCCTTGTGCGTACTTCACAGTTGTAAGTTTTTCGTTAATTGGGATGGCAGAACCATCTGGTCTGAAGATGTAAGCACCGGAAGCTTGATCAGATGCCATTCCTTTGTAGTAGAGGAAATCTTGTTGCAGGTTTACCAATTTCCCGTTAATTGTTACCGTTGCCAGTTTACCGTTATCGTCAATAGTGAAACCATTGTTCTTTTGAAATGAACAGTCATTAAATAAATCACTAAAAAACTCTTTGACTTACGTCATCTCCGAAAGATTTTACATCAGCAATGTCTTCAAATTTGCGATATTTATCTGAAGCATCGTCAATTTTTTCAACGTAGTACAATTTAACACCTAGAGGGGGTAAATCTTTTGCCAAAAACACCAATTCTTTAGTGGCTGGTTCACCATCAGTGACGAAATCGAAAGGATGTATAGTATCAAAAATGTCAAAAGTGATATCACCGTCGTCTTCAGGTCCTGTTATTTTGTAGTTTTCATTGTCAACAGGAAGTCGCACGTAATGAGACACATTTTTAGATAGTGGGTTCTGGATAGCAACGACGAAACGATCTTTTTTGCTGTTATCACAAATGCTCATGTTTGCCCGCAGACAATTGACAAGATTTAGATCAACACTAGCACTATCGTCTTTAACTAGAAGACCACTAGAAATTTCGATTAGTTTAGCAACGATAAATGTAAATTCTTACCTGACAATTTTGCTTAGGGGTTTCTCAGTGTCTTTAATTGCTTCGTCAAGCATCAAAGTGTAGTCATCCGCTACTGCTTGTTTCTCAGTACCAGTAATAGCGTCGTGGTGTTGCCAAACACCCATTGCCATTCTCAGTTTGTTGATACTTACATCGTCGTCATTACCCTTGATTCTGGAGAAGGTTGTCAACTGTTTGGCACTCTGGAGGATGTTGTTGCCTACTCGTTCGAAACGTTTGGCTGTAGGTCTGGACGAAAAGTAACCAGTCCAGAAGGAATGATCTTTGGAAGCATATGGGAAAAAGTCGTCTGTCTTGACAGTCAACTCGATTTTATTTTTCTCAACTTCGTCTTTGACTGCTTGAATGTAGCACGACGGTGTTGAATAAATCACGTTGTAGGTGTCGTCATCCTTGAAACCTCTGAAACGACTCGTTTTGCAAATATATGTACAAAAAAAACAAACAATTACTTTATAAGTTTGTCGATGTTGTCGAAGTTCTTGTCAGCTTTTTGGTAACCGAAGTCTTGTCCCATGGGAATAAGGATGTTGGAGGTTTTGTAATAGTCCTTGTATTTGTCGAGGATGACTTTGTACGTCTTCACCTACTCACAACTTTAGTAACAAACTTCAAACCTCAACCCACTTACCCTTTCTTCCAAATTGTCATCAGTGATGTTCTGATCGTTACAATAAACATCAAAGCAAAATCCCGTTTCGTCGACATAAAAATCCGGGAACATGGTGGTGAAAATTTTCGCATCTTCTTCTTCGAAGTTGTCGTTGGTGTTCCAAATGAAGTCCAAATTTTTCTCTTGGATTCTTTTCGCTTTGTCTCTGTAGTCAAGACGACCGACCACTAGACCATCGAAGCCGAGCTGTTTGACGATGGAAGCGTGCTCCCGGCTGTGTCCATATGGATCGATTTGCCAGCCGATTTTGGGTCTCCCGCACTCACCCACAGTTTCTTCCAAAATTCTGTTGTTTGTTAGTTTGTTATATTCCAGAAGATTTAGTGCTTACCGGAAACCCCAGGTGAACTGGTCGATGATGGAATGATAATGGGCAGTGGCTTCGTCGTTCATGGACCAACCACCATTGATCATTTCTAGCCGACCTTCGTTGACCAAATTTTTGACCAGGTCTCTGGTTTCTTGGTTTTGGTCGTTCCACCACTTGAAGAAAAACGCAGTTTCGACTTGGACGAATCTAAAATGGTTTAGGGTTCACATATTGTGAAAGTTTGTAGTGTGTTGCTTACCTTCTGTCTTTATTTTTGCTGAGTGCTTGGATCGTGGAGTCGAGGATGTACTTGACGCCAGCATCTTCGGCGGAATCGAATTCTGAACAAATTTTATTTAGTTAGTTTTCGATTTTAGTTAACTTTGGACTTACTTCCAGTTCCAGTGTAATACTCGTCGTACGTTTTCAACCGCCCAACGTCATCATGCGAGTGTGGTACGATATGGACATTAATTTTTTCTTCGCTTAATTTATCGCAACCCTAAAAATTACAGAAAAAACGATTAACAAACCGGAATTTATTTGATCGAAACTTACAGATGTACAAGTACTGGCTCTGAGAGAAGGCGTGGCAAAAACGAAATAAAAATTTACTAAAAACACGAATCCCTTCAGCATTGTGAAGTACTCTAAAATTTTGACTCTACTCGTAGTCAGTATTTGCGGTCTGCATTTATATAAAAACTTAGCGTATCGATTTTTTTTATCTGATGGATTAGGGGACAGCGAGCAAATGGGACCCAGCAACAAAATTTACTTGCCGTTACAATTAAAATCATTGCAGTGTGAACGCCAATTTTGGCATTAAGTTTTTGGTGTGGTATTCAAAGCTTGCAGATGCCGTTTTTTTTTTAATAACGGTAGTGCCGAGTTTTACCCACTGGGAGCAAATCGCCCGCTCTCCCCTATTATCAGTTAGAGCCAGATCTAGGCCAAAGATTCGTGGCAAAGATTCTGTGAAGCAATAATTTCCAGGTAACTGATCTACTTACAAAAAAATATAATTTTCTTCAACTGTCCATAATTAAAAAATAAGTGACACATGCTTGAAGGAGAAACGGTCAAATCTTGAGAAAACCCTCTGGAGTTTTTCTCGTTGTTGAATATAAAGTAGAATCGACCGGATTTTGATAATATTTAAAGTATTCAAGCTATTGGGATTATTAGAGCAACTGATTAAAATCCAGTGTGATTGCTAAGCTCCTAAATGAATCAATTCTTGATAGTGTAAATCAATTAACAATATAACCGCTAATTTGTTTCGAATTTTTATTTATCTGAGTCATAATGTGACATTAATTACTTATTATATTAAGTTGATAGGAACATTATTGAATTTTTATGCAATGTTTGCTTTGCTTCAATCGTATATACGTAGGGATTTTACTGATTTCTAGGCTTCGGATCTTAGGTTTTTTGCCTATTTATATCTACTTCAGGCATCGCAGCGAAATTTATATATTTATCCGAATTTATTGTTAGAGACCTAATTGTAAATTTTAAAAACTTAAAATGGGATTCCACCAAAGACAATGAGTTATTCTGCAAAGTGTGTGGAAAAGTTGTAAGTAAACATTTAAAATACTGAAGCTTGAATGATGTTCACATTTTTGTTTCCTAGTTTAAGTGCGAAAATAAATCACACTTTGAACAACCCTGCAGTGGCGATGCACATAAAAAGAACGAGAATAAATCCAGTGAACAGACTTTATTAAACATTAGTTCCGACAATGATTTTACGCAATTTTGCATCGATTTATGTAGGGCATTTACCGCAGCAAATATTCCATGGAATAAAGTTAGTTGTCCTGAGTTTAAAAATTTTATGCATAAATATACAGGAAGGCATTTACCCTCAGAAAGCACTCTGAGAAAAAATTATTTACCAAAAGATTACGATATGGTGAGCACTAGAATTTTTATTTAAAAACTTTTTAACATAAATTTTATAATTTACAGGTAATTAAACAAATTAGAAATTTTATTGGCAATTGATCGCCATTTTTTTTGCGATAACTTAGAATTAGTGGACGTAACTATAGATCGTTTGTTTATTTAATCATTTTTTTGTTTGTTATACAAAATATTTGTTTCTATAATGTTTTGTTTAATATATTTTTTAAATATATATTTTTTTGATGTATGCTTTTTTGTTGAGCAAATATTTTTCCTCCAAGTTTGTAACTTAAACTAAGATATTTTTATAACCTAATTCGTCAATTTTGGGATCTAAAAACGTCTCCTTTTATTCATTTTTTAACGACCTAAAATCCTAAGCCTACTGATTTTTCAACTTTACCTATTCTGTGGAAGACTTGTGATGAGATAAACTTTGTAAAGTGTACTGTCATAAAAAAAATTTAGACCTCCGTCGTAAATGATATTGTGATCATGATTCAAAATTCTAACTATGTCAATTACACATCTAATCACATTTAGCAAAATATTGGCAATTATCTTATCGAGTTTTTGTGTATTAATGCAAACAGTCGAAAATAATCCCGACGTAAATCGATGACAAATGTGTGGTGCAACATCAAAGAAAAATGTATGAAAAATAGGCCAAGTCATATTTAAACAATTGATAATGAAATAATAGAAATAATACGTTACATAACCTTATACATCACCGACTTCCGTTTTAACTTTTCCAAGTCGGCTTTGTTTTTAATTAATTAGCACAGCTTGCTTTAAACTTGTAAAGAGAAAAAAATAAATCAATATTCCTTATATTCCAATCAATGAATATTCATTGAAGATACTGGGTGAGCATAGAGGTTTTTAATCGAAGAGTTTTTTGTACTAGTACATCGTCCATCAGCTAACTAATCGACCATACAAAAACCATCATACTTGATCCCGAGCATTATGCGCCTGATTGGGCGGCAACACACTAAACAATAATAATAAATATTAACCCTGCGAATAAAACATTTCCCGTAAATTAAAAGTTATATTTAAAAATGACAAAACTTATATAATCTTATAAATTATAAATAAATATTAAAACATTCTATAAAACACCGAAACCAGAAGAGTCAGAAGTGTGATGGCACTCAGTCCTTGTGCACTACTCGTATCAGGATCATCACCATTATCAATAATCCCGGTATCATGTCCACCCTCATTTTCTTTATCAGTTGTAAAAACAAACGTTTTAATCTCCATTGGTTTAAGCGTGACTTGCAAATCGGCTGCAACCTTACTGAGCTTAAATCCCTGAGCTACTCGTTTCAGAATAGAAACCGAAGAAGTTTCCAAATTTCCAATCGCTCCTAGTTTCACCGGCGTAAGCGCTGTGATTTTGAATTGAGTGAAAAGGTCCTGGAACAACACACCGTTAAAAAAGCATAAAAATTAGCAACCAAAGTACCGTAAGATCCACCACAGCATCTTTTGACAACGTGGCGTCTTCGTTCTTCTCAAAAATGTGTTCCAGTCTGAGCAGGTAGCTGTCTTTCCAGGGTTCAAGGGTCAAAATGTGGACATTGTCGTCAAGCGATTTAGACAGAGCTTCAAACTAAAATCAACCGTCTGAGTATATTGATAGAGGTAGAGGTTCAAACGTGATACCTTAAAGTTAAATGTTGCTTGTACTTTTTCCAGAGTGAGATCATCTCCAGTTGCATCACCCACCAAGACCACAGGAGCAAGAAGATTTCTGCGGGCCAGATCGCGCTCAAAAGTGACAGGAGAAGTTTCTAGAACTCGAAACTTACTACTGGAATCAAAATCCAAACACACACTTACCTGTTTCTAGTTCACCAAAAGTAAGGTAGTGTTGACCTCTTGCGTAAAGACCTTTACCGTACTGTTGTTCATTTAGGACTTCAGATACACCAAATCCATCGTCTTTGGTGTCACGTCGGTGAACCATTAGTTCGACAACACCTTCTTTCAAACTACTGCCACCTTGTGGTCTGTCAGTCAAAACAGCAAGCTCGAATTTTTTCGTTTCGTCTCGAATCATAATTCTATTAGTAACCGGATAGTAGTTGCTGGAAACAGGCTCTTCAGAGTAGACGTAATTGTAGTCACTTCTCTTATTTCGCCTTCTTCTCATCTGTTGGCGACCATTTCCATCAGTGTAGAAGATTTCGTTGTTTTCAAACGCCTCAGTGATTGTGAATCTCGTGATGATTTCTTTGCCCTCACTGTCACTAAAATACGAACAGGTAATACTTTTCTTAGTTGTAATCAAGTCATACTTACACTTGAAGGTTACCCACTAGCCAGTCAAATTCAATATACGAATCTTCCTCTCCTTTGTATACTTTGATGATCTGTGTGATTTCGTCGTCAAAAACTTGATACACTTCGTCAACGAGACTTCCTTGTGCGTACTTCACAGTTGTAAGTTTTTCGTTAATTGGGATGGCAGAACCATCTGGTCTGAAGATGTAAGCACCGGAAGCTTGACCAGAGGCCATTCCTTTGTAGTAGAGGAAATCTTGTTGCAGCTTTTTCCCTTGCCCGTTAATTGTTACCAATGCAAGTTTACCGTCATCGTCAATAGTGAAACCATTTTTCTTCTGAAATGAACAGTCATTATATAAATCACTAAAAAAGCGTTTGACTTACGTCATCTCCGAAAGATTTTACATCAGCGATGTCTTCAAATTTGTGATATTTATCTGAAGCGTCGTCAATTTTTTCAACGTAGTACAGTTTAACACCTAGAGGGGGCAAATCTTTTGCCAAAAACACCAATTCTTTGGTGGCTGGTTCACCATCAGTGACGAAATCGAAAGGATGTATAGTATCAAAAATGTCAAAAGTGATATCACCGTCGTCTTCAGGTCCTGTTATTTTGTAGTTTTCATTGTCAACAGGAAGTCGCACGTAATGAGACACACTTTTAGACAGTGGGTTCTGGATAGCAACGACGAAACGATCTTTTTTGCTGTTATCACAAATGCTCATGTTTGCCCGCAGACAATTGACAAGATTTAGATCAACACTAGCACTATCGTCTTTAACTAGAAGACCACTAGAAATTTCGATTAGTTCAGCAACGATAAATGTGTGACAATTCTTACCTGACGATGCTGCTTACGGGTTTCTCAATTTCTTTAATTGCTTCGTCAAGCATGAAAGTGTAGTCATCCGTTACTGCTTGTTTCTCAGTACCAGTAATAGCATCGTGGTGTTGCAAAACACCCATTGCCATTCTCAGTTTGTTGATGCTTACATCGTCGTCGTTACCCTTGATTCTGGAGAAAGTTGTCAACTGTTTGGCACTCTGAAGGATGTTGTTGCCTACTCGTTCGAAACGTTTGGATGTAGGTCTAGACGAAAAGTAACCAGTCCAGAAGGAGTGAACGTCGGAAGCATAGGGGAAAAAGTCGTCTGTTTTGACAGTCAACTCGATTTTATTTTTCTCAACTTCGTCTTTGACAGCTTGAATGTAGCACGACGGTGTTGAATAAATCACGTTGTAGGTGTCGTCATCCTTGAATCCTCTGAAACGACTCGTTTAGCAAATATATGTACAAAAAAAACAAACAATTACTCTATAAGTTTGTCAAGGTTGTTGAAGTTCTTGTCAGCTTTTTGGTAACTGAAGTCATGTCCCATGGGAATAAGAATGTTGTGGGTTTTGTAATACTCCTTGTATTTGTCGAGGATGACTTTGTACGTCTTCACCTACTCACAACTTTAGTTACAAACTTCAAACGTCAACCCACTTACCCTTTCTTCCAAATTGTCATCAGTGATGTTCTGATCGTGACAATAAACATCAAAGCAAAATCCCGTTTCGTAGACATAAAAATCCGGGAACATGGTGGTGAAAATTTTCGCATCTTCTTCCTCGAAGTTGTCGTTGGTGTTCCAAATGAAGTCCAAATTTTTCTCTTCGATTCTTTTCGCTTTGTCTCGGTAGTCAAGACGACCGACCACTAGACCATCGAAGCCGAGCTGTTTGATGATGGAAGCGTGCTCCCGACTGTGTCCAAATGGGTCGATTTGCCAACCGATTTTGGGTCTTCCGCACTCACCAACAGTTTCTTCCAAAATTCTGTGGTTTGTTAGTTTGTTAATATTTCGGAAGATTTAGTACTTACCGGAAACCCCAAGTGAACTGGTCGATGATGGAGTGATAATGGGCAGCCGCTTCGTCGTTCATGGACCAACCACCGTTGATCATTTCTAGCCGACCTTCGTTGACCAAAGTTTTGACAAGGTCTCGGGTTTCTTGGTCTTGGTCGTTCCACCACTTGAAGAAAAACGCGGTTTCGACTTGGATGAATCTTCTGTCTTTATTCTTGTTGAGTTCTTGAATGGTGGAGTCGAGGATGTACTTAACGCCAGCATGGTCAATGGAATCGAATTCTAAACAAATTTAGTTTGTTAGTTTTGGTTGTTGACATGTAAGATTATAAAACTGATCTTATCGGAAGGAAAAATTTAAGTAAAAATGAACGTCAACATTCTTCTAAGCAAACAAAGCACTCGAGTTTAATTTGGTAGATATTATTGATAAGAGCACTGGTATTAGTTTCATCCTTTCAACGTTACAAGTACCCGGAATGGAATATTGATTTTTGGTACAGAAATTTCTTTGTGACGCAACTTTACCCTCCGGACCTTGACGAAACACAAAAAATAAAGTCGGACTTACGTCCAGTTCCATTGTAGTACTGGTCGTACGTTTTCAACCACCCGACGTCATCATGTGAATGTGGTACGAAATGTACGTTCACTTTCCCGTCAACTAAATCATGACAACCCTAAAAATTACAAAAAAACAACACTAACAAACAAACTGCACTCTATTTTCTGAACTTACAGATTGACAAGTGGTGGCTTTGAGGGAAGGCCAGAACGGCGTACCAAAAACGAAATACAAATTTACTAAAAACACGACCGTCTTCAGCATTGTGAACTCTGGAAAATTTTGACTCTACTCGACTTTAGTATTTGCGGTCTTCATTTATATAAAAAGATAGTGAATCGATTATGTTTATCAGATGATTGTGTCGATATATCCGAAGTGAGCATCATTTGTTCTGAATCACCGGGAGTAGGGGACAGTGAGGGAAAGTCACGTATCAAAAAAATTTCCTCGGGACATCGTAGCAACACGAAGTTAAAATTTGCACCCACTGAGAACAGTTCGCCCGCTCTCCCCTAAGTATTATCAATCAGAACAAATCTAGGACAAAGGATCGCGGTAAAGATTCAACGAATTATCCAGATAATTGATGTACTTATAAAAGTATCGATGATTCTAGATTTCTCATGACGCCAAAGTACAGGAAACTGATCGTTAAAAATAAATGGACTTTAAAATACAAGTTTTATAAAAATATTGTTACGTCAGAAATCTAAAATGTAAAAAAATGTATACCGCTGTTAGCATCCCCGGAAATGCGTGTGAAATGCTATATGTAAACGTACGACGCTGAAAACAAGATTAATTTAGTAGACACTTCATTAGTTAAATCAAGCGTGAGTGTTTTAGGCCTCAGGGAACGCAGGTAGGATGCTTCTTAGGCAGAAGGTGTTGGCATCAATAATTTCAAACATGTAGATAATTTTGCTGAAGTTAAACACGTACGTGATGGAGAAAAGCCAAACAGTCAAACAAACTATTGAGAGTTGGACCAAATTTCTATATTATTGCGCATTTGAAAAATTTTGAAGGTGATCGATGTGGACAGTTATTTCTGATAACGTATCTATTACATTGACCAATTAATTGTTAACTGACATTTTTAACTTATTTTTAGCAAGTGTTGGAGAGGTACGTAGTTATTCATTTTCACAAAATAGAGTTTCATCCAACTGACACATAGCAACTTAGTTTTGTCCTTCGCAGTCCACTTGATAATAGTGTTTACAAGATAATTTAATGTAACGGATGTAATATTTAGTTAATAACGTAGTTAAAGATATCCAAAATAAACAAATAAATTATTGCCAAATGTGACGTGATAGAACATTCGAATAGCACACTTATTTCAAACAATAGTATGTAGTTGTTTATGACGCAAGTGGATAAAGAAAAAATTTTCTATGAGTGGAAAGTTTCAGTCCAAACCTGACGATCTTCAAATAGTGCTAAAATAATTTTATCGTAAACACTTGTTTTTCAAATTTTGACTCATTAATCCTTTTCATTATAAAATGTTTACTTTGCTTCGATCTTATCTTTAGAAGCATTCTCTTTTTATCGATGTAATCATTTTCTCTTTTTTTCAACTGTTTCTCAATCATAAATATTTTTCGTTCCGTAGAAAAAGATTGTCATGAGATAAACGTCCCAATGTTCGTTCATCCTGTAAGAATCATACATACGTTAAATTTTTGTCACCAAAATCACGTTTAATTCCGAAAATAAATTATTGTTATGTAAATTTTAATGGCATTCTTATCTTTAAAAAAACACTTGTATCTGAAAGTTTGTACTTGAGAATTTCCACGAAAACGAACTTCACACTTCATTTGACGTTGTTTTTAAAGAAGCATGACTTTAAAATGTTGATTTACGTATATTCGTTTGAAAATTTGCGTGACAGCGTACTGTGAAACGCAATCAGATAACCAACACTTCGTTACATTAATTAATTGTACAAGATCTGTAATTACCTGATTAATACTACCGACGTTATCAAAAATTGGTCGAATGTTATTTCGACTGAACTTCCCTGGCTTCTGAAGTGCAGTCCAGAATATCCCGCTTCTTTGAAAACTGTAAACATTTTTTGCGATTTTTTTTTTCTTGTAACATCTATAAAGTTAAAACTAGTGGTGTAAATAAATTTTTCAGTTTTTCAATTTACCAACTTTCGATTTAAAAATTTTCGAATTTTTAATATTTAAATTTTTCGATTCTTCAAATTTTTGATTTGCAATTTTTCGTTTCGGTTTTTTATTTTTTTTTCTTACAATTATTCGATGTTTCACTGTTCCGATGTTATAATTTTTTGGTTTTCCTTCAGTTTTTTCAATTCTTCGATTTGCAATTCTTCGAGTTTTCAAGTTTAAATTTTTCAGTTTTTAAATTTACCAACGAATTTTTCAGTTTCTAGATTTTGCAATTTTTCGATTTGAAATTTCTCGAGGTGTCGATTTGTAATTTTCAAATTTTCCGCTTCTTTAATTTTTCATTTTTTCCAATTTTAGATTTCTAATTTTTTTTAATTGAGAGAAAAAAATGTTTTTTCAATTTTTCTGTTTGCAATTTTTCCAGTTTTCATTTTTTTGTTTGTTCAATTTAACAATATGTAACTTTTCGAGTTTTCATTTTTAAATTTTTTTGTTTTTCGATTTTCCAACTTTTGGATGTTTGAATTTTTGGATTTTGCAATTTTTCATTTCTTCCAATTTTCGCTCTGTAATTTTTCGTTTTGGTTTTTTATTCTCTTTATTTCTTCAATTTTTCGGTTTTTCACTGTCCCCATTTTACATTTTTTTTAACATGCAATTTTTCAATTTTTGGATTTGCCAATTTTTCGGATTTAAATTTTTCGATTTTCATTTTTTAGATTTTTTAATTTATCGATTTTTCAATTTTAGATTTCTTAGTTTTTCGATTTTCAAAATTTTCGTTTCTAAAATTTTTCATTTCTTCCAGTTTTCAATTTGCAGTTCTTCGTTCGGTTTTTTATTTTCTTTATTTTTACAATTTTTCTATTTTTCAATGTTCAGAATGTATAATTTTTTGTTTTTTCATTTTCATTTTTTTCAAATTTTAATTTTTTTTATTGTTCAATTTTCCCGTTTTCGTTTTAAAATTTTTCAGTTTTTCGATTTTCCAACTTTGGATGTTTCAGATTATAATTTTTAATTTTTCCTTTCATCAATTTTTCGATGTGCAATTTTTTGTGTTTTCGAATTTAAAGTTTTCAATTTTTTATTTTACCAACTCTGAAATTTTTCAGTCTTTAGAGTTTTCAATTTTTCGACTTAAAATTTCTCGTGATCTCAATTTTTAATTTTCAAATTTTTCTTTTCTTTTATTTCCATTTCTTCTAATTTTCGATTTGCATTTTTCCGTTTTTCAATGCCCCCATTTTACAATTTTTGTTTCAACATGAAATATTTCAATTTTTGGATTTTTGAATTTTTCAATTTTAAGTTTTTCGGTTTTCATCTTTTAAATTTCTTAGTTTCTCGCTTTTTAAATTTTTCGTTTCTTCAATTTTTCATTTCTTCTTATTTTTGATTTTCAATTTTTGGTTCGTTTTTTTATTTTCTTCATTTTCACAATTTTTAAATTTTTCAATGTTCCAATTTTTGTAAATTTTTGTTTTTTTTTTTCAATTCTAGTGTTTGTGATTTTTTAAATTTTCATTTTTTTGGTTTCTTCAGTGTAACGATATGTAACTCTTCGAGTTTTCGTTTTAACATTTTTCAGTTTTTCCATTTTCCAACTTATGGATGTTTCAGTTTTTACATTTGGCACTTTTTCGATTTAGTATGTCACTAAGTTTCAATTTTCAATTCTTCATTTTTTCATTTCTTTAGTTTTTCGATTTACAATTTTTCGAGTTTCCAACTTTAAATTTTTCAATTTTTCAATTTATCCACTCTGAAATTTTTTAGTTTTTAGATTTTTCAATTTTTCGATTTAAAATTTCTCCAGTTTTCAATTTTTAATTTTAAAGTTTTTTGTTACTTTAATTTTTCATTTCTTCTAATTTTCGCTTTGCAATTTTTCGTTTCGGGTTTTTATTTTCTTTATTTTCTTTATTTCTACAATTTTTCGGTTTTTCACTGTCCCCACTTTACATTTTTTTTAACATGCAATTTTTAAAATTTTTGGATTTGCTAGTTTTTCAGTTTTAAATTTTTCGGTTTTCATTTTTAGACTTTTTTATTTATCGATTTTTCAATTTCAGATTTCTTAGTTTTTCTTATATTCAAAATTTTCATTACTTCCAATTTTCAATTTGGTGTTTTTCGTTCGGTTTTTATTTTCTTTATTTTTACAATTTTTCGATTTTTCAAAGTTCAGAATTTATATTTTTTTGTTTATTCAATTTCAATTTTTTTCAAATTTTCATTTTTTTTAATTGTTCAATTTTCCTGTTTTCTTCTTAAAATTTTTCAGTTTTTCGATTTTCCAACTTCTAATTTTTCATTTCTTCAATTTTTCGATCTGCAATTTTTTGAATTTTCGAGTTTAAAGTTTTTAATTTTTCAATTTACCACCTCTGGAATTTTTCTTATTTTTTTAGATTCTGTTTTTCTATTTCATTTGGTTTTACAATTTTTCGACTTCTCAATGTTCCAATTTCATAAGTTTTTGTATTTGCAATTTAAATTTTGTCAGTTTTTCGATTTGCAAAGTCTCAAGATTTCAGTTCTTTTTGTTCACTTTTCGTTTTAAAATTTTTCAATTTTTCAATTTACCGTCTTCGAATTTTTCAGTTTTTAGGTTCTGCAAGTTTTCGATTTAAAATGTCTGGAATTTTCAGTTTTTTAATTGTCAGATTTTTCGTTTTTTCAATTTCAATTTTTGGGTTGGAATTTTTCATTTCCATTTTTTTTTGTTTGTTCAATTTAACCATAGGTAACGCTTCTAGTTTTGGTTTTCAAATTTTTTAGTTTTTCGATTTTCCAACTTTTGGATGTTCCTATTTTTAGATTTGCTATTTCACGAGTTTTCAATTTTTCATTTCTTAAATTTTTGATTTGAAACTTCTGGTTTGGGTTTTTTTTTTCTCTATTTTTTCAATTTTTGATTTTCAGTGTTCCGATTTTATAATTTTTTTTTCAATAAAATTTTTCAATTTTTGGATTTGTCAGGTGTTCGATTTGTAATGTTTCAGTATTCAGTTTTCGGTTTTTTAACTTTTAGATTTTTTTAATTTTTTGTTTTTTCAATTTCAAATTTTCCAGTTACTAGATTTTTCAAATTTTTCGTTTCTTCAATTTTTCTAGTGTCATTTTAAATATATATGTAATAAAGTAATAATAATTGTAAATTTAAAAATTTTTCACTTTTTCAATTTTGACGATTCAATAATTTTTCCATTTTACAATTTTTTGGTATTTCAATTTTCCGATTCGATTCGTTTTTTCTGCTATTTGATTCATTTATTCTTTTTGATTTTTAATTTCCCTATTTTTAAGCTTCTCGACTTTTAGTTCCTCAATTTTGGTTTCTTCAGTCTTTGATTTACGATTTTTTGATTTTGCGGGTTTTCGTTTTTGCAATTTCTCGTTTTTAATTTTACGATTTTCCAACTTTTGAATGTCCCAATTTTTAGTTTTTCAGTTTTTTATTTCCTCAATTTTCCGATTTGTATTTTTCGGTTTTTTATTTTCTTTATTTTTTCAAATTTTCGATTTTTCAATGTTCCAATTTTATATATTTTCTTTTGGATTTGTCAATTTTTCAGTTTTTCATGTTTTTTTCAGTTTTTATGTCTTCAATTTTTGATTTCCAATTTTTCTAGTTTTCGTTTTAATATGAATTTGATTTTTTTCAATTTTACGATTTTAGAATTTTTCATTTTTCAATTACTGGGTTTTAAAACTTTTTCATTTATTCGAGTTTTTAATTTTTCAGTTGTTAATTTATTGAGTTTCTCGATATTCAATTTTTTAAATTTTCCATCTTTCGATGTTACAGTTTCTCACTTTACCATTTTGACGAATTTAAAATTTTTCGGTTTTACAACTTTCTGGTTTTCAAATTTTTCAATTAATTGCTTTTTCGATTTTTAAGTTTCTCGATTTTTAATTTTTCACTGCATTTTTTCAGTTCTTCGATTTGCAAATTTTCAATTTTCCAGTTTTTCGTTTTTGTATTTCTCGTTGTTCAGTTTTTCGATTTTTCAAATTTTCGAGTAAAAAAAATGAAAAAAATTGCAAATTTGTAAAATCGAAAAATCAAAAATAAAAAAACGAAAAACTGTAAAATGAAAACTTTTCAAAATCTGGAACTTGAAAAATTGAAGAAACGAAAAACTGAAACATCGAATGATTAAAAATTGAGAAACTTAAAAATCGCAAAGGGCAAAATCAAAAAAACGAAATATTGTAAATTTGACTTTAGTAAAAAAACTATGAATCTTGCAAACCTTTCAAGGTTATCGTAATCATGGTAAAAGGTTAACAAAAATTTTTCCAAAAAACTGATGACATCGTCTCAAAATTTTGGCGAATAAATCCTTAAAATTAAATTTTCCCATTTTTCAATTTCATAATTTTTAGTATTTTCAACTTTTAAATATCTTTCAGTTTTATAATTTCTCGATTTCTACATTTTTCAATATTTTTATTTTTTCCACCTATTTTTTATTTTTCATATTCTCGATTTTATATCACATTTCTTCGTTTTTTTTATTTCCTTTATTTTTTCAATGCTTTTTCCGATTGTATAGTTTATTCATTATGTTTTTAAAATGTTTAATTTTCGATTTTTCAATTCCCCAATTTTCCAATTTTTAAATTTTCCAGTTTTGCATTTTTTTGATTTTTTGATTTTTTTTTATTTTCAATTTTTCACTCAGGAAATAAAAATCTACAAACACATTTATTTATTTATTAAAAAAGCCAGTATCTACACATCAACGTTTCACTTCTTCGCAACCTTCACAATAAAAGTCCTTATTTGCATAGGCCCCAGCTCAATTTGTAGAGGATTAGCCGAATCCAATCTGGCTAAAGGCGTGGGAATAATTCCGTTCCAAATTAGTTTTTCCTCATTGTTGTAGTCGTCCAACAATTGATTAGCGCCGAGAGTTGTTTCCGCGAGCTCGATAACATCAAAACCGGTGAAAAGATTCTAAAACACGAGTTTATTCACCCTTTCTTACCCCCACCAGCCTCACCTCTAGATTAATCATGACCCTCCGGGACAAAACGGGATCCTCGTCCTTCTCCAGGATGTGCTCGAAGCGCAAAATGTGGGAGTCGTCCTTCCACGGCTCGAACGTGAGCAGCTGGACGTTGACGGGAAGCGACCTTGTGAGACCCGCGAACTGGAAGTTGACGAGATTTTGGACCTTGTCGAGGGAGTTGAAGGAAGTTGTGGTGGCGTCGGAGAGGAGAATCCAGGGTGTGAGGAGTTTTCTCTGGGCGAGTTCGCGCTCGAACGCAGCTGTGGATAAATCTAGAAGCAAAAGTTGAAGAGTTTTTTGGGAAATGGGGTTGGTAGTACCGTCGGTTGTGGATTCTATGGTACCGAAGGTGAGATAGTGTTGGCCGCGGACGTAAAGACCGACGTCGTATTGTTTCTCGCTTAGAATTTCATGGACACCAAAAGCGTCGTCTCTGGTACATCGTCGATGTACCATTAATTCGATGTCGCCGTCGTGTAAACTGGTACCACCTTGGGCTCGATCGTTCAAAACTGCCACTTCTAGACCTTTCTGTAGATCTTTTATTACCATTTTAGTGGTGACTGGGTAATAATTACTAGACACTGGTTCTTCACTAGGGTCGTACTCGTAGTCACTTCTAGTGTTTAGTTGTCTTCTGATTTGCTCGCGTCCGTTAGAATCCGTGCAGAAAACTCCGTCGTTCGAAAAATCGCTCACCATAAATCTTGTTATCACTTCTTTACCCTTTTGGTCAATACTGAAACTCTTTATTAATTTTTAGACGACTCTAGGTACGACCACTTACAATTGAAGATTTCCCACCAACCAATCAAACTCGATATAGGCATCGTCATCCCCTTTGTACACCCGAATAATCTGGCTGACTTCATTATTCAAAACCTGGATAAATTCATCACATAGATTCCCTCTAGCACTTTTAAAATCTGAAATATTTGTCACAATAGGTACTGCCTCAATTTTCGTTGGTTTGAAAATGTAGGCACCGGAAGCCCGATTTTCAGCACCACCGTTGTTCCCGTTTGAACCCGTGTAGTAAAGAAAGTCTTGCGTAATACCCAAGGTACCACCTCTTAGAGTAACAGAGGACAACCTTCCAGTACTTCCGTCAACGGTGAACCCGTTCATCTGCAAAAGTGTGTAATCGTGGTACTACTAAATCTTCCACAAACCTCCGTCCCGAAATAATCGTCACCACTAGTACCACTTTTGAAGGGTTTGTAACTGGAAGCAGCGTCAGTTTTTTCAACATAGTACAGTTTGATCCCCAAAGGCGGTACATTGCGAGCCGCAAAAACCAACTCTTTGGAACTCGGTACTACTTGCTCTTGTACATAGTCAAAACTGTGAATAGTGTCAAAAACGTCGTAAACTTCTTCACCATCAGGACCCGTGATTCTATAACTAGTACCATCGACGGGCAGCCGCACATAGTGAGTGATTAGTCGTGACAATGGGTTTTGTACCACCACCATGAATTTGTCTTTTTGGGACGTCAAGCAAATGCTCACGTTTGACAAAAGACAAGTACTAAGAGCCAAATCGACTTCCGCTGCAGACTCCTTCTTCAAAAGGGTGCTACAAATACAAAATAAAATTTAAAATGTCTTAAAAATCCACAAATTAAAAGGATTAGAAAAATTATCCAAAAAAATTTAAAAATCGAATAATCCGAAAAAAATTCCCCAAAAAAAAGACAAAAAAAACAAGAATTCCAAATAATTCAAAAAAATCTGAAAAATAAAAAAATCAAAAATGTGGAAAGAATCTAAAAATTCAAAAATCCAAAAAAATGCAAAATATTCAAAAGTTTAAAAAACATCCAGAAGTCAAAGAATTAAAAATTTCGAACACCGAAAAAAAATCCAAGAAACTCAATAAATTCAAAAACTCAAAATCCAATAATTGTAAAATTCCAAAAAATTGAAAGATATTATAAATCAAAAAACAAAAGAGCAAATAGAAAAATTATCCAAAAAATGGAAAAAATCGAATAATCCAAAAAAAAACATAAAAAACAGAAAATCCAAACGATTCAAAAAATCCAAAAAGCCCAAGAACTTCAAAAGCCAATAATTCCAAAAATTGAAAAATACAAAAATCGAAAATGTCCAAAGAATATAAAAAATTTAAAAATCCAAAAAAATCGAAAATATTCAAAAGAGGAAAAAGATTAAAAAATTTGAAGATTCTTAAAAAATTTGCGAAATTTAAAAAATTAGAGAACAAACCAAAGAGCAAATAGCAAAATTATCCAAAAAATGGAAAAAAATCGAATAATCCAAAAAAAACAAAATAAACAGAAAATCCAGCGATTCAAAAAATCCAAAAAGCCCAAGAACTTCAAGAAAGCCAATAATTCCAAAAATTGAAAAATACAAAAATCGAAAATGTCCAAATAATATAAAAAATTTAAGAATTCAAAAAATCGAAAATATTCAAAAGAGAAAAAAAATAAAAAAATTTGAATATTTTTAAAAAATTTGCGAAATTTAAAAAATTAGAGAACAAACCAAAGAGCAAATAGAAAAATTATCCAAAAAAATTGAAAAAAAACCGAATAACCCCCAAAAGAAGAGACTTAAGAAATCCAATAATTGCAAAAATCGGAAAAATACAAAAAATCGAAAATGTCCATAGAATTTAAAAAATTCGAAAATTCAAAATATTCAAAAGATTAAAAATATCCAAAAATGAAAGAAATAAAAAAATTCGAAACTTCAAAAAATGCAAGAAACCTAAAATTCAAAAAACTGGAAATCCAATAAAAAAATTAAAATCCAAAAAATTGAAAGATATTAAAAATCCACAAAATTCAAAAAACAAAAGAGCAAATAGAAAAATTATCCGAAAAAAAAATCGAATAATCCCAAAAAAAAAACAAAAAACACAAATTTTAAACAATTAAAAAAGTCCAAAAACCCAAGGAATCCAAAAATCTGACAAGCACAAAAAATCCAAAAAGTGAAAGAATTTAAAAAATCCGAAAAATAAAAAAATTCGAAAAGTCTGAAAAATCAGAAAAATCAGAAAAAATTGAAAACTCCCAAAAATCAGAAAAGTGATTAAATCCAAAAAATTCGAACAATCCAAAAAAAATCGAAACTATTGTAAACATTAAAAGAAATCCAAGAAGCCTAAGAAGCCCGAAAAATTCGAAATCCAATCATTCTAAAAATCCACAAAATGCAGAAAATTAGAAAACAAACAAAAGAGCAAATAGAAAAATTATCCAAAAAATGGAAAAAATCGAATAATCCAAAAAAAAAACAAAAAAACAGAAAATCCAAACGTTTCAAAAAATCCAAAAAGCCCAAGAACTTCAAGAAAGCCAATAATTCCAAAAATTGAAAAATACAAAAATCGAAAATGTCCAAAGAATATAAAAAATTTAAAAATCCAAAAAAATCGAAAATATTCAAAAGAGGAAAAAAATTAAAAAATTTGAAGATTCTTAAAAAATTTGCGAAATTAAAAAAATTAGAGAACAAACCAAAGAGCAAATAGCAAAATTATCCAAAAAATGGAAAAAAATCGAATAATCCAAAAAAAAACAAAATAAACAGAAAATCCAGCGATTCAAAAAATCCAAAAAGCCCAAGAACTTCAAGAAAGCCAATAATTCCAAAAATTGAAAAATACAAAAATCGAAAATGTCCAAATAATATAAAAAATTTAAGAATTCAAAAAAATCGAAAATATTCAAAAGAGAAAAAAAATTAAAAAATTTGAAGATTTTTAAAAAATTTGCGAAATTTAAAAAATTAGAGAACAAACCAAAGAGCAAATAGAAAAATTATCCAAAAAAATTGAAAAAAAATCGAATAATCCCCAAAAGAAGACTTAAGAAATCCAATAATTGCAAAAATCGGAAAAATACAAAAAATCGAAAATGTCCATAGAATTTAAAAAATTCGAAAATTCAAAATATCCAAAAATGAAAGAAATAAAAAAACTCGAAACTTCAAAAAATGCAAGAAACCTAAAATTCAAAAAACTGGAAATCCATTAAAAAAATAAAAACCCAAAAAATTGAAAGATATTAAAAATCCACAAAATTCAAAAAACAAAAGAGCAAATAGAAAAATTATCCGAAAAAAAAAATCGAATAATCCCAAAAAAAAACAAAAAACAGAAATTTTAAACAATTAAAAAAGTCCAAAAACCCAAGGAATCCAAAAATCTGACAAGCACAAAAAATCCAAAAAGTGAAAGAATTTAAAAAATCCGAAAAATAAAAAAATTCGAAGTCTGAAAAATCAGAAAAATCAGAAAAGTGATTAAATCCAAAAAATTCGAACAAGCCAAAAAAAATCGAAACTATTGTAGACATTAAAAGAAATCCAAGAAGCCTAAGAAGCCCGAAAAATTCGAAATCCAATCATTCTAAAAATCCACAAAATTCAGAAAATTAGAAAACAAACAAAAGCGCAGAAAGAAAAATTATGCAAAAAATGGAAATAATCAAATAATCCCCAAAAAACAGAAATTCCAAACATTAAAAAAAATGCAAGAAACCCAAGAAAGTCAAGAAATCCTACAATTACAAAAATCTGAAAAATACAAAAAACTGAAAATGTATAAAATATCTAAGAAATTCAAAAATCATAGAAAATCGAAAATATTCAAAAGATTAAAAAAATCCAAAATTAAAAAACCTAAAAAATCCAAGCAACCTAAGAAACACAAAAAACTCGAAATCCAATAATTTTAAAAATCATACAAATTAAAAATGCCCTAAAAATCTAAAAAATTCAAAAAATTAGAAAACAAAAGATCAAATAGAAAAATTGAAAAAATCGCATAATCCCCAAAAAAATTCAAAAAACAACAACAAAAAAACAGAAATTCCAGACAATTCAAAAAATCTAAAAAGCCCAAGAAACTCAAGAAATCCAAAGATTCCAAAAATCGGAAAAACTCAAAAATGTCCATAGAATCTAGACAATTCAAAAATTGAAAAAAATCGAAAATATTCAAAAGGTTAAAAAAAACCCAAAAAGTCAAAGAATTTAAAAAATCCAAAAATCTGTAAAGTACAAGCAACCTAAGAAACTCAAAAAATTGGAAACCCAATTATTCTAAAAATCCAAAAAATTGAAAATATCTTAGAAATCCACACAATTAAAAAAATTAGAGAACGAACAAAAGAACAAAAACAAAAAAAGACAGGAATTCCAAACAATTCAAAAAATCCAACAAGCCCAAGAAACTCAAGAAAGCCAATAATTTCAAAAATCTGAAAAATAAAAGATCGAAAATGCACAAAGATTTAAAAAAAACAAAAATCCAAAAAATCGAAAATAATCAAAAGTTTAAAAAATATCCAAAAAGTCAAAGAATTTAAAAATCCAAGAAAGCTAAGAAATTCAAAAAACTCGAAATCTAATAATTTTAAATAACCCTAAAAATTGAACATGTCTTAAACATTTAAAAAATTAGAAAACAAACAAAAAATCAAATGGAAAAATTGAAAAAATCCAGATGTAGCTGTTGGAGACTAGAATAGTACTTACCCGACTACTCGTCCAGCAGGTGCCTCCGCTTTCGCCAGACCTTTACTCACCAAGCGGGCGTAGTCATCCGCCACTGCTTGCTTTTCAGTACCAGTGATAGCATCATGGTGCTGCATTATCCCAATCGCAGCCCTCAACTCATTCAACGATTCATCTACATCTTTGCCAAAAGTTTTGGAAAACGCTGCCAGCTGCTTAGCGCTCTGCAAAACACCGCTGCCTTGTCTTTCGTACCTCTTGGAAGTGGGTCTTGACGTGAAGTACCCGGTCCAGAAGGCGTGCTGGTCTGACGCATATGGAAAAAAGTCGTCCGATTTCGTAGTCAGTTTCATCGAGTTTTTGCTGATTTCGTTATTAACGGCCTGAATGTAGCACGATGGGGTTGAGTAGAATACGTTGTATTTGGTGTGGTTTTTGAAGCCTCTGGAAGTTATTCTATGGTGACGGGAGGTGATATAGAATGGGTACGTACTTGATGAGTTTGTCTAGATTGGAGAAGTTGATTTCGGACGCTTGGTAGTTGAAGTCTCCGCCCATTGGGATGAGGAGGTTGGAGGTGGAGTAGTAGTAGATGTAGGTGTCCATGCGTTGTGCGAATTGGTCGACTTTTTGTTTTAGGTTGTAGTCGGGGCTTTCTTCGTCGTCGTTGATTGGGCGCTCGTTGCAAATCATGTCGAAGCAAAAGCCGGGCTCGGACACGTAGAAGTCGGGGAACATGGATGTGAAGAGGTTTGGGTTGTCTGAATCGAAAAATTGAAACGTCGAAATATCGGTTAATCGAGATTTCAAAAAATTATAACTAAAATTCGAAAAATCGAAATTCGAAATTGAACAAGAACAAGCAATTGAAACTAAGAAATTGAAATTAAAAAAAATTGAACTTAACAAATCGAAAAATTGAAAAATGCAGAAATGAAAAAATTCCTTAAATTAAAATTTTGAAAAATCAAGAAATCGAAAACTTCAAAATCGATAAATGAAAAAAATCGAAATTTCGAAAAATTTTATAAATCGGAAAACCAAGATGTCAGGAAGCGGAAAATTTGAAAAATCGAAGAGCTAAAAATCGGAATAAAAAAATTGAAGAATCGATAAACTGAAATTTGGGGAAATTGAAAAACTTTAAAATCGAGGAAAGAAAAAGTCGAAAAATCGAAAATCAACTTTAGAAAAGTCAAAAATTGAAAAATGTAAAATCGAAAACTTTAATAAATAGAAATTGAAAACCATAAAACTGAAACATCGGAAAATTGGAAAATCGAAAAATAAAAAAATCGAGAAATCGAAAAATCGATAAAATCAATCAATAGAAAAACTGAAACATCTGAAAATTGAGAAATTGAAAAATTAAAAATATCTAAAAATCGAAAAATTGTGAATTTGAAAAATCCCAAAACTGAAATATCGGAAAACTGAGTATCGAAAAATTTAAGTTCGAAAAAATTGTGAAATTGAAATATCGAGTAATTGAGAAGTCGAAATTTAAAAATCAAAAGACTGAAAAATCCTGAAACAGAAATTTCGAAAAATTGAAAAATCGAGAACCTGAAAAATCGAAAAATGAACTCGAGAAACCGAAAGAGGAAAACCAAAAATCGAAAAATTCAAAATTCTAAAAGTCCAAAAGTCGTAATATTAAAAAATCGGAAAGTCGAAAAATCGAAAAATCGAAAAATTGAAAAACCCAGGGAAAACTGAAGAAACGAAAAATTGTAAAACCGAAAAATCGAAATTCGAAAAACAAGAACGAATCGAAACACCGGAAAAATAAAGAACTAAATAAAGTTTAAAAAATCTAAAAACTGCGAAATCGACAAACTAAAAGATATGAAATTTAAAAAGCCAAAAAGTTATATCGAAAAATTGGAATGTAAAAAAAAATTTTTAAATCGAAAAACCGAGATGTCAAAAAATGGAAAAATCCAAAAGATACAAATTATAAAATTGAAAAATGGAAAAATCGAAAAATAGAAAAACGAGAAATCGAAATCTCAAAAATCCAAAATTGAAAATATCGAAAAATTAAAATATCAAAAAATGGAATAATAAAAAAACTGAAAAATCGAAAAATCTGAAAGTCGAAAAGTCCCAAATTCAAGAAACAGAATAGTAGACAAATCGAAAAATCGAAAAAACAACTTTAGAAAAGTAAAAAATTGAAAAATGTAAAATCGAAAACTTTAATAAATAGAAATTGAAAACCATAAAACTGAAACATTGGAAATTCGGAAAATCGAAAAATAAAAAAATCGATAAATCGAAAAATTGATAAAATCAATCAATAGAAAAACTGAAACATCTCGAAATTGAGAAATTGAAAAATAAAAAATATCTAAAAAGCGAAAAATGGATGAAAGGATAAATCGAAAAGTTGAAAACTGAAAAAAGCGAAGAAAAATTGAAAAATCGAAAAACCGAAATAACAGAAAATTGAGAAATCGAAAAATTGTGAATTTGAAAAATCTCAAAACTGAAATATCGGAAAATTGAGTATGGAAAAATTGAAGTTCGAAAAATTGTGAAATTGAAATATCGAGTAATTGAGAAGTCGAAATTTAAAAATCAAAAGACTGAAAAATCCTGAAACAGAAATTTCGAAAAATTGAAAAATCGAGAACCTGGAAAATCGAAAAATGAAGTCGAGAAACCGTAAGAGGAAAACCAAAAAATCGAAAAATTCAAAATTCTGAAAGTCCAAAAGTCGTAAAATTAAGAAATCGGAAAGTCGAAAAATCGAAAAATCAAAAATTGAAAAACTCAGGGAAAACTGAAGAAACGAAAAATTGTAAAACCGAAAAATCTAAATTTGAAAAACAAAAACGAATCGAAACACCGGAAAAATTAAGAACTAAATAAAGTTTAAAAAATCTAAAAACTGCGAAATCGACAAACTAAAAGATATGAAATTTAAAAAGTCAAAAAGTTATATAGAAAAATTGAAATGTCAAAAAAAAAATTTAAATCGAAAAACCGAGGTGTCAAAGAAGATAAAAAATTATAAGATTGAAAAATGGAAAAATCGAAAAATAGAAAAACGAGAAATCGAAATCTCAAAAATCCAAAATTGAAGAAACTTAAAAATTAAAATATCAAAGAATGGAATAATAAAAAAACTGAAAACTCGAAAAATCTGAAAGTCGAAAAGTTTAAAATTCAAGAAATAGAAAAGTCGAGAAATCGAAAAATCGAAAATTTTGAAAAGCCAAAAATTGAAAAATTCAGAAATCGGAAATTAAAAAAATTGATGAATAAATTCAAAAAATTGTAAACCGTAAAACTGGGACATCGGATAATTGGGAAATCGCAAAATGAAAGAATCTAGAAATCGAAAAATTGATTAAATCGAAAAATAGAAAAGTGGAAAATCGAAAAAAAATTCAAGATTCGAAAAACTGAAATATCGAAAAACTGATGAATGGGAAAATAGTAAAATCGAGAAAACGAAAAGTCGAAAAATCGATATATCGAAAAATTGAAAAATCAAAAAGTTAAAAAATCGAATAATTGTAGAAATAAAAACCTGAGAATTCGAAAAGTGAAGAAGTCTCGATACCGAAACATCGAAAAAGTCGGGAAATCGAGAACTAGGAAAACCAAAAAATCGAAAAATTTTAAAATTAAAAAATCCAAGGAAAACTGAAGAATCGAAATGTTGAAAAACCGTAAAGCCGAACCATCTGGAAATTGAGAAATTGAATAATAAAAAATTCTAGAAATCGAGAAAACTTGTAAAATGGTGAAAACGAAAAGTTGAAATTTCGAAGAATCGAAAATTTAAAACGTCAAAAACCTGAAAAATCTAAAAATTGTAGAATTGAAAAGTTGAAAACGTGAAAGCTTGAACAATCGAAAAATGAAGAAGTCGAAAATTGCAACATGGAAAAGTCGAGAAATCGGAAAATCAAAAAACCTAAGATATCGAAAAATCGAAAATTTAGAGACTCCAAAAATTGAAAATTTGAAAAATCGAAGAAATTAATTGAAAAATTGAAAAATCGTAGAACTGAAACGTCAGAAAACTGAGAAATTGAAAAATAAACATATCGAAAAATGGAAAATTTGAAAAATCCGAAAACTGAAATATCGAAAAATTGACTAATCGAAAAATTCAAAAACGAGAAATTGAAAAATCGAGTAATCGAAAAGTTGAAAAGTTTTAAAAGCAAAAGACCGAAAGATTTTAAAACTGAAATATCGAAAAATTGTAGGATTGAAAACTTGAAAATTTGAAAAATAAAAAAGTTGAGAAACCGAAACATCTAAAAGTCGAGAAATCCAGAAATAGGAAAATAAAAATAAAAAAATCGAAAATTTCAAAAATGGAGGAATATTGAAAAATTGAGAAATTGAAGAATCGAAAAATTGAAAAACCGTAAAACTGAAATATCGAAAAATTGAGAAATCGAAAAATCGAAAGATTGATTAACCGAGAAATCGAAAAATCGAAAATTTAGAAAAGCCAAAAATTGAAAAATTCAAAAATCCAAGATTTTAAAAATAGAAAAAAATTGATGAATGAATTCAAAAATTGGTGACCGTAAAACTGTAACATCGGAAAATTGGGAAATCGCAAAATAAAAATAGAAAAATGGAAAAATCGAAGGAAAATTAAAGAATGGAAAAACTGAAATATCGAAAAACTGATGAAAAGAAAAATTGTAAAATCGAGAAAACGAAAAATCGAAATTCGAAAAATTGAAAACTCAAAAAACTAAAAAAATTGTAGCATTGAAAACTTGAGAATTCTAAAAATGAAAAAGTCGCGACACCGAAACCACAAAAAAGTCGAGAAATCAAGAAATAGGAAAACCAAAAAATCGAAAAATCGAAATTTTTAAAAATCGAAGGAAAATTGAAGAATCGAAAAATTGAAAAACTGCAAAGCTGAATCAACTGAAAATTATGAAATTGAATAATAAAAAAAATCTAGATCTCGAAAAATAGATAAATCGAAAAATCGAAGAGAAACTGAGGAATCGAAAAACCGAAATATCGAAAATCTGATTGATCGAAAACTTTTAAAATGGTGAAAACGAAAAGTTGAAATTTCGAAAAATCGAAAATTCAAAAAGTCGAAAACCTGAAAAATCTAAAAATTGAAAAATTGAAAAATCGAAGAAATGAATTGAAAATTTGAAAAATCGTATAACTGAAACGTCAGAAAATTGAGAAGTTGAAAAATAAATAAATCGGAAAATGGAAAATTTGAAAAACCCGGAAACTAAAATATCGAAAAATTGACTAATCGAAAAATTCAAAAACGAGAAATTGAAAAATCGAGTAATCGAAAAGTTGAAAAATTTCAAAATCAAAAACCGAAAAATTTCAAAACTGAAATATCGAAAAATTGAAAAGTCCAAAACCTGAATAATCGAGAAATTGTAGAATTGAAAACTTGAAAATTTGAAAAATAAAGAAGTTGAGAAACCGAAACATTTAAAAGTCAAGAATCCAGAAACAAGAAAATAAAAAACGAAAAATCGAAATTTGAAAAATCGAGGAATATTGAAGGATTGAGAAATCGAAAATTCGAAAGATTGATTAACCGAGAAATCGAAAAATCGAAAATTTAGAAGAGCCAAAAATTGAAAAATTCAAAAATCCAAAATTTTAAAAATAGAAAAAATTGATGAATAAATTTAAAAATTGGTGACTGTAAAACTAAAAGATCGGAAAATTGGGAAATCGAAAATGAAAGAATTGAGAAATCGAAAAATTGATTAAATCGAAAAATAGAAAAATGGGAAAATCGAAGAAAAATTGAAGAATCAAAAAATTGAAATATCGAAAAACTGATGAATGGAAAAATTGTAAAATCGAGAAAACGAAAAGTCGAAAAATCGGAATATCGAAAAATTGAAAAATCAAAAACCTAAAAAATCAAAAAATTGTAGAAATGAAAACCTGAGAATTCGAAAAATGAAAAAGTCGCAATATCGAAACATCGAATAAGTCGAGAAATCGAGAAATAGGAAAACCAAACATTGAAAAATTTTAAAATTTAAAAGTCGGAAAGTCGTAAAATCAAAAAATCGAAAAGTCAAAAAATCGAAACATCGAAAATTTAAAAAAATGAAAAATTGAAAAATCAAAAACATGAAAAATCGAAAAATTGTAGAAATGAAAACCTGAAAATCGAAAAATCAAGAAGTCATGAAATCGAGAAATGAGAGAATCAAAAAAACGAAAAATCGAAAAATCTGAAAGTCGAAAAGTGCCAAACTCAAAAAATTGAAAAATTGGGAAATCGAAAAATCGAAATATTGATTAGCCGAGAAATAGAAAAATCAAAAATTTAGAAAAGCCACAAATTGAAAAATTCAAAACTCGAAACATCGAATAAGTTGAGAAATCGAGAAATAGGAAAACCAAGAAAATTGAAAAATTTTTAAATTTAAAAATTGGAAAGTCGTAAAGTCAAAAAATCGAAAAGTCAAAAAATCGAAGAACAATAAAACTGAACCATCTGAACCATCTGAAAATTGAGAAATTGAATAATAAAATAAATCAAGAAATCGAGAATTAGGTAAATCGATAAATCTAAAATTTGAAAAATTTGAAGAATCGAAAAATCGAAATATCGAAAAACTGAGGGATCCAAAACTTGTAAAATGGTGGAAACGAAAAGTCGAAATTTCGAAAAATCGAAAATTTAAAAAGTCAAAAATCTGAAAAATGTAAAAATTCTAAAAATTGAAAAATTGAAAACGTGAAAATTCGAACAATCGAAAAATCAAGAATTCGAAAAACCAAAACATGGAAAAGTCGAGAAATCGGAAAATTTAGAGACCCCAAAAATTGAAAAATCGAAGAAATGAATTGAAGAATTGATAAATCGTAGAACTGAAACGTCAGAAAATTGAGAAATTGAAAAATAAACAAATCGAAAAATGGAAAATTTGAAAAATCTGAAAACTGATAATCGAAAAATTGAGTAATCGACAAATTCAAAAAGGAGAAATTGAAAAATTGAAAAATCGAGTAATCGAAAAGGTGAAAGATTTATAAATCGAGAGATTGAAAAATTCCAAAACTGAAATACCGAAAAATTGAAAAATCGAAAAATTGTAGAATTGTAAATATGAAAATTTGTGAAATGAAGAAGTCGAGAAACCGAAACATCTAACAGTCGAGAAATCGATAAATAGGAAAATCAATAAATCCAAAAATCGAAAACTTAAAAAATCAATAAAAATTGTAGAATCGAAAAACCAAAATATCGAAAAACTGAGGAATCAAAAAATTGTTAAATCGAAACGAAGAGTCGAAAATTCTAATAATCGAAATTTAAAAAAATCAGAAATGCGAAATATCTAAAAATCGTGAAGTTGAAAAATTGAAAATCTGAAAATTCGAAAAAACGAAAAATCAGAAGTCGGGAGACCGAAACATCAAAAAGTCGAGAATCGGAAAATCATAAAAATCTAAAAAATCGAAAAATCGAAAATTTAGAGACGCCAATAATTGAAAAATTAAAAAATCGAAGTAATGAAGAGTCGAAAAATTGAAAAATCGTAAAACAAACATTGGAAAATTGAGAAATCGAAAAATAAATAAATGAAGAAATGGAAAATTTGAAAAATCCCAAAACTGAAATATCGAAAAATTGAGTATGGAAAAATTTAAACTCGAGAAATTGAAAAATTAAAACATCTAGTAATTGAAAAGTCGAAAAATTTAAAAATCAAAAGACCGAAGAATGCCAAAACCGAAACATCTCAGTCAAGACATTGAGAAAGAGAATAATCAAAAAATCGAAAAATTTAAAAATCTAAATGTCGAAAAGTCGTAAAATTTAGAAATCGGTAAGTTGAAAAATCTAAAAATCGAAAAATTGAAAAACCGAGAAAAAATTGAAAAGCCGTAAAAGTGAAAAGTGGTAAATTAGAAAAATCGAAAATTTGAAAAAGCAGAAACTTGAAAAATCTAAAAATTGTAAAGTTGGAAAATTGAAAAATTGAAAACCTGAAAATCCGAAAAAAAAGCAATGAAGAATCGAACAATTGAAAAATCGTAAAACTGAAGCTTGAGAAAATTGAGAAATCGGAAAACAAACAAGTCGAGAAATAGAACATTTGAAAAATCCCAGAACTGAAATATCGAAAAACTGAAAATTCGAAAAATTTAAAAACCAAAAGACTGAAAAATTCCAAAACTAATATCTAAAACATCGATAAGCCAAAAAATCGAAAATTCGAAAACTTGAGAAAACGAAAAATTGTACAATTTTGATTTGTTTCCAAAAATCTCGACGGCTAAAATAAAAATTCAACACGGATTCATAAACCACATGTTATCTTACAAAATTTAAATATATATCGCAAAATTTGTAGATGACGTCAATTTTTGACAATAATGGATCCAGTGATTTCGGATATTATCTGTATAACAAAATTCGACACAAAAACATGAAAGTATCCAGTCGCTCGGAAAATAAGTAAGCGGTCTCCCTTAAGTCCAGCTTACACATACAGGTTTCCTCCAAGCGCGCAACAAACAAATTGTAAGTAATTGAATTAGTAATATTTTTTATCTTAGCATGTATACAAAAAAATTAAGTAAACTTTTATCATTCTTAAAAATTAAATGTTTTATCAAAAACGATTAGCCAAATTTTAAGCTGATAATCTTGTTCTAAACAAAATTAACTAGTGGGATGAACTCCGAAAGATTAATGTATTAAGTTTTAGCATAAAGTTGATATTTTTTATCAAATCGGAAACATAATGAACATTTTTAATTTTTTATCACGTGTGCAATGTAATATGTAATATGTTTCATCAATTTTATTACAGTAAAAAATCCCAAACACAAACATTCTCCATTGTGTTCGGATTTTTTAGTAATCCTATCATTTCAATCTGTGTAATAAATTCAATGACACATTACATCGCACACGTGATAAAAAACTAAAAATACGACAGATTTATTTTTGAGATGACGTCATCAGTATTCCATAGGGGATAAACAAATAAATGTTAATTATGTCCCTTTTTTTGGAGTTGATAGCAAACATCATTTTAGTTTTAACTTCAGTATTTCCACAGTAAAGATGAAAATTCTGAAAAACTCCATACCCAAGTTGTCACTAGCCCGCCACAGAAAATCCAAATTGCCGTTCGCCCTCCTTTTCTCCTTATCCCTGAAATCAATACGTCCAATAATCAACCCTTGAAAGCCCAACTGATTCAAAAGCGACGCATGTTCCCTACTGTGACCAAAAGGATCAATCTGCCATCCAATTTTCGGCCGTCCACATTCCCCCAGAGTATCATTTAGGAACCTGCGGACAAACACAAACCAAATAATTCGTTTTTCGTAATTAATGCACTTTTACCGGAAGCCCCAAGTAAACTGATCTATGGTCGAGCGGTAATGAGACGCCGCCTCATCATTCATGGACCAAGCCCCATTAATAATCTCCAATTGTCCATTATTAACCAAATCAACCACGTCCTGCCGCACTGCATCGTTTTGGTTCCGCCACCATTTCCAGAAGAAGGCGGTCTCGACCTGGATGAACCTGGGGTGTGAGGTTTCGTAATTAATTAGAAACAAAGATTGTAATGTTATTTATTTTATTTTATTATCCATTGTTTAAACTACATGACCTGATCTATTTTTTGGCGATTTTGTGTTGATGTTACACATAATAAATCATCGATTTACGTCGGGATTGTTTCAGCTGTTTGCATAAATACAATAAAAATCCGATAAGATAATCCCTAATACTTTGTTAAGTGTGTTTGGGTCTGGGGTTGACATAGTTGGAATTTTTAATCAATCAGGATCATTTACGAGGGTAATTCAAATTTTTAGATTTTATTACTAAATTTTTCTTGTTTATTTTTTTTTAATGCACTTAATTATAAAAGTGAGAACAAAGCCAAAAACAAGACCTTCTTTCTAGAGGGAAAAAAAACTAAAGCACTCCATTTTTATTGACTGTATATTCAGACTAAATATTTAAAATAGAAAATTTGTGTTTTCTGATAACCTTTATATAATAAAAACCAGTGGTGTAGATATATTCAAAGCAAATATCCATCGGAAAATAGTGTATTATTATCAGTATACATGCTTAACTTCGATTGTTTATGTTTATATATCGGAAGAATGTCACGTAGAATTTTGTTTAATTTGAATGAGTTGTCTCCTCAAAACAGAAGACTAACATTATTAATTAAAACACAATGAAACAAAATGTTTTGAATATGGTTCTCAGTTTGATCAATAAAAAATTGGCCGAAGACTACAAGTATAATCCGACAAATCCAGCTTTTTTAAAAAATGATAAAATTTGATTTTACGATTTTCGTTCTGTGATAACCGCTGTAAAGTAAAAAACCAGAGGCATAAATAACACCCATTGTCCTTCAGCACTAGGCAGTGTTTATTTATATTTATACATCGGAAGAATGTCACGTAGAAATTAGTTTGATTTGAATGAATTTGTGGGTGTTCTTCACATTTTCGAGAAATAAACCCATACGCCGCCCCGGTACGACGCCTAGGGGTCTTCGAGACCCTTCTAGCAAATACGGCGATAATGACTCATCGTCGATGATGTGGCCGGATGGCGTTCGCTACAGAAAAGCCTGGAAGCGGAACTCGCGATTGGTATTCCAGAAAGATGCCGATCACCGAACATCGAGAAGGAAGTATGGGTTTAAACAGAGAACAAGGATTATTCAGCGAACAAGTCGAGTACAGCGAGTGTTGAGAAAATCCAGACAAGTTGCGCCGGAATTATTTTTGTACATAATCGCTGTGTAATTAGTCGTGTGAATTTGAATTACCAACAAATAAATTGTTGTTTAATCCAGGCCAAAAATTAAAAAAGGTAATAAAAAAACGTTCGAAACAAAAAAAGATACAACGTACAAAGAACGATACAAAAAAGAGGCGTCAAAAAAGGAACAAATATGCCACAACAAAGGTCATAAAAAAACGAAACGAAAAAAGGCACCAAAAAATTGAGCGAAAAATCGACAAAAAGGTAAAAAAGTTCACAAAAATCCGACAAATAAAAAAAAGCCAAAAAAAACAAAAAAAGTATCGCGACAGAAAGAAGGCGACCAAAAGAAACACAAAGAAAAGCAACAAAAAGAGGCAATAAAAACTACAAAAAGACCTGAAAAGGAGTCAAAAAGAGTCCAAACAAAAACTATACAAAAAAGGCGACCAAAAAAAGAAGCAAAAAAGGGACAAAAAGAGACGTCAAAAAAAGGGGAAGTCCACAAAAATCCGACGAAAAAGTTAACAACAAAAGACGGGTACCAAAAAAGGTAATAAAAAATACCAAAAAATGCGTAAAACGCGCAACAATAAAACAACAGAAAACAACACAAAAAATGCTATAATAAAGAAAAAGGTAGCAAAAATCGAAAAAAGAAGCAATAAAAATTTACAAAAACTGCGACAAAAAAGGCGACAAAGAAACAGAGACGAAAAAAGGAAAAAAAAATCAAGAAAAAATGCTATAAGAATGACACAAAATGCGAGAAAAAAAATTAACGAAACAAAAAAGAAGACGATAAAAAGAAACACAAAAGAGGCGACAATCAAAGAAACACACAAAGAAGACAAAAAAAGATGCTTCAAGTTAAATATGACAAAAAAATAGGGCAAATGAAGTGTAAACAGAAACGACGGAAATAAAAGCCACAATAAAACAGGAAAAAAGATGACAAAAAATAAGCGTCAAAAATAAAGGTTGCGAAAAACCTATAGAGAAGGCGGGAAAAATGGTGCGAAAAATGATTAAAAAAAAAGACACGAAAAGGGCTATAGAAGAGAGGTCAAGAAGGTTCCACAAACAACCATACAAAAAAAGGGTGTGAAAAAAAATGGCAAATATGGTAGAAAAGTGGTAAAAAAATGTACTAAGAAAAGGCAAAACTAGGCGATAAAAGAAGGCGAAAAAAAAGTGCACAACAATCCGACAAAATAAAATACTGCAAAAATAGACCACAAAAGAAGACGAAAAAATGGGGCAGAAAACGGGGACCCAAAAAAGGCAACAAGCCCTGACAAAGAAAAACACCAAAAAAGCCACAAGAAAGGCAACAAAAAACAGAGACAAACAAACAACGCGGTTGAAGAAAGCGACTAAGAGAAACACAAAAGAAATGGACAAAAAAGAACAATAAAGACTACAGAAAAGGCCAGAAAAGGTGTCAAAAAGGGTCCAAACCAAATCAATGCAAAAAAAGGGGACAAAAAAGGAAGCAAAAAAGGGAGAAAAAAATAGAAAGTCCACAAAAATCTGACAAAATCAACGACAAAAGACGGGTACTAAAAAAAGGCAACAAAAAATATCATAAACTACATAAAAACGTAACAATAAAACAACAGAGAACAAGACAAAAAATGCCACAAAATAAAAGGTAGCAGAAAATGGGAAAAAGGAGCAAAAATGTGTACAAAAACTTCCACAAAAAATGATGATAAAAGAAGCGACTAACAAATAAAAGATAAAGAAGCAGAGACCAAAAAAATGAAAAAGGTGACAAAAACCGACGAAAAAAAGCAACAAAAAATGGCATAAAAACCACATACAATCCAACAAAAAAAAAAAAACAAAAACAAAAAATTAACGCCGCAAAAAAAGAAGACGACCAAAAGAAACACAAATAAGACAAAAAAGATGCTCCAAAATAAACATGACGAAAAGTGGACAAAAAATACAGCAAATAAAGTGCAATGAAAAAAAAACACAAATAAAAGCCAGAATAAAAGAGGAAAAAAGACGACAAAAAAGAGGCGCCAAAAATAAAGGTTACAAAGAAGGCTATATATAGACAAGTGGTGAAAAAGGGTGCGAAAAAGATTTAAAAAAGGGCCACTAAAACGGCTGTAGAAGAGGAGTCAAAAGGGGTCCACAAACAACGGTATAAAAAAAGGTGTGTAAAAATGTCAAAAAAAAGGTAAACAAATTTCTATAGAAGAGGAGCCAAAAGAGGCCCCAAAAAACGAGAGAAAAAAAGGTGACAAAAAGAAAGGAGACAAATAACGACGAAACTAGTCGATAAAAAAAGATGAAAAATGTGCACAACAATCCGATAAAATCACGGCAAAAATAGGCGACAAATGAAGACGAAAAAAGGGGGCAGAAAACGGGGACCAAAACAACACACAAATTCCGACAAAGAAAAAAGTTTGAAAAGGAATCAAAATGGCGCCAAATAAATAACAAAAAGGGAGTACAAGAAGGAGGAAAAGGGGGCGTCAAAAAAGTCCACAAAAAATCGGCAAAGAAAATCGATAAAAAATTCCACAAAAAAGTGTCAAAAAAAGACGACCAAGAAGGCCAAAAAAGAGATAAAAAGGTCCCAAAAAAGGTAACAAAGACCGAAAAAAAAAGAGAAGAAAAAACTTCACAAAAACCCCGGCTAAAAATGTCGACAAAAAATCTGCAAAAGAAAGCGAAAAAAAAGACTACAAAAAAAAACGAGGACCTAGGAAATGCCACAAAAAATAGCAAAAAACCGGGCGGTAAGAATAAAACCAATAAAAAATTACACAGAAAAAGGCAACATAAAAAAAGACAAAAACTGCAATAAAAAAATGCGCAACAAAAAAGGTTCCCAAAAAAGAAAAAAAGGGTTTAAAAAAACGCCAAAACGCTAAAAAAATGCTACAAAAAAAGTAAAAAAAAAGTGCTATAGAACAAGAGTAAAAAGGGCTCTCAAAAACGAGACAAAAAAAGGTGACAAAAGGAAAACAAACAGAAAACGACAAAACTAGGCGATTAAAGATGTACAACAATCCAATACAACAAATCACACACAAAAAAGAGACAAAAAAATGTGAGAAAAAAGGTAACAAAACCCGACAAAAAAAAGAGAAGAAAAATGTTCACAAAAACTCTGATAAAAAACTGCAAAAAGAAGGCGAAAAAAGGTTACAAAAAAGCGAGAACCTAGGAAATGCTACAAAAAAAAGCAAAAAACCGGACGATAAGAATAAAAGCAATAAAAAATGACACAGAAAAAAAAGACAACTTAAAAAAGAAACAGCGACAATAAAAGAGCCAAACAAACACGACAAAAAAAGAGGCAAAAAGGATCCACAAAAAAGCGATACAAAAGAAGCGTTAAATAACGACAAAAAATGCTACAAAAAAAAGTTTAAAAAAAGTGCTATAGAAAAAAGACTAAAAAAAGGCTCTCAAAAACGAAACAAAAAAAGGTGAGAAAAGGAAAGGAGACAGAAAACGACAAAACTAGGCGATAAAAGAAGGTGATAAAAACTGTTCAACAATCCGACAAAACTGCAAAAACAGGTGACAAAAGAAGACGAAAAAATGGGATCACAAAACCGGAATAAAAAAAAATACGACCAAGGGGGTAAAAAAATGGTCCAAAAGAGAGATAAAAAAGGTGACAAAAAAAGGTAGCAGTTACCGCCAAAAAAAGACAAGAAAACAATTCATAAAAACTCCGATTAAAAATGCCGAAAAAAAAGTCGCTAAAGAAGGCCAAAAAAAGCTAGGAAATGCAAAAAAAAACAAAAAACGGGCGATAAGAATAAAAGCAAAAAAAATGGCACAAAAGGAAAAGGCAACATAAAAAGAACACAAAAAGCACTACAAACAAAAGGTAAAATAGGTGCTATAAGAAAAGGTAAAAAAAGTGCTATAGAAAAAGAACAAGTCAAGGTAGCAGAATATAGGAAAAAGAAGCAAATGAAGTGTACAAAAACTTACACAAAAAATGATCACAAAAAAAACGCCAAAAAAAAACGATAAAGAAACAGGGACCAAAAATCAAAGAAAAAAGGCGACAAAAACTGGCAAAGAAGAAGCAACAAAAAATGGCATAAAAACAAAAGAAACACAAAAGAGGCGACAATGGAGGAAATACAAAGAAGACAAAACAGAAGACAAATAAAAGCCACAATAAAAGAGCAAAAAAAGACGAGAAAAAGGAGACGCCAAAAATAAAGGTTAGAAAAAAGGCTATAGCGAAGTGGTCAAAAACGGTGCGAAAAAGATTTAAAAAACTGCTACGAAAACGGCTGCAGAAGAGGGGTCTACAAATAACGGTATAAAAAATGCTACAAAAAAGGCAAAAAAAGTTCTATAGAAAAGGAGTCAAAAAAGGCCTTAAAAAACGACACAAAAAAAGGTGACAAAAAGAAAGGACAAAAAAACGACAAAACTATGCGAGAAAAGAAGGTGAAAAAATGCACACAACAATCCAACAAAATCACCGCAAAAATAGGCGACAAAAGAAAACGAAAAGAAAGGCAACAAACTCCGACAAAGAAAAACGACAGAAAAAGCTACAAGAAAGACAACAAAAAACAGATACAGAAAAAGGCGACAAAAAGTAACGCTGTTGTAAAAGGGGATCAAAAGAAATACAAGTAAAAGCGTCAAAGAGACAAAAAAATACAAAAAGGAAACAGAAAAGGAGTCCAAATGGGGCCAAATAAACATGAAAAAAAAATCGACGAAAAAGGGAGTCCAAGAATGAGCACAAAGAGGCGTCAAAAAATCCACATAAAACCGACAAAGAAAATCGATAAAAAATGACACAAAAAAGTGTCAAAAAAAATTAGAGCACAAAAGCAAGACCAAGAAGGTCAAAAAGCGTACAAAAAGAGATTAAAAAAAGATAACAAAAACCAACAAAAAAGAGATGAAAAAAATTCACAGTAACTCCCACTAAAAATGACAATAAAAAAGCGAAAAAAAGCTACAAAAAAGAGGACCTAAGAAATGCAGCAAAAAAGCAAAAATCTGGGGGATAAGAGTAAAAGAAATAAAAAATGGATTAAAAAAAGGCAACATAAAAAAAAGACAAAAATTGCAACAACACAAAAAGCACTACAAAAAAAGGTAAAATAGGTGCTATAAGAAAAGGTAAAAAAAGTGCTATAGAAAAAGAGTAAAAAAAGAATATCTGAAACGAGACAAAAAAGGCGAAAAAAGGAAAGGAAACAGAAAACAAAAATGGGCGATGAAAGAAGGTGAAAAAAAGGGAGCATAAAACGGGGACCAAAAAGGTCAAAAAATGGTCCCAAAAGCGAGATAAAAATGTTGACACAAAAAGGTAATAAAAACCGACAAAAAAAAGACAAGAAAAAGGTTCACAAAAACTCCGACTAAAAATGACGACAAGGAAACTGCAAAAGAACGGGAAAAAAAGGCTACAGAAAAACGAGGACCTAGGAAATGCAACAAAAAAAAAGCAAAAGACCGAACGATAAGAATAAAATCAATAAAAAATGGCACAGAAAAAAGACAACTTTAAAAAGAACCACAAAAAAATGCGTTACAAAAAAAGGTTGCCAAAAGAGACAAAAAAAAAACGGCGACAATGAAAGAGTCAAACAAACACGACAAAAAAAGAGGCAAAAAAATCCACAAAAAAAAAAACTATACGAAAAAAGGCGTTAAAAAACGTCAAAAAATGCTACAAAAGAGTTAAAAAAAGTGGTAGAGAAAAACGAGACACAAAAAACAGCAAAAGAAGGCGAAAAAAAGCTGCAGAAAACCGGGGACCTAGGAAATGCAACAAAAAAAGCAAAAAAACGGGCGATCAGAATAAAAGCAATAAAAAATGGCACAAAAAATGCTACAAAAAAAAGGTTGCCAAAAGAAACAAAAAAACACGGCGACAATGAAAGACCCAAAAAAAGGAGTAAAAAATCCCAAAAATAAACGTTGAAAAGTTAAAAAAAAAGCCTAAAAGAAAAATGACAACAAAAAAGCGAAGAATGGGCCATAAAAGAAAAAACACAAAAAACACCAAAATACGCCAAAAAGGGTAACAGAAAGCGACAGAATATGTTACAAAGAGGTGAGAAATAGTGGAACACCGAAAAGGCGACAAAGAGGACAATACATAAAACTACCAAAAGAAACACAGAAAATCAACAAAAAACACAACACAAATTTTGAAATAAAAATGACAGACTGATAAATTACAAATATCGAATGAGTCACCAATTCATCATATTTTGCACACTTTAGCTAGGATTTATTCAGCAAAATTTTGGGATGAAATAAACAAGTTTTTGGAACGAATGAACAAAAATTTTAATTAGCGATTTACCATATTTAACGTAAATATTTACGTTAACCTTGGAACATTTACAAGATTTCAGAGGAGTCGGTTTTATCGACAAGCGTCATCCACCTTCCCTCCCCATTTTATTGGTTTTTTTAGTTTCCAACCAAACTATCAAGAAGATTGATTCTAAGTTTTTTAACAGTTTCGATTTGTGTTAGAAAATTATTGATTTATTGATTTAGCAAATACAATAATAGAGATAATAAATATTGCAAAACCTGGATCAAATGTAGACTGTAGAACTGATATTTCAAATAAACAAAATTTTTCACGATTGATTAGTGAGACAGTTCACACTGGAACAATGGACTATTTTTATTTTCCAATAGGTACATTAAGGCCCAGTGACCACCAAAAATTAAATTAAAATCGGATTAACAAGAACACCCAAACCTATATTAAATACTTTGTCTTTAAATACGTAATCTTTTTCGATAACCAAGAAATTAAAACCACCTACTGGACATAAAAAGTAGTTTAAACAAACTCGAATTAAGATTTATTATCTTTAGCCCACTGACATTTAAATCTGACATTAAAACAAGCTTCGAATCCCGAGCTAGCAATAACATAATTAAAACAACTCTGATAAAACCTCCTCGATAATTATCACCAACAACATCAAAACATAGAAAAACCGTGACTCAACAAAATTTACCTTCTGTCAGGATGACTCCGTAGAGCGTCCACGGCGGAGCTGATAATGTACTGCACTCCTGCAGTCTCATAGCTAGTAAAAACTACCAATTTAACAATTACTCGACTGTCCTTGCTCGAAATCAAGCAGTTCAATTACCTCCAGACCCGTAGTAGTACTGATCCACGGTCTTCAGCCACCCGACATCATCGTGCGAATGCGGGATCAAATGAACGTTGATTTTCCCCTCAACGGTCGGATGGCAGGCCTGAAAACAAATTCGCCACTTCGCGACTTTCTAAATGCGGTACTTACGTTACAAGTGGCCGCTTTTGAGTCTCGTCTGACGGGAACTGCAGCCACTAGGAAGTTCAAGGAGAGTACCACAAGCACTGTTCGATGATCCATGGTACGACCTGTGCTGTTTACATGTTGTGCTCCTTGTTTATGGAAACTCGAGCGCCACTTTAGATTTTGAGACGAGTACCGATTTTGAGATTTGGATATCTGGAGATATATTGTTGCTAGGCTGCACCAGGTTCAGCGTCGGACGGATTTTGTGCCCGGGAAGTACCTTAGCTGGGAAGGGGGAACGCTTTTGTTGGAAGCGAATACGGCGAAGTTGGGTGATGGGAGAGTGGGTTGAAATGCACGGCTGGTAATGGTAGTACGAAGCCAATACAATGATGTGATCGGGTTTTTTCAAAATCGGACAATAAAACTGAATCATTGTCCGTGAAACGGATTATTCGGACGGTTTAAACAGTGTAATAATAAAATTGTACAAAGAAATTGAATCATTGCAAGTGAAACTGATCATTTACGTATTTTAAACGATTAACTGAAATTTTAATTCAGCAAAAACCCAGATGTGGAAAAAATTGTTTTGTTAAAAAACGTGAAATCGAACGAAAGTTGTCCAAAACTCTTCGAAAAATGATTCAGAATGCAATAAAGTATGGCAGACCAGGAATTGTTAAATGAAAAGCTACTTAAAAATTATTAGAAAACAACTTCTCATTTTACAGAGATTCATCTTGGGACTCGTCCTCATTTTACTCACACATCAACGATTTCCCAGAATGTATGAACTAAAACGAATCTCTTTACTACTGGCATATCTCTACAGATATGAAAATTTTAATGCTTTGAAGATTTTTTCTTTCCTCAGTTGTAATTCTAGAACTCATTCTGTTCTACGTAAAGCGGTTTTGTTTTCATGTTATTTGTTATATCTTTTTTGAAAACGGAGTATAGCGTATAATATGCGACAGGTCTTTTGAGAATAAAATCTTTTGTTACTTTCTTGTGTGTTAATAATTTAAATCTGTCGCCATACCATCGTAATGCCTTGGGTTTTACCATCCGGTTGCTTATTGAAGATTTCTCTTCTTCATGAATAAATTAGACAAAAAAGTTGTTAAAATTTGTGCTCTCTAGAGCCTGTCACACTTCCTAAAAAATAGCCTTACCCCTAAAAATTTTATAATAAGGATCACATCACAAAAATTATTTGTCTTGGAGTAGATTTCAAACATGGAAATGTAGTTATGCAACTTAATATACACTTATCTATAATCATTGTTGCTGTCACAGAATTAAAGGCTTTTGAAATTCCTGGATTCACTATTGTCTTTGAACTTTCACAGTATTTAGAATATTTTGACAAATGTTTAGAATTGTGTAATTTTTTGAAATTTTCAAAAATTCGACTTTCGCAGCGATTTTTTCGAAAATGTGCTTCGTGACCACCAACATGCTATATTTTTGGAATCAGCGTGTCGAGATCTACGTCCCTGAATTTTTTCATAATGTTTAGACAACTTTTTTAAAATTGAAATTTTTGATTGGTTCTTCAAATTTCGCAAAAATTTTGACATTTTCGAAACTCAACTAAATATATTTTCTTGCAGATTTCGAGCTCTAGAACTCAAATCCGGCTTCGGTTTTTTGACACCTGCCACCGTTTTTCAAGAATCGACCATTGAAGTTTCTAAATTTTTGAAATTTTGAAAATTTAGCTTTTCGCAGTGATTTTTACGAAAATGTTGCTTTGCGACAATCAACATGCTATATTTTTGGAATCAGCGTGTCGAGATCTACGTCCCTGAATTTTTTCATAATTTTTAGACAAATTTTTCTAAATTAAAATTTTTTAATGGTCCCCCCTTATTCAAATTTCGCAAAAATTTTGACATTTTCGAAACTCAACTAAATATATTTTCTTGCAGATTTCGAGCTCTAGAACTCAAATCCCGTTTCGGTTTTTTAATACCTGTAACCGTTTTTCCAGAATCGACCACTGAAATTTCGAAATTTTTAAAATTTTCAAAAATTCGTTTTTCGCAGTGATTTTTTCGAAAGTGTTGCTTGGTGACCATCAACATGCTATTTTGGAATCAGCGTGTCGAGATCTACGATCCTGAATTTTTTCATTATTTTTGGACAACTTTTTTAAAATTGAAATTTTTTAATGTTCCCCCTTCTTCAAATTTCACAAAAATTTTGACTTTTTCGGAACTCAACTAAATACATTTTCTTGTAGATTTCGAGCTCTCGAACTCAACTCCGTCTTCGGTTTTTTGATATCTGCAACCGTTTTTCCAGAATCGACCGTTGAACTTTCCAAATTTTTTAAATTTTCAAAAATTCGCATTTCACAGTGATTTTTTCGAAAATGTTGCTTCGTGACCATCAACATGCTATAATTTTGGAGTCAGCGTGTCGAGATCTACGTCCTTGAATTTTTTCATAATTTTTGGACAACTTTTTTAAAATTGAAATTTTTTAATGGTCCCCCCTTCTTCAAATTTCGCAAAAATTTTGACTTTTTCGAAACTCAACTAAATACATTTTCTCGTAGATTTCGAGCTTTCGAACTCAAATCCGTCTTCGGTTTTTTGATATCTGTAACCGTTTTTCCAGAATCGACCGTTGAACTTTCCAAATTTTTGAAATTTTCAAAAATTCGCATTTCGCAGTGATTTTTTTCGAAAATGTTGCTTCGTGACCATCAACATGCTATAATTTTGGAGTCAGCGTGTCGAGATCTACGTTCCTGAATTTTTTCATAATTTTTGGACAACTTTTTTAAAACTGAAATTTTTTAATGGTCCCCCCTTCTTCAAATTTCGCAAAAATTTTGACTTTTTCGAAACTCAACTAAATACATTTTCTTGTAGATTTCGAGCTCTCGAACTCAAATCCGGCTTCGGTTTTTTTGAAATTTTCAAAAATTCGCTTTTCGCAGTGACTTTTACGGAAATGTTGCTTTGTGACAATCAACATGCTATATTTTTGGAATCAGCGTGTCGAGATCTACGTCCCTGAATTTTTTCATAATTTTTAGACAAATTTTTTTAAATTGAAATTTTTTAATGGTCCCCCCTTCTTCAAATTTCGCAAAAATTTTGACATTTTCGAAACTCAACTAAATACATTTTGTTGTAGATTTCGAGCTCTAGAATACAAATCCGGCTTTCGTTTTTTGATACCTGCAACCGTTGTTCCAGAATCGACCGTTCACTTTCCAAATTTTTGACATTTTCAAAAATTCACATTTCGCAGTGATTTTTACGAAAATGTTGCTTTGTGACAATCAACATGCTATATTTTTGGAATCAGCGTGTCGAGATCTACGTCCCTGAATTTTTTCATTATTTTTAGACAAATTTTTTTAAATTGAAATTTTTTAATGGTCCCCTTCTTCAAATTTCGCAAAAATTTTGACATTTTCGAAACTCAACTAAATACATTTTGTTGTAGATTTCGAGCTCTAGAATACAAATCCGGCTTTCGTTTTTCGATACCTGAAACAGTTTTTCCAGAATCGACTGTTGAAATTCCGAAATTTTTTCGAATTTTCAAAAATTCGCATATCGCAGAGATTTTTTCGAAAATGTTACTTCGTGACCATCAACATGACACATTTTTGTAATCAGCGTGTCGAGATCTACATCCCTGAATTTTTTTATAATTTTTAGACAACTTATAAAAATTGAAATTTTTTAATGGTCCCCCCTTCTTCAAATTTCTCAAAAATTTTGTACATTTTCGAAACTCAACTAAATATATTTTCTTGTAGATTTCGAGCTATAGAATTCAAATCCGGCATCGGTTTTTTGATACCTGCAACCTGCAACCGTTTTTCCAGAATCGATCGTTGAAATTCCGAAATTGTTTCGAATTTTCAAAAATTCGCATTTCGCAGCGATTTTTTCGAAAATATTGCTCCGGGCCCATCAACATGCTATATTTTTGGAATCAGCGTGACGAGATCTACGTTCCTGAATTTTTTCATAATTTTTGGACAACTTTTTTAAAATTGAAATTTTTTAATTCTTCAAATTTCGCAAAAATTTTGACTTTTCGAAACTCAACCAAATATATTTTCTTGTAGATTTCGAGCTATAGAACTCAAATCCGGCTTCGGTTTTTTGATACCTGCAACCGTTTTTCTAGAATCGATCGTTGAAATTCCGAAATTGTTTCCAATTTTCAAAAATTTGCATTTCGCAGCGGTTTTTTCGAAAATGTTGCTTCGTGACCATGCTATATTTTTGGGATCAGCGTGTCGAGATACACGTCCCTGAAATTTTTCATAATTTTTAGACAACTTTTTTAAAATTGAAATTTTTCAATGGTCCCCCCTTCTTCAAATTTCGCAAAAATGTTGACATTATCGAAACTCAACTAAAAACATTTTCTTGTAGATTTCGAGCTCTAGAACTCAAATCCGGCTTCAGTTTTTCGATACCTGCAACCGTTTTTCCAGAATCGACCACTTAAATTTCGAAATTTTCGAAATTTCACTAAATACATTATACTTGTAGATTTCGGGCCGCAGAAGTCATATCCGCTTTCATTTCTTCGATAACTGCAATGTTTCTTCCAGAATCGTTCTTTGAAACATTCAAAAATATGCAAAATACCCCAATTTTCGACCAATTTTTGACAAAATTTTCGAAATTTCACTTAATACATTTTCTTGTATATTTCGGGCCGCAGAAGTCATATCCGCTTTCAGTTCGTCGATAACACCATTGGTTTTTCCAGAGTCGTCCTTTGAAACATTAAAAAATAAGCAAAATACCCCAATTTTCGACAAATTTTCAACAAAATTTTCGAAATTTTACTTATTACATTTTCTTGTAGATTTCGGGACGCAGAAATCATAACCGCTTTCATTTCTTCGATAACTCCATTGGTTTTTCCAGAATCGTCTTTTGAAACATTCAAAAATATGCAAAATACCCCAATTTTCGACCAATTTTCAACAAAATTTTTGAAATTTTACTTAATACATTTTCTTGTAGATTTCGAGCTCTAGAACTCAAATCCGTCTTCGGTTTTTTGATACCTGCAACCGTTTTTCCAGAATCAACCGTTGAAATTTTGAAATTTTTGAAATTTTCAAATATTCTCATTTCGCAGTGATTTTTTCGAAAATGTTGCTTCGTGACCATCAACATGTTAAATTTTTTAAATCAGCGTGTCGAGATCTACGTCCCTGAATTTTTTCATAATTTTTGGACAACTTTTTTAAAATTTAAATTTTTTAATGGTCCCCCCTTATTCAAATTTCGCAAAAATTTTGACATTTTCGAAACTCAACTAAACACATGTTCTTGTAGATTTCGAGCTCTAGAACTCAAATCCGTCTTCGGTTATTTGATACCTGCAACCGTTTTTCCAGAATCGACCGTTGAAATTTCGAAATTTTTGAAATTTTCAAAAATTCGCATTTCGCAGCGATTTTTTCGAAAATGTTGCTTCGTTACCATCAACATGTTATATTTTTGGAATCAGCGTGTCGAGATCTACATCCCTGAATTTTTTTATAAGTTTTAGACAACTTTTTTAAAATTGAAATTTTTTAATGGTCCCTCTTTCTTCAAATTTCGCAAAAATTTTGACATTTAAAAACTCAACTAAACACATTTCCTTGCAGTTATAATCGCATTTAAAAAATACGCTGTTCAACACTTTGCTCATATATTTACGTCTTTTTGTACACATTATTTTGCCTCAACTCTAATAATAAACGTCCGTATTTGCATCGGATGCAACTCAATCTTCAAAGGATCATTCTCATCCAATGTCATCCAAGGCGTCGGCGCATTGTCGTTCCAAACCAACTTCTCCTCTCTTTCGTAGTCGTCCAACCACTGATTAGCACCAAGAGTAGTTTCACCAATCGCAGAAATTTGAAAACCAGTGAAAAGGTTCTAAAACGTCAACTTCTAGAAACATTGTTTCCAAAAACAAAAAATACCTCTATGTCAACCACGACCGGCTTGGATAAAACCGCATCTTCGCCCTTTTCCATCACGTGCTCGAGTCGCAGAAGGTAAGTATCGTCCCTCCAGGGTTCTAGAGTTAGAAGATGAACATTCTCCGGAAGGGGTCTTGTAAGACCTGCGAACTATAAATAACTGAAAAATGAAAATCGAATTCCAAAAGTAACGACTACCTTAAAGTTGATAAAACTTTTTGTGTTTTCTAACGAGCTGAAGGGTCCTTCTGTGGAAGCAACTGCTAGTACCCATGGTGCTAGTAATTTCTTACGAGCTAGATCTCGTTCTATCGCAGCAGCTGATTTCTCTTAAATTACAATTTATAATAAGTACACTATGACTCTCTAGATGCTACTAATCCTACCACCATCGTCTTCGGTTGTTATTGGTCCAAAAACCAGATAATGTTGACCCCTCGCATACAACCCTTTCCCATACTCGTCTTCTTTTAGAGCTTCACCAACCCCAAAACCGTCATCTCGCACTAACCTTCTATGGACCATCAATTCAATCACACCATCACCCAAACTACTACCCCCTTGTGCTCTATCATTCAACACAGCCACCTCTAAATTCCGTTCTTCATCCTTGACTACTATCTTCGACGTGACGGGGTAATAGTTACTAGAAATCGGGTCATCAGTTGCATCGTAATCATAATCACTTCTTTTATTCAATTCTCGACGGATTTGTTCCCGACCGTTGGAATCCGTATAGAAGACACCTTTATTGGAGAAATTCTGAACAGCAAATCTTGTGATAACTTCTTTTCCGGCGTTGGAGTCTCTGAAAAGTGTTAACTAGTCGAAATGGTTTCACACGAAAATGTTCTTACTGTTGTAGGTTTCCAACTAACCAGTCAAACTCTATAAACCCACTGTCGTCTTTGTAAACACGAATAACTTGAGACACTTCTGGACTGTACACTTGGAGAACTTCGTCTACGAGTTTTCCTTTGATAAACTTAACTTCGAGTTTTTCGGAAGTTATAAGTTTGGCTTGTTTGTCTGTGGTTCGAAACACGTAGGCACCGGAAACTCGACCACCACTAGAATAACCTTGATAATACATAAAATCTTGTGTGATGTTAAGAGTTAGCCCGTTGATAGTTACTGAATTTAATCTTCCAGTGTTTGTATCAATGGTAAATCCATTTTCCTAAAAATCGATTAAGTTGACTATAAAAAACTATTATAAACTTACATCCGTTCCAAAGTAGTCATTCTCTGACAGTGTTTCAAAAGCGCGAAACTCCTCCTCTCCTTCTATTTTTTCAACATAGTACAACTTTATCCCCAAAGGGGGAATCTCTTTAGCTGCAAACACTAAATTTTTGGAAGTCGGTTTTAAACTCTCTTTGACATGGTCGAACTTGGACATGCTATGCACCACATCGTAGATTTCGTCACCATCTGGTCCACTAATTTTAAAATTGTCTCCCTCTACTGGTAGTCGAACATAATGGGTCACTGGACGTGCAAGCGGGTTATAAACCGCCACCACAAAACGATCTTTCTGTGTGGTTTGACAAATACTCACGTTTGCCAACAAACAAGTAGACAACTTGAGATCTACATCATTTTGGAAAGATTTCTTCAAAAGATTTCTAGAATTGGGTTTCAGTTGTATTTCAAAATTCGCACTTGGTGCTTACCCTATAATAACTCCAGCTGGTGCTTCAGCATCTTTGATAGCTTGAGTAAGCAATCGTGCGTAATCTTTAGCAACTGCTGCCTTCTCGGTACCTGTGATGGCGTCATGGTGTTGCATTATTCCCATAGCTTCACGTAGACCAGTGATCGAACTTTCTCGGTCGTCCCCTTTTACTCTAGAAAAAGTGACCAGTTGCTTCATTGCTTGTAGAATATTGTTCCCGGTTCTTTCAAATCTCTTCGACGTCGGTCTGGAGGTGAAATACCCAGTCCAGTAGGCGTGTTTTTCGGACGCATATGGAAAGAAATCGTCAGTTTTTTTTCGTAGAGTGAGAGATCTTCTAGCGATTTCGTCATTGACGGCTTTGATATAACACGACGGAGTTGAGTAGAAGACGTTGTACTTTTTGTGAGCTTTGAAGCCGCTAAAATTTAACAATAACTAAACGAGTGAAGATAGTCCAAGCACTACTTTATCAGTTTGTCCAAATTGGAGAAGTTAATCTCAGCTGCTTGATAATTGAAGTCGCCACCCATCGGTACCAAGAACTGGGTCGTTTGATAATAACTCTCATACTGGTCCATTTTGTTAGCAAATCCTTCCACCTGTAACACAAACAATGTCATCCCCATTAACCCCTCTCAAACTGTATACTTTTTTCTTCAAATTGTAATCCGGATTTTTCTCGTCATCAACAATAGGTTCGACGTTACACAGCACATCAAAACAATACCCATCGATAGTCACGTAAAAATCCGGGAACATGGTCGTAAAAATCTCGGAGTTGTTCAAGTTGGCGCTACCTCGCCACACGAAGTCCAAATTTTTGTCCAGACGTCGCTTCATCTTGTCTCGGTAGTCCAAACGCCCGATGACTAGCCCTTGGAAGCCCAATTGGGTCATGAGAGACGCGTGTTCGCGGCTGTGCCCAAACGGGTCAATCTGCCAACCCACCTTGGGTCTCCCACAATCCCCAAACGTGTCATTCAAGAACCTAAAACCCCACGTGAACTGGTCAATGGTTGACTGGTAGTGCGACGCGGCTTCGTCATTCATGGACCAAGCCCCATTGATAATTTCCAATTGACCATTATTGACCAACTCTATGACTTGTCGTTTGAGGGCGTCCTCTTGGTGTTGCCACCATTTCCAGAAGAAGGCGGTTTCGACTTGGATGTAGCGTCGATCGGGGTGGCCTATCAAGGCTTGGATTGACGAACTGATGATGTATTGAACCCCAGCGTATTGGATGCGTTTTTGGTCTATTAATTCAAACAATCATGGAGATTCTCTGATAACTCCAAATTTCTACTTACTGCCATAATAATACTGGTCGACGGTTTTCAACCAGCCGACGTCGTCGTGGGAGTGAGGGACTAAATGGATGTTGATTTTTTCCACGTCAATGGGATGGCAGGCCTTAAAAATTAGAGTACATAGGGCGATTTTTGCTTGCAGTGACTTACTTGACACGTGGCTGGGGTTAATTGAGCGTCTCTTGTAAATGGTTTCGGACTTACGGCTGCGAGATTCAAAAAAATTAAAATTATTCCGAGTCTAGTACACATGGTTGGATCTAAAACACGATATTGTTACGTTATCTGGGTATCGGTATTGTGTTTTATTACATTTAAGGATAATGTTATCATAGTGATTAGCGATTTTGATCAGTAAGCGATAATGAAATTTATCGAAGTGCTTGTGTTATTTTTAAGTTTATCAGTAATACGGTTGTATTGCAAAAACTAGGGGTCATAAGTTTCCTTCTATTTACGTTTACATTTAAACTTAAAATTAAACTCGTGTTTTATTATGTTTTGCCGCCACGCCAGGGGATCAGGTCCAAATGAGTTATAGGTTATAGTAAAAATGTTTTAAAGTACAGTCGTTAATGTTTTGAATTATAATATTGTGTATACAATCCGTGAAAACATTATTCACAGATGAAACATTATTATTACAAGGTTTTAGTGTTGTACAGGGTGTCGATTTTTTTTCAGCGTTGCATAAATTCATCGGTAACAAAGCTCCATATATCAATCTTATTTGATAGTTGTAGTGAGATAATGCTTGTTTATGACACAAGGGACAAAAATATGTCTTAATCGCCAGCGGGAGTTTAGTACACGCGACGAAATTAATTTCCGTCGTTAGATTTTTTTTCCAATAATGATATTCAGTTTTTTTTATATAAACTTATTATATTTCGGGTTCAAATATACAAAGTGGTGAAATTGTGTAAATATAAAATTTAATCTATTCAAATTTCAGTATCACAGAGAGTTGATAAGTATAAAACACCGATTTAAATTAAGTTTTAATTTTAAAAAAGAAAAATTGGAAAAATCGAAAATTTAAAACTTCCGAAAATTGAACATTGAAATACAGAAAAACTGAAAACTCGAGATATCGAAAAACCTAAAATTTTAAAATTGAAAAGTTAAAACATCGAAAAGTCGAAAAATTGAAAATCCAAAAAGTGAAAAGTCGAAAAACTGAAAGATCCAAAACTCGAAAAATCGAAATTCGGAATACTAAAAAATCCCAAAACTTAAATACCGAAATATTGAAAAATAGAAGAAAAATTGAAGAACCGAAAGAGTGGAAAACTAACAAAATTGAACGAAATGTCTAAAAATTGGGAAATCGAAAAGTCAAAAAAGCAAAGTCGAAAATTCGCAAACTTAAAAAATCGAAGAACTGAAAGATCGAAACTTTGTCGAGAAGTGAGAAAATCAAAAAATAGATTAATTGAGAAATCGGAAAACTGAAAATTCACAGACGTCAAAATTTGAAAAATTAAAAAATATTGAAGAACTGAAAAATGGAAAATCTAAAATTTAGAACAATGAAAAATTAAAATAACGTAAAATTGAAAAATGGAGAAATCCAAATATCAACTCATCAAAAAAAATTCGAAACATCGAAAAACTCAAAAACAACAAATCGACAAAACGAAATTCGAAAATTTTAAAATTGGAAAACTGAAAAATCGGATAATTCAAAAATGGAAACATGGAAAAATCGAAAAACCCACAAATCGAAAATTCGAAACATCGAAAAATTGAAAAATTACAAAAAATGGAAAATCGAAAATTTCAAAATTCCGAAAATTGAAAAAAGGAAAAATAGAAGAACAGACCATTTTAAAATTCAAAAGTTAAAATATCGAAAATTGAAAAATTGAGAAAAATTTAAAAAGTTAAAAGCCCGGAAATTGAAAAATTCAGAACTCGAAAATTCGAAAAGTCGAAATACTAAAAAATTCCGAAACTCAAATATCGAAAGATTGAAAAATAGAAGAATTGAAAAACTGAAAACAATCACAAAATTGAACAAAATATCCAAAAATTGGCAAATAAAAAATTGAAAAATTGAGAAAACGAAAAGTCGAAAAATCGCCAAATCGAGAAATCGGAATTCGAAAATTTAAAACATTGGAAAATTGAAAAATTGGATAAGTCAAAAATCGAAACATGGTAAAATCGAAAAACCGACAAATCGAAAAATCGAAACATCGAGAAATTGAAAAATTAAAAAAAAATGGAAAATCGAAAATTTAAAAATTCCGAAAATTAAAAAATTGAAATACATAAGAACTGAAAACTCGCGACATCGAAAAACCTAAGACTTTAAAATTGAATAGTTAAAATAAAGTTGAAAAATTTAAAATCCAAAAAGTAAAAAATCGAGAAATTGAAAAATCGAAAAGTCGAAATGCTAAAAAATCCCGAAATATCGAAAGATTGAAAAATAGAAGAAAAATTGAAAGACTTTAAAACTAACAAAATTGAACGAAATGTCTAAAAATTGGGAAATAGAAAAGTCAAAAAAGTAAAGTCGAAAAATTACAAACTTAAAAAATCTAAAAATTGAAAAATCGAAAAACTAAAAACTCAGAAAAAATGGAGAAATCCCAATATCAACTCATCAAAAAAAAAATCGAAAATCTAAAATTTAAACATCGAAAAACTGAAAAAACAACAAATCGACAAAACGAAATTCGAAAATTTAAAAAATTGGAAAACTGAAAAATCGGATAATTCAAAAATCGAAACATGGTAAAATCGAAAAACCGACAAGTAAAAAATCGAAACATCGAAACTGAAAAATTAAAAAAAAATGAAAAATCGAATATTTCAAAATTCCGAAAATTGAAAAAATGAAAAACAGAACAACTGAAAATTTTAAATCAAAAGGTAAAATATCGAAGAGTTGACAAATTGAGAAAAACTCAAAAAGTAAAAAGTCGGGAAATTGAAAAATTCAGAACTCGAAAATTCGAAAAGTCGAAATACTAAAAAATTCCAAAACTCAATTATCGAAAGATTGAAAAATAGAAGAATTGAAAAACTGACAACAATCACAAAATTGAACGAAATATCCAAAAATTGGGAAATAAAAAATGGAAGAATTGAGAAATCGAAAAGTCGAAAAATCGCCAACTTAAAAAATCGAAAAATTGAAAAATCAGAAACCTGAAAAATCAAAAAATTGAGGAACTAAAGAACTGAAAGATCGAAACTTTGGAAAGTCGAGATATGGGAAAATCAAAAAATAGCTTAATAGAGAAATCGATAATATTGAACAACTGAAAAATCGAAAAATCGATAATTTAAGACACTGAAAAACTTGATATAAAAATATCGTAAAATTGAAAAATGGAGAACTCTAAACATCCAAAAATCAAAAAAATAAAAATTCAAAGATCTAAAATTTAAAAAACGAAAAACTAATAAATCAGCAAATCGAAAAATCGAAACTCGAAAATTTAAAAAAATAAAAAATTGAAAATTCAGATAATTCAAAAATCTAAAAAACGAAAAACCGAAAAGTAAAAAATCAAAAAACTAACAAATCAACCAAAGTTGAAAAATTGAGAAATCGAAATATAAAAACCGAAAAATCGAAAAATCCAGAAGTCGAAAATTCGAAGTCTAAGAATCGAAATATTGAAAATCCCCAAAACTAAAAAAAATATCCAAAAATTCAGAAATTAAAAAATTAAAAAATTGAGAAATCCAAAAACAAAACAGCAAAGTCGAAAAATCGAAGAATTGAAGAACTGAAAAGTCTAAACTTTGAGAAGTCGAGATATGGGAAAATCAAAAAGATTAATAGAGAAATCGGAAAACTGAAAATTCAGAAACGTCAAAATTTGAATATTGAACAACTGAAAAATCGAAAAATCGAAAATTTAAAACATGAAAAATTAAAATATCATAAAATTGAAAAATGGAGAACTCCAAACATCCAAAAATCAAAAAAATAAAAATTCGAAGATCTAAAATTTAAAAATCGAAAAACTAATAAATCAGCAATTCGAGAAATCGAAACTCGAAAATTTAAAAAATTGGAAAATTGAAAATTCAGGTAATTCAAAAATCTAAAAAACGAAAAACCGAAAAGTAAAAAATCAAAAAACCAACAAATCAACCAAAGTTGAAAAATTGAGAAATCGAAAAATCTAGAATTTCAAAAATTGAAAAATTAAAATAAGGAAAAGTTGAGAAATCGAAATATAAAAATTGAAATATAAAAACCGAAAAATCGAAAAATCCAGAAGTCGAAAAATCGAAGTCTAAGAATCGAAATATTGAAAAATCCCAAAACTGGAAATATCCAAAAATTGAGAAATTAAAAAACTGAAAAATTGAGAAATCCAAAAACCAAAACAGCAAAGTCGAAAAATCTAAGAATTGAAGAACTGAAAAATCTAAACTTTGAGAAGTCGAGATATGGGAAAATCAAAAAGATTAATAGAGAAATCGGAAAACTGAAAATTCAGAAACGTCAAAATTTGAATATTGAACAACTGAAAAATCGAAAAATCGAAAATTTAAAACATTGAAAAATTAAAATATCCTAAAATTGAAAAATGGAGAACTCCAAACATCCAAAAATCAAAAAAATAAAAATTCGAAGATCTAAAATTTAAAAATCGAAAAACTAATAAATCAGCAAATCGAGAAATCGAAACTCGAAAATTTAAAAAATTGGAAAATTGCAAAATCAGATAATTCAAAAATCTAAAAAACGAAAAACCGAAAAGTAAAAAATCAAAAAACCAACGAATCAACCAAAGTTGAAAAATTCAGAAATCGACATATAAAAACTGAAAAATCGAAAAATCCAGAAGTCGAAAAATTGAAGTCTAAGAATCGAAATATTGAAAAATTCCGAAACTGGAAATATCTAAAAATTTAGAAATTAAAAAAGTGAAAAATTGAGAAATCCAAAAACCAAAACAGCAAAGTCGAAAAATCTAAGAATTGAGGAACTGAAAAATCGAAACTTTGAGAAGTCGAGATATGGGAAAATCAAAAAGATTAATAGAGAAATCGGAAAACTGAAAATTCAGAAACGTCAAAATTTGAATATTGAACAACTGAAAAATCGAAAAATCGAAAATTTAAAACATTGAAAAATTAAAATATCCTAAAATTGAAAAATGGAGAACTCCAAACATCCAAAAATCAAAAAAATAAAAATTCGAAGATCTAAAATTTAAAAATCGAAAAACTAATAAATCAGCAAATCGAGAAATCGAAACTCGAAAATTTAAAAAATTGGAAAATTGCAAATTCAGATAATTCAAAAATCTAAAAAACGAAAAACCGAAAAGTAAAAAATTAAAAAACCAACAAATCAACCAAAGTTGAAAAATTGAGAAATCGAAATATAAAAACCGAAAAATCGAAAAATCCAGAAGTCGAAAAATCGAAGTCTAAGAATCGAAATATTGAAAAATCCCAAAACTGGAAGAAATATCCAAAAATTGAGAAATCCAAAAACTAAAAAAGCAAAGTCGAAAAATCGAAACTTTGAGAAGTCAAGAAATGGGAAAATCAAAAATAGATTAATTGCGAAATCTGAAAACTGAAAATCTGCAACGTTGAACGATTAAAAGATTGCAAAATTGAAGAATCGAGAAATTCGCACATCAAAAACTCAAAAAATAAAAATTCGAAAAACTGAAAAATCGACAAATCGAGAAATCGAAACTCCAGAATTTAAAAAATTGAAAAATCAAAACATCTAGGAGTTCAAAAATCGAAAATTCGAAAAATCGAAATTTTGAAATATCAGAAAACTGAAAGAAATTATCCAAACAATTGAGAAATTAAAAAATTGGAAATTCTAGAAATCGAAAAACTAAAAACCAAAGGCGAAAAATCGTAAGCTTAAAAAATTGAAAAATCAAAAATCTGAAAAATCTTCTTTGTATATCTAATTATGAATAACGTTTCTGGAAGATCATACTTAAGTGTTACATTATTTGTGTTATTTATTTATCTTGTGTTTTGTTTGACATAAGCTGGAGACAGTCGACGATATAAATTTTCAAAGTCATCATTTAACTTAATCCAAATTCTTTGTTTGAATCATTGATAAAGTGTGGCATAATTTAACATAATGTAAATTCTTTGTTTGAATCGTTGATAAAGTGTGGCATAATTTAACATTGGGTAAATTCTTTGTTCTGGCAGCGGCCATGTTGAAAAAGTAGTTGTTTTTAAACCGAGCTTGAACTGTAAAATCTTATTGAACAAATCAACCACATTGTGTCAGATTGCCTGCTACGTTTTAGTTTATGTGTTTATTTGGGGGAATGTAAAACGATGGCCCACAATGCAGCTGCACGTTTAAAAATCAGCCAATGATTCGGATGGACATAAAATATTTGTTTTTATAAATCTTTGCTCGTTTTTGTTTTGTAAATATTTTGTTCATTAAAGCTTCCATCTGATGTCCAATCTTAATCTCAGATAAGAATTCTTTGCTATTTAAAATTTCACGAGAGTATATGGCGAACTTAAGTGTTGTTTATTGCTCTTAAGCGGAGTGCGCGGTTCCTTGTCGAGCTGGCGGCCGCGCCATCTGCATAAGAGATGCATTACTTAAATAGAAGTCAGGGACGGTCGGGATGACGCCTCTTTCCGCACTGCACGTTTCTTGGTCATAGAGAGGTGCTGGGTGGCATGTGCTTGTCGATAAAATAGAATCACCGTCGCGGTGGAAAAAGAGCCACGACCGGGATCCCCAAACTCCGCTCGTGCTACAACACCCCAAATGGGTAATTTTGATGGGGTCTAGAATGAATATAGGGCTCTGAAGTCGCTGCCGCTGCATAGTTTTTTATTAGAATTTTGTGTATTTGCATCCAGTTACTTTATTTCCGATTTTGTTTTGTTTTTTGGTGGAAGTTGTGATATTCAAATATTTGCATTGATTCAGAACGTTTAATTTGATTTCATTCAAAGTTTTTTTTGTAGCTGAGCTTAAGCGGTGATGTTCTGTGGCACCATTAAAAATTCTACACAAGTGTATATTAAGTTGCATACATGTACAGTTTAAAATTAATCTTAAACTTTTGTGTGTAATTAACCTGTCACTCATGCTCGATGAATTACAACACACCACATCGCTATGTCCATAAGACCTGTCGCATATTATAGTCTATACTCTGTCTTCGAAAAACAGCCCCCAATTTAACAACTCTTAAAGCCAGATTTAGACTATGATATTATTATATTATTATATGCAACCAACTAGACCACCGAGCAACGTACATATGATAATTTTAGGATGTGTATGTATATTTATGGGACACACATGCACAGTCAGAGTGATATTCACAACTTTATCAATCTGACTTGTGGATTTCCATTGCTACTATCGAAAAAAAATGCTCAAAAACACCATCATCGCAAGAAAAAATGTGTGATCAATCTTACACAATTTAAGGTATTACCACTTACTTTTAGAACCGGCAATTCAAAACGTCTCACCAAATACATACAAATAACTCACTCAAACTATGAACATCGCGAAAACCCAAAACCCTGTGATCAAGTGTCATTGGTAAATTCCCAGTTCATTAACTAACTAATGATTACGAATAAATTTAATACGATAAAATTAATACGATAAACTAATCAATTTTCTTAGATTTAGCACGACATTTCTCCTCCAAACACCAAGATCATGAGCGTCTCCTTACAAAGTTCTAAGCCCTTGTTATGTGAAAGCTGGAAACTAAAAAGAGCTCGTTAAAAATATGAGCCACAAAAGCACACTGAGGATGAATGAGTTTTAGATCGTTAATGACTACCACTTCAGTTGCCTTCAAAAGAATATGAATAAATTGCGTACGGCCTGACAGCTTACAATCGAACCTTTTTATTTTTTTAAGCGGAGAGCCGTACTGCAGGTTATTATAAAAATTCGCTTTTCAGGCGCTGTTTTCAGCAAATGGATGTGCCACAGCAGAGTGGTTTAGATGAAACATGAAAATGATATGTTATCTCGTATCGTTCTTTATGACACGTAACTTCTTCCTGTTTCTGCACCGCGATATAATATTAATGAGCTCTATTTTATGCGTCAGGGATTGTGGTTTGTTTACCCTGGTTAGGTAATCCAAAACCAAAAATTATTTTTGTGAGGCGAAGTGATGAGTGTTGGAGTGTGGTTGATGCAGACGTAAATATTACGGAAAAACGCATTGTTTCGTTAACAATGGATTATGATATTCTGAGAATTAAAATTTTTAGATCAAAAAGTAAGAGAAGAATAGCAAACATGTGAAATAAAAGACTAAAAAACGACACTATTTTTAACCCAAAATGAGAATTTTAATTTAGTGTAAATGTTGTACATTTAAAGTATCCTGAGATCGACTACATTATTTCTAGAACATATTCTGTTGTCATAATATAAAATATTGAATACTTCATTTCAACGGGCACTTTTTCCAATGACCCGATAAAACACTTAAGTAATTGTCAAAACTCAAATTTTATAAATAACAGAGAAGAATAAGAAACATTTTCTTCAATTTTTAATTTTTTTTTCGTTCCTTCATTTTTTCAATTTTTCAATTCAATTTCCAGATTTTGCAATTTTTCGATTCGACTCTCTCAAGTTTTTAATTTTTAATTTTTCTGTTTGCAATTTTTCGTTTCAGTTTTTCATTTTCTTTAATTTTACAATTTCTAAATTTTTATATGTTCCGATTTTTCAATTTTTCGTTTCGTAACTATTTCAATTTGTAATTTTTCAAATTTTTCTTGTAGAAAAATGAGGATCTGCAACTAAACTCTGCCCTTCAGCTCACGATGAATAAAACATTCATCAGAATTGAGAAAGGGTGGGTGGGCGGGGCTTATATTTTATCCATTTTTTTTCTTAATGGAGGAAGTCTTCTTTTCCCAACAAGAAACTGAAAACATGTTTAACCTTCCTGTTGTTTAAATGAAACTCTATATATTAAAAAAAAACAAAGCTTATCAATAGATGAATAACACTTTCATCAGAATTGAGAAGGGGTGGGTGGGCGGGGCTTATATTTTGTTAATTTTTTTCTTAATATAGCTGGTCTTCTTTTCCCAACGATAAACTGAAAACATGTTTAACTTTCCTGTTTTTAAATGAAACTCTATATATTAAAAAAAACAAAGATTAAGCCCCACCCACCCGCTCCTGTGTCAGTTGTGAAAAGTTTTTCATTTCTAATCAAACCGAAGCGCGGAGTTTAATTGTAACATCAATATTTCTCTAAAAAATTCTACCCTTTTAAAAACATATTTCATCTGGTAATTTCTTGTAGACAAATGAGAATTTTCCAACTAAAATCCCCCCTTCAACTTATGATGAATAAGACATTCATCGCAATTGAGAAGGGGTGGGTGGGCGGGGTTTATAATTTCTCCATTTTTTCTTAACATACAAAGTTGTCTTTTTCCAACAAGAAATTGAAAACATGCTTAGCTTTCCTGTTGTTTAAATGAAACTCTATGTATTAAAAAAACAAATCTTATCAATAGATGAATAACACTTTCATAAGAATTGAGAAGGGGTGGGTGGGCGGGGTTTATATTTTGTGTGTTTTTTCTTAACATACGAATTCTTTTTTCCGAACAATAAACTGAAAACATGTTTAACTTTCTTGTTTTTAAATGTAACTCTATATATTAAAAAAAAACAAAGATTAAGCCCCACCCACCCGCCCCGATGCCAATTGTGAAGAGTTTTTCATTCCTATTCAGACCGAAGAGCGGAGTAACATCAATACTTCTCTAAAGAATTCTGCTCTTTTAAAACATATTTCATAAGGTAATTTCTTGTAGACAAACGAGGATTTTGTAACTAAATTCCCTCATTCAACTCACGATGAATAAAACATTAATCAGAATTGAGAAAGGGTGGGTGGGCGGGGCTTATATTTTGATTATTTTTTCTTGATATACGGAGTCTTCTTTTCCCAGCAAGAAAGTGAAAACATGTTTAACCTTCTTGTTGTTTAAATGAAACTCTATATATTAAAAAAACATAGGTTACGCCCCACCCACCCACCCCAATCTCAATTGTGCAGTATTTTTCATTCCTAACTCTATTGGAACTAAACTCCCCCATTCAACTCACGATGAATAAAAGATTCATCAGAATAGAAAAAGAGTGGGTGGGCGGGGCTTATATTATGTCCATTTTTGCTTAATATTTGGGGTCTTCTTTTCCCGTTCAAGAAACTGACAACATGTTTAACTATCCTTGTTGAAGGTAAACTCCATAAATTAAAAAAAAAAAATTAAGCCCCACCCACCCGCCCAGATATTAATTGTGATGAGTTTTTCATTCCTAATCAGACCGAAGGGCGAAGTAACATCAATATTTTTCTTGTAAAAACATATTTCATAAGATAATTTCGTGTAGAGAAATGAGGATTTTGCACCTAAACATCCCTCCTTCAACTCACGATGAATAAAATATCCATCACAATTGAGAAGGGGTGGGTGGGCGGGGCTTATATTTTGCCCATTTTTTCTTAATATACGAAATCTTCTTTTCCCAACTAGAAACGGAAAACTTGTTTAACCTTCCTGTTGTTGAGAAAAACCTCTCTATATTAAAAAAAAAACAAAGGAAACGTTATTATACCGTGCAATTGTTTTTGGGAAAATTTAAACGTCAAGCCAAAAAACTGAAAGCGGATTCGTATACTACAAGCATAGGAGTATATGTATTTTGTATAACATTCAACTCATTTTAAAATACGGTTATAATAGCAATAATAATAATAAATTTATTGGTGTTTTACACAAAGAGTGCATACGCAAGTCGGGTACCTCTTGATTTATTACAATAAACAAACAAAAAACAAAAAAATTGAGGTTTATTGAGATGACGTCACCAAATTGTTGGTGGGGATAATTAGCCAAATTTTGGCTAGCATTTAAGGTTACGTGTCTAATAAAAACGGATACAGACAGACAGACGGAAACGGCAGACTTCTTTTTCGTACTGTTCGGGTCATGAAACGTCGAGAAAACATAAAAGTGACAATTCGTCCAATAGACTCGATTAATATACTTCCTTACGCTCGGGAAATAATATAGAATAGTTCATTTCAACGGGTACTTTATCCAATGACACGAAAAAACGAATAGGTGGCTCGCTATCTTTTTTCATAATTATACAATATTTACATCAAATGTATTCAGGAAAAAGAAAACTTCTAACATGTAAGTAGGTTGTTAGAATATGGTTGATAAGAACGCAAATATTGAAGAAAAAGACTTAATTTCGTTAAATCTGGTTTACTAAAATTATCATTAATTAAACCACAATCGAGCAAAATGTTCTGAATGTTATAATCGTTATTTTATCATTATTATATAAAGACGTGCGTATTCTTTACCTTTTCGAGAAAATAGTAGTATTTGTCAACATAAAACTGATTTTGGCAAATGCCATACCTTCCAAGAAAAGAGAGGGTGGGTGGGCGGGGCTAGTACCTGCCAAGATAAAACTGATTTTTGCTAATAACATACGTTCTAAGAAAAAAGAGAAGGGGTGGGCGGGGCTAGTACCTGCTAGGATAACACTGATTTTGGCAAATGAGATCTCTATAAGAAAATAGAAGGCGGGTGGGTGGAGTTAGTGCCTGCCAATCTAAGATCGATTTTGGCAAATGACATAACCTGTAAGAAAATAGTGGACGGGTGGGGCTAGTACCTGCTAAAATCACTTTTATCGTGGCAGCCACTTGTCCCGCCCACCCACCCTCTCTTTTCTTAGAGGAATCTCATTTGCCAAAATCAGTCTTACCTTGTCAGGTGCTAGGCCCGCCCACCCACCCTCTCTTTTCTTAGGGGTATTTCATCTGCCAAAATCAGTCTTACCTTGTCAGGTAGTAGGCCCGCCCACCCACCCTCTCTTTTCTTAGAGAGTATTTCATTTGCCAAAATCAGCTTTATCTTAGCAACTACAGTATAACCTCGATAATCCGCATTAATTGGGGAAAAGGTGTGTTCGAATTAGCGATTAGTTCGGATCAGCGAATTTCCCAAAAAGCTGAAAGGGAATTGAACAACAACTTAATACACTACTGAAAAGAAATTTCAGGAAATAAACCTTAATTTTCAGAAATAAAGTATTCTTAACATTGGAAAAAATATTACTCCGTGACCATAACCACGCTATATTTTTGGAATCAACACGTCGGGATCTATATCCCTGAATTTAATCAGGATTTTTAGACAACTGTTTCAAAAGTGAAATTTTTCACTATGGTAGTACTTGCCAAATAACCTACCCTCTAAGAAAATAAACGGCGGGTGGGCCAGGCTAGTATTTGCCAAAATAAGACTCATTTTGACAAATAACCTACTCTTCTAAGAAAAGGTACTACCCCGCCCACCTACCCTTTCTTTTCTTGGTAGAGTAAGTCATCTGCCAAAATCAGTCTTATCTTGGCAAGTATGACACTGATTTTTGCAAATGACAGATCCTCTAAGAAAATAAGGGTGGGGGGGGGGGCGGGGCTAGTACTTGTCAAGATAAGACTGATTTTGGCAGATGCCATATCCTCTAAGAAAATAAGGGAGGGTGGGCGGGGGGCTAGTACTTGCCGAGATAAGACTGATTTTGGCAGATGACTTATTGTTCTAAGAAAATAAAGGTTGGGTGGGTGGGGCTAGTACTTGGTAAAAACTTAAAAAATTAAAAATCAAAAAATGACAAATTGCAAAATCAGATAAATGAGAAATCTGAAAATTGTACAACTATATAATCGGAAAATCTAAAACTAAAATATCGAAAAATTGAAAAAATACAAATCTTATAAAATTGAATTCGAAATTACCGTTTTCATTTTTTTTAGTTTTTAGATTTTTCAACTTTTAAATATTTCATTTGATTATTTTTTTGACAGTTTTGTAGTTTTTAATTCCAATCTTTTGATTTTTCAAGTTTTAACTTTATAATTTTGGAATTTTTTGATTTTTAATTTTTCAAGTGCTCAAGTTAAAATTTTTCCTTTTCACGATTTATCATTTTTCGATTTTTTACTAGAACAAATTTATTTGAAACGAAATTTTGAAAAATTGAAAAATCCAAAAATTGAAAATTAGAAACAAAATTTTCAGATATCTTAAAGTTACGGTAAACGTGGCAATCGCTAGTCAAAATTACTTTTTACTCCCTCCCAAAAAACTCGGTAAGAAAAAATCAAAAACCGAAAATTTAAAAAAATATGCATGTATACATTTTCTCGATATTTTTAAAAATCAAATAATTGAGAAATATTTTTCAGTTGCCCAGAGAAATCGGAAGACAGATCAAAAAATTGAAAATTTAAAAAGCGAGAAATTGAAAAATTAGAAAGTTGAAAATTCAAAAAACTGAACAATCTAGTAGTACTCGCGGGCTAGCACTAGCCAAATAACCTACCCTCCACGAAAATAAAAGGCGGGTGGGCTGGGCTAGTATTTGCCAAAATAAGATTCATTTTGGCCTACTCTTCTAAGAAAATAAAGAATAGGTCATCGCCAAAATCAGTCTTATCTTGGCAAAAATGAGACTGATTTTTGCAAATTACATATCCTCTAAGAAAATAAGGGTGGGTGGGCGGGTCTAGTACTTTTTAAAATAAGAGTGATTTTGGCAGATGACCCACTCTTTTAAGAAAATAAAGGGTGGGTGGGCTGGGTTAGCACCTTTGCTTAGACGAACAGGTCATTTGCCAAAATGAGTCATATTTTAAAAAATACTAGCCTGTCCCACCCGCCTTTTATTTTCTTATTATACTAGCAAATTTCGACCCATTTTCGACGATTTTTGAAATTTAACTAAATACTTTTTCTTGTAGATTTCGGGGCGCAGAAGTCACTTCCGGCCTCATTTTTTCGATAACTTCAACCTTTTTTCCAGAATTAGTTAATTAATATAATACGGTGCATTGAAATAAGTATCACAATTTTTTAAAATTTCAAAAATTCAATACAACACGTACAGAAAGATCTTGCGACATTTTTGCAAGTAGGTGCATGTTTTGAAGTTCAGTTCGGATTGCAGAATTTTTGTTCGGATTAAAGAGATATCGACTTCTACTAGCCTCTGTTCGGATTACTGAATGTTCGGATAATCGTGGGTTCGGATTATAGAGGTTACACTGTACTAGCTAGGATAAGAATGATTTTCGCAAATGAGAAACCCTCTAAGAAAAAAGAGGGTGGGTGGGCGGGGTTAGTGCCTGCTAATCTAAGATCGATTTTGGCAAATGACATAACCTCTAAGAAAATAGGGGACGTGTGGGGCTAGTACCTGCTAAACTCAGTTTTATCTCGATAGTTATTAGCCCCGCCCACCCACCCTTTCTTTCCTTAGAGGGTATTTCATTTGCCAAAATCAGTCTTACCTTGTCAGATACTAGGCCTGATTTTTTTTAATATGTTTCAAATTATCAAAACTGAAATTTTTAAGGTAATTTAATAAATAAAAGCTCCACTATTTTTAATTCAAAGTGAGAATTTTAATTTATTATAAATGTTGTACACACTTCATTTTAGCGGGCATTTTTTCCAGTAATATGAAACAAGAATATAGGTGACTTACGTTTTTTTTCATAACTGTACAACTTTTACATCGAATTTATATATTTAGGAAAAAGAGCACGAAGACAATTAACACGGTTTTTTCGCAACAGTACGCAATAATTGCTGTTTTTTTTTTCATTTTAATTCCAGTAACATAACATAATTTGTAATAATTCACTTCTGCTTATAAATCATTCGTCAGTTACATTATGGTAAAACTTGGCAATGAAACCTTATCACTCATCCAAGGCGTATATTTTTGGCGTGGAAAGTTTTCACGTGGAGCACAAATCAAATATTTTATTTGTTTTAAGGAAAAAAACACGTTTTCCTTATTTCATAATCTCAAAATTAGCTACTTTATCCACAATTTCGATTACCAAGATTCCGATTGCTGCTATTAGTAATCCACCGCAAATTATCTCCACTGACATCTAATACGGGAAAACAGTCGTCAGTTGCACCAATATAAAGACCATCCTTGATGATAAAAACGTCAGTCTTGAAGACACTTTCCCGCTATCTTGGTAAATTGTAATCAGCCTTCGAAACCAAACAAGAGCGCGATCAATTAGTCAAATAACAAGTTTCCAAGAAACAGTTTACGATAAATGTGTTTATTATAAACACAATATTAATGCAAATGATAAGTGATAAATCTCTTTAACAAAACACGCGACAAATGAGAGCATTCTCGCTGAGAGAATCGTTCGGAAATGGTGCAGAGATTTTATTAGCGCGCTATCGTACTTCTTCCTGCTGAATTGTCACACGATTGCAAGTTCTTTCCTCTATTAGTGTTTTTTCGATAACGACACCAGGTTTTACGACAACATGAGGAGCTACGCCGTAAGTACTCGCTTTCTTCGCCCAGATTCACTCAACCCTTTTTCTACGATTTTTTATTTCTTAACTTCGGTTGAATATTGCATGAGCTGCTTGCAGCAATTACCCAGATAACGAGGGTATTTGCCGTAAACAGTACGTACTGGGAGATAACGGTGTCAGAGGTGATAGGTTAGAGCTAGGGGTTTTTTAAAAAAAGTCGATTTCGTGATTGTGTGTGGACTTGACTAATCATATTTTTGCTTTTTTTAACCTTTGCTCCCGGGAAAAGGCCAATAACTTGCTCGCTTTGTTCTACCTACGTCTACTCAGCATTTTTTATCACGTTTTGTTGTTTTTTATTTATAGTAAAAACAGAGGCAAATACCTCACTGGGTTATAGTTCGTTCTAAAAATCACCATTTTGTTTAACACTCACTAAATGAATTTATTCCAATCAGCGCAAAATTTCACTGAACTGTTGTCTGTTTTTGAACATAAGTAGTTGCATTTTTGTTCTTGTGACACATCTAACTGATAAACACGAGATAACGCAAATCACCGAATTTTCAGAGGTTATTGGCCCGATTTCTATGTGACTTGAAAAAGTAAATACGACCAATATTTAATCACTTTGAAAATTTGAGGGATTTAGCTATCTGCTCAGTAAAATGAGATAAGTGTCGAGCAGGAGTGAACTTTGATTTTCACGTTGTTTTAGTGCGAATTTAATGAGTATCCAGAGGAATCCCAAAATTCAGATAAAATATATTTTGTTTGTACGTTTCCGCAAAAAGATGATTGTGTAGCAGTTATCTGCACAGCAAATTACGTAATCCTTTTGGTGGTGATTAATGTATAATTTTTTTATTTGTGCGAATTTTTTCGCAATATTTCAAAAATTTCATTTTCAACCCGAATGTTTAGACTTAGTCGCTCACAAATTTTAAAATCACAATCCTTTATCTAAAATTTTAAGGTTTATCTTAACCTTTATGTAACAGAATTGTTCAAAGGTCATGATAATCTAGACGCTATAAATTTTCGCCAAAATTTATACATCCATTTTCTCTAGAAAGTCATTTCCAAAAACTATTATTATTATTAAAGTATTCATTGAAACGATTTAATAGATTCTAACCTAGATATAACCTTTAAAATATATCCAACAATTTGATGGCGTCGTCTCAAAATGTATTAGGTAAATCCCCTTTAAATTTCATAACATAACCTGCTTCAATACTTGTGACTTATTAATCCGATTAGATTTTTTTTAATGTCAAACTGATTACGCATCAAAATTAACAATTTTAACTTCGTAAACTTAAAATAAATATAGTAAACCTCGATGGTTAGGTACATATTTTTTATTAAAGTGAATTTAAATTTCCGTAACCAAGATTTATCAAGTCTGGAACATTATCTTAATCATATGTATCGCTAAATTTAACCAACATGTTTAGTTTGTGATAAAATTTACAATGAACTGTATGTTGAGGACATTCTGTCAATTGTTTAAACTGATAATCATACAATAATATCAACAGTTATATTTGTTCTGAAGCATTGAAGGGATTTTTTTAAAGGAAACCGATATAACGCTAAACATAATGTTACCAGGTTCGTTTGAACAAGGACCAGAAAAAAACAGAAAAATAAATCCTGCATTTTCGTATTCGTAATTTTTGATCAGATTCTTCCAGACCTTTGTTTTATCGCTGTTTTGTTGATTTTTTGTCACCTTTATTTCGCTTTTGTTTTCTCATTTTTTTAACGCGTTTTTTTGTTAGGTTTTTTCTAACTTTTTCCCGATTTTAGTCGGTTTAGGTAAGTGATAAAAAGTCTCGTTTTCCTTTTCTTTTAGTCAACTTTTTATCGACTCTTTTGTTTATCGCATTTTTTGGTTCCTTTTTCTTAGTGACCTTTTTTTGTCATCGTGCTTTTTTCCTTTTTTTTTAACAGTTTTTCGTCTCGGTTTTTGTCATCATTTTTGTCGCGTTTTTATCATTTTTTTTCGATTTTTGACAAGTTTTTCCGTATTTTTTTATCGTTTGTTCAGCATTATTTTGACAAGCGATAGCCCCGCCCACCCACCCCCTATTATTTTAGAGGGTATAATTTGCCAAAGTTAGTTCTATTTTAACAAGTACTAGCCCCGCCCACCCACCCTATTCTCATTTTTAGTGATTTTAAATCTGTTCATCAGTATAAAATCCATCTTTCATTCTAAATACAATGAATCACTAAAATGAAGGCGGGGTAAGTGGGCGGAGTTAATTATATGCTCTTCTGTAAAGTGGCAAGAAACTAATAGAACTTGGGCTGTTGAAAAGAGAAAAAAGAACGCTAATCGCATTTTTTTTTGTTTGACTATTTGCTATAAAAATGCATTTCTTATTTCAGAAGAAAAAAATAACGGGTGGGTGGGCGGGGCTAAGTTTAACTTTTTCCTAGAGAGTCTTTTATAAGCAAACAGTAGCCCCGCCCACCCACCCCCTCTTCATTCGAGTGCTTTTAAGACGTAACATACAACATTGTTTTTTTTGCGCTTTTTTTTGCTTTTATTGTCGTCTTGTTTATCCCCGTTTTATGTCACCCTTTTTTTGGTCTTCTTTTGGCACTCTTGTTGTCGCAGTTTTTTATAAGATTCTTATAGACTTTTTTTATCACATTTTTTTCCATCTCTTTTTTTCGTTGTTTTTGTTGATATTTTGTCATCTTTCTTTCGCTTTTGTTTCCTCATTGTTTTGGCGATTTTTTTTGTTATGATGTTTTTAACTTTTTCTCGATTTTAGTCAGTTTTTCGCATTTTGTAGGTTTTTTGCTATTTTTTTTTGTCAAACAAAAAGAAATACAGTAATAAAAAGCCTTTTGCTCCTTTTCTTTTAGTCAACTTTTTATCGATTCTTCTGTTTATCGCATTTTTTGGTTTTTTTTTCTGAACGACCTTTTTTTTCATGGCATTTTTTTCCCCTTTTTTTTTAACTTTTTTTAACTCACTTTTTTTGTCTCGGTTTTTGTCATCATTTTTGTCGGAATTTTATCACCTTTTTTCGCTTTTTGTCAAATTTTTCTGTACTTTTTTATCGTTTTTTCATGCCCAATTTTTGTAGACTTGTGACGTGGTTTTTGACGTTTTTTGACATCTTTTTAATTAAAAATGAGGTCGAAAAAGGGATAAAAACTTTTTTGTCATTTTGTCCCTTTCATCGTTTTTTGTCTTTTTTCATTAAAAGGAGACAATAAAAAAGGCGATAAAAAGCATTTCTTGTCTCGTATTTTTTTCGTAAGTGTCAAAACATAAAGCATCTGAATTTTCGTATTCTACTACATGAAAAGCCAAAAACACTACATACAGGTTGAGTCACTGATGCCGCGCTCCTCAATAACCAGCCATTAGTTTAACTTCTTACAGTCTTTTATAAGCAAGCAGTAGCCCCGCCCACCCACCCGCTCTTGATTCCAGTGACTAATCTAAATATTGTTCACCCCCTATTATTTTGGAAGGTGTAATTTGAAAAAATCAGTCTTATTTTAGCAGGTACTAGCCTCCCCCCCCCCCCCCCCCATTCTCATTTTTAAGCATTTTATTTCTGTTCATCAGTATAAAATCCACCTTTCATTCTTGATGACTAAAATGAAGCGTGGGGGGTAAGTGGGCGAAGTTAATTATATGTTCTTCTGTAAAGTGACAAGAAACCAATAGAACTTGGGCTGTGAAAAAGAGAAAAAAGAACGCTAATCGCATTTTTTGTGTTTCACTATTTGCTAAAAATGCATTTCTAATTTCAGAAGAAAAAAAGAACGGGTGGGTGGGCGGGGCTAAGTTTAACTTTTTCCTAGAGAGTCTCTTATAAGCAAGTAGTAACAACGCCCACCCACCCCCTCTTCATTCCAGTGCTTTTAAGACGTAACACACAACTTTGTTTTTTTTTTTGTTTTTATTGTCGTCTTTTTTGTCAAAAAACAAACAGCTGCATTTTCGTATTCTACTACATGAAATGCCAAAACCACTATATTAGGGTGAATCACTAATGCCGCGCTCCTCAATAACCAGCCATAAGTTTAACTTCTTGCAGTCTTTTATAAGCAAGCAGTAGCCCCGCCCACCCACCCACTCTTGATTCCAGTAACTAATCTAAATATTGTTCAGCATTTTGACAAGTGATAGCCCCGCCCACCCACCCCGTGTTATTTTAGAGGGTGTAGCTTTCCAAATTCCGTCTTATTTTAGCAGGTACTAGCCCCGCCCACCCACCCTATTTTAATTTTTAACGATTTTATTTCTCTTCATGAATATAAAATCCACCTTTCATTCTGAATACAATGAATCACTAAAATGAAGGCGGGGTAAGTGGACGGAGTTAATTATACGTTCTTCTGTAAAGTGGTAAGAAACTAATATAACTTGGGCTGTTAAACAGAGAAAAAAGAACGCTAATCGCATTTTTTGTGTTTCAATATTTGCTAAAACTGCATTTCTAATTTCAGAAGAAAAAAAGAACGGGTGGGTGGGCGGGGCTAAGTTTAACTTTTTCCTACAGAGTCTTTTATGAGCAAGCAGTAGCCCCGCCTACCCACCCTCTCTTCATTCCAGTGCTTCTAAGACGTAATGCACAACTTTGTTTTTTTTTCACTTTTTTTGTTTTTATTATCGCCTTTTTTGTCCCCGGTGTATGTCACCTTTTTTTTGGTCTTTTTTTTTGGCACTCTTTTTGTCGCAATTTTTTACTATATTCTTATAGACTTTTTTTATCACGTTTTCTCCATCTATTTTTTTATTGTTGTTTTTGTTAATTTTTTGTCACCTTTCTTTCGCTTTTGTTTTTAAATTTTTTTGGTGCGTTTTTTTGTAGCTTTTTCCCGATTTTATTCGTATTCTTCGCAGTTTGTAGATATTTTTGCTAGTTTTTTTCACCTTTTCTTTTAGTCAACTTCTCATCAATTCTTTTGTTTCTCGCATTTTTTGATCCCTTTTTTCTTAGTGACCTTTTTTTGTCATCGTATTTTTTTCCTTTTTTTGCCTTTTTTTTTAGATCATTTTTTTTGTCTCGGTTTTTCTCATCTTTTTTGTCGCGTTTTTATTACCTTTTTTCGCTTTTTGCCCAATTTTTCTGTAATTTTTCGTTTCTTATAATGCAACGTTGCCACATTGTTCTACTTTTCACAGTTCATAAAGAAACACAATTAATTTTAAAATCTGCGCTGCAAAATTTTGTGGAGAGGCAAATAAAGGCACAAGCTTTGTTGTGGTATAAATAAAATTAAGTGTTAATATACAGAGTGTTTCATTAAAAAAGAAACGAAATATGTATTGACATTTCAATATTTCAACGTTTAACATTCTGTATATTAAAATTTGATTTAATAGATACCACGAAAAATTTAATAACTGTCTCTCCGTGAACTATTGCAACACCCATCTTAAAAATAACTTCATAGCGATTTTTTTGTAAACCTTTGCTAAAAAATTTCAAAAAATTTGAGAAAACGTGGCAACATCGCATCAATATCTCATCAATTGTTAGAGACACAAAGATAATCTAAGACTAAATTTGTACAGTTTTTTTGAGGACCATATACCAAAATTATTTTTAGCTATAACAGAGTGTTTATAAAAAAAATAAGTTACAACAATTTTTTTTATTATTTTCTATATTTAAATTTGACGAATATAGAGACACACCAATATATTGAAAAAAAGACAACAAAAAATTGAGTAAGATTATTGCGATTTTTATTTTTTTAAACAAAATAAAGTTGTGCTATGCCTAAAAATAAATACACCCTGTATAGTAGAAAAAATCTTATTGTACACTCAAAGAAATCACAAACAATTAAACAATGTTTTTTAGTTACAAATTAGTATGTATAATAAAGGTAAAGGTTACGACCGCAACGTCCACCGGAAACCCTTTGTCACTACTATAATAACAAAATAATGCAAAAAATGACTAACACTGACTTTCATTGTCTATTTAGTGCAAAATTTAATTTAGTTTTTGTTTTTTATAGCTTGCAGGAGCCGTCCTCCTACTGGTCATCCCCTTCTCCCACTCCCTCTACACCCGCATCACCACCTACGACCTAATGAAATGTTCCTACGGCGAACGCGGCTCCCTCACGGCCACCTGCATCAACGCCACCAGCCAGTACTTCAAGAACACCCCCTACAGATTCGACCACCTGGACGAAACCCTCCGGTGCGTCAACTGCACCCTCCAAACCCTCGAAACCGGCAGTTTCGACATCTCCGGCAACCAAATCAAAAATTTGGACCTATCCAACAGCTTAATCGAGCAAATCAGGACGAAGGCCTTCGTGGGGCTAATTTTCCTCCAACAACTGATTCTCTCCAACAACAACATTAAGTCCATCTACCCCCAAACCTTCAGTGGGGTGAAGAAAATCACCTACGTGGATTTGGGCAACAACTCCATTAGTATTCTTTCGGATGACGGGTTCCTGGAGTTGATCAGTTTGGAGAGGCTCAATTTGAAGAACAACCACATCAAAAGTATTGCACAGTCGGCTTTCAAGGGTTTGGTGCATCTGCATGAGCTCGATTTGAGTTATAACGAGATCAGTGACGTGAAGGACGTGTTCAATAATTTGACGGCTTTGAAGCTGCTGGATTTGAGTTATAATAAGATCTCGGTGTTGACTGCGAAGGAGTTTGATAATTTGACGGCTTTGTTGGAGGTTAGGTTTGGTCATAATCACATCACTTCGATTCCGGAGTCGGAATTCTGTGTGATGAGTAGCTTGAGGCGTTTGGATTTGTCTTATAATGCTATTGATAGAGTCATTGCTGGGTCCTTCAAGGGTCTTAGTGCTCTGGAAGATCTAGATCTTAGTTACAATAACATTATGGAGATTCCGCAAAAGACGCTTCAAAGTCTGCACAACCTCCAATACCTCAACGTCTCCCACAATCTTCTCAAGATCTTCCAAACTGGTCTCTACACCGGGTTGCCCCAACTCCGGGTTTTGAACTTCTCTAGTAACGTTATGGAGGATATTGAGATCACGGGAGTTTTCTCTTTGGACAGTCTGGATACTCTGGATTTCTCTCGCAACAACATCTCCTATATCGATTACGTCCGACTCATCTCCAGGCTGCCAAAAATCTCCTATTTGAACTTGGAGGACAACTTCTTGTCCTGCGGTCTGGAACAAGAGATGGAGAATTATTTCGCGGAGGATAATTTCAAGTTTATTTTGTACAGCAACAAGCTAGGAAGCGTTAAGTGTGTGGAAAACGGTCCAACTCCCCAACCCAAGCACTACATCCGTAAGGACAGTTTGGTAGTGGAAGAAGTGGAGAAGTCTGGAAATGGGGTGCATGTTTGGGCTTTCGTGCTGATTGCCGTCACGTTGGTCTTAGTTTGTGTTTTGTACTATTTACAGCTCCGTACTTATCAGGAAATGAGGGCTCTTTCCGTTCGACCTAACCGGACTACGTCCGAAGTCCAGCTGATTTCGTCCGACTTGGAAGCGAGAGATAACGATTTTTTAAAAGAATGAGATGGGGAGGACGTGTACATAAAACTATATAGAGAATGATATTTTAAGATTAGACTAGGATTTATTGTGACATTGTTCTAAGAATTTTAAATAAAGTAAAGCAATTATGTTTAAAGTATGTGTGATATCGGTTGTTTGTGGTTTGTGAAGACATGATGTTAAAATTTAAGACGTGCTCGAACATATCAATAAAATTATGACAAAATATTGTACTAAAATTAAAGGAGACTTACTTTATTACTTTTTGCCTAGTTATGAGTTCCTCAGTGTCCTTTTCACCGCTTATTTTTGTTGCCTAGTTTTCACTTTTTTATCTCGTGTTTTTACCATTTTTAAATCGTTTTTTGTGTCTATTTTTTGCAGTTTTTTCTAGATCTTTTTAGTTGATATTTTTTGACGCCATGGGACCTTTTGTTGTTTATAACATTTGTATCGTTTTTTTGTCACCTTTCATTGTTTCATTTTTTTACCCTTCTTTTGACTCCTTTCTCTCAACTTTTTCTGTCAACTTTTTTCGTGGCGTGTTTTTTTGTTGTGTCGTCTTCTTGTTGTCTTGTTCGCTTTTATTGTCGATTTTTCGGGTTTTTGATCGTCTTTTTTGCGTTTTTTTGACGCCAATTTTTGTTCGTATTTATTTGTATGTAACAAAGAATATATAAACAAGTTAATATAAACAAATAAATGTAAGATCGAATAAAATAGGACAATATAAAATATAATGAAATTCATACATAGAACATTCACATACGGATAAATCACACACTTAGAAAATTTATCTGTATCATAACAGGCTTTTGCTACAAACATTTTTTCGGTTGCGTTTTTTGTGTCTGGTGTTTTTGTTGAATTTTTTCTCGGATTTTTAATTTTTCGTTTGCATTTTCTTGTTGTTTTTATTCTAATCTTTTTGTTCCCCTTTGTTTGTTGTTCTTTGTCATTTTTTTGTAGCCCTTTTTTCCCCATTTTTTAAACGTTTTTTGTCGTTTTTTACAAAATTTTGTCCATTTTTGTCGCCTTTTTTGTGCCGAATTTATATCAAATTTTTTTCTTTCCCAATTTTAGTACCTTTTTTGTAGCGTTTTTCGTCTTTTTTATCAGAAAACGAAGTGACAAGAAACATTTTTTTTGCTTCTTTTTTTCACCAATTTTTTGCATTTTTTGGTCGTTTTTTCCTTCTTCATGAAAAAAGAAAAAGATACCATGGCAAAAAATGGTATCTTTTTCTTTTTTTATTGTTTTTTACCCTCATTTTTTTAATGTATTTTTTGTAACACTTTTTGTAAACTTTTTGGTCATATTTTTCTAACCTTTTTCGTCTTCTATATCATTTTTTTTTGTCCTCTTTTTTAATTTATTTTTTCTTTATTCGCTTTTTATTGGCGATTTTCTGTAGCCGGTTTTTTTTGGTTGCGTTTTTTGTGTCTGGTGTTTTTGTTGATTTTTTTGTCAGTATGTTTGTTTTGTTTGAATTTTTCTTTATTGTTTTTATTCTCAACTTTTTTTCCTCTTTTGTGTTACTTTCTTGTGTTCTACTGTCACTTTCTTGTGGCCATTCTTTGTCGGATTTTTATAGACTTTTTGTTCCTTTTTTTGTCAACTTCTTTTTTTGTCGTTGTTTGTTGTTTTTGTCTCTTTTATCATCTACTTTTCACCTTTTTCTTCTCACTTTTCTGGATACATTTCTGTGAACTTTTTTGTCGTTTTTTTGTGGACTTATTGTGGTGTTTCTTTGACATTTTTTTGTAATTCTTTTTTCCCGTTTTATAAATATTTTTTTCATAAATAGGGAATTTTTTGTCCTTTTTTGCCGTTTTTTTTGACTCCCATTTTATAACTGACTTTTTGTCGCCATTGCGCTGTCGCTTTTTAAGTCGTTATTTATTTTGAAAAATCTGGAAATCGAAACACCAAAACATTGAAAATTTGAAAAAGCAAAAATCAAGAAATCTAAAAATCGAAAAATTAATAATTTGAAAAATCGAAGGACAATTAAAGGATTCCAAAATTGAAAAATCGAAAAATTGAAAAACTGAGAAATCAAGAAGTCGAAAAATCGAGAAATGGAAAAATCTAAAATTGGAAAAATCGAGAAATTGGGAGCTCAAAAACCTGGAAACCTGAAAAATCGAAAAATTGGAAAGATAAAAAGTCGTAAACCCGAAATATCGGAAAATTGAGAGACCGAAAAATTAAGAAATCGAGAAATCGAAAATTTAAAAAATCGGGAAATTGAATTGAAAAACTGAAATATTGAAAAATCCCAAACCTGAAACTTCGAGAACTTGAGAAATCGGAACATTCGAAATTAAGGAACCGAAAAGTCGAAAAATCGAGAAGTGGAAAATCAAAAAATCGAAAAATTGAAAAGACAAAAAACCTGAAAATTGAAATCGAATAATTAAAAAACGAAATATCGAAAAGGCGAAAAGTCGAAAAATCAAAAAACCGAGAAATCGAAATAGTGTGAAAAAAAAACATCGAAAAATTGAAATCGAAATCTCGAAAAATGGAGAAATAAAAAAATTGAGGTACTGAAGTATTGAAAACCAAAAAAATCTAAACTTTAATCGGGATAACAAAAATTTGAAATCTTGCAAAATCGTAATTTTGAAGAATCGAAAAATTGAAAAATCGGGAATTCGAAACACCAAAAAGTAAAAAAATTGAAAAATCGAAGGAAAATTGAAAGATCTCAAAACTGAAACTTTGAAAAACTGAAAAATCTTAAAATGAAAAATCGAGAAATGGAAAATGAAAAAATCGGAAAACTGACAAGACAACAACCTAAAAATTGAAAAATTGGGAAATTGGGAAATCGAAACATCGAAAAATTGAAAAAACGAAACATCGAAAAGGTGAAAAATCCAAAAATTAAAAAACCGAGAAATCGAAAAAGTGTAAATTCGATACATCGAAACATCGAAAAATTGAAATCGAAATCTCGATAAACGGACAAATCAGAAAATTGAGTAATTGAAAAATTGAAAAACTAAAAAAATCTGAACTTTAAAAATTCGACAAAGTAAAAAATTGAGAAATCAAAAAAATCGGAATTTCGAAAAATCGGGAAATCGAAACGCCAAAAAATTGAAAAACTGAAAAACTAAAAATCATGAAATCGAAATACCGAAATATTGAAAAATCTAGTACTGAAATATTAAAAAATGATACGTCGTTGAATAGAAAAATCAAAAAATCGAAAAATCGAAGAAAAATTGAAAGATCTCAAAACTGAAACTTTGAAAAACTGAAAAATCTTAAAAAGAAAAATCGAGAAATGGAAAATGAAAAAATCGAAAAACTGACAAAAGAAAAACCTAAAAATTGAAAAATTGGAAAATTGGGAAATCGAAACATCGAAAAATTGGATTAAAAAGCGAAACATCGAAAAAACGAAAAATCAAAAAACCGAGAAATCGAAAAAGTCTAAATTCGATACATCGAAACATCGAAAAATTGAAATCGAAATCTCGATAAACGGAGAAACCAGAAAATTGAGTAATTGAAAAATTGAAAAACCAAAAAAAACTAACCTTTAAAAAATCGACAAAGTAAAAAATCGAGAAATCAAAAAAATCGGAATTTTGAAGAATCGAAAAATTGAAAAATCGGGAAATCGAAACGCCAAAAAATTGAAAAATTGAAAAAGTAAAAACCATGAAATCGAAGAACCAAATTATTGAAAAATCTAGTAATTAGCGAAAAATCGAAAAATCAAAAAACCGAGAAATCGAAAAAGTCTAAATTTGATACATCGAAACATCGAAAAATTGAAATCGAAATCTCGATAAACGGAGAAACCAGAAAATTGAGTAATTGAAAAATTGAAAAACCAAAAAAAACTAACCTTTAAAAAATCGACAAAGTAAAAAATCGAGAAATCAAAAAAATCGGAATTTTGAAGAATCGAAAAATTGAAAAATCGGGAAATCGAAACGCCAAAAAATTGAAAAATTGAAAAAGTAAAAATCATGAAATCGAAGAACCAAATTATTGAAAAATCTAGTAATTAGCGAAAAATCGAAAAATCAAAAAACCGAGAAATCGAAAAAGTCTAATCGAAAAATTGAAATCGAAATCTCGATAAACGGACAAATCAGAAAATTGAGTAATTGAAAAATTGAAAAACCAAAAAAAATCTAAATTTTAAAATATCGAGAAATCAAAAAAATCGGAATTTTGAATAATTGAAAAATTGAAAAACCAAAAAAATCTAAACTTTAGAAAATCTAAAGAGTAAAAAATCGAGAAATTAAAAGAATCTTGAAAAATCTAGCACTGAAATATTAAAAAATGATAAGTCGGTAATTCGGAAAATACAAAAAAAAAGAAGGAAAATTGAAGAATCTCAGAACTGAAACTCGAAAAACTGAAAAATCTTAAAATGAAAAATCGAGAAATGGAAAAATCGAAAATTCAAAACATCGAAAAATTGAGAAGACGAAAACCAAAAAATTGAAATATTGAAAAATCGAAAAAGTATAAAATCAAGAAATCGAAAACTCGGAAAATCAAAAATCTTAATCAAAATATTGAAGAATTCCAAACCTCAAATAAGTATTACAGAACTGATAAGTCGGTAAATTGGAAAACCGAAAAATTGAAAAATCTAAGGAAAATTGAAAAATCCTAAAACTGAAAACACAAAAACCTGAAAAATTGAACAATCGAAAATCTGAAGTGAAGAAATGGAAAATCCCAAACCTGAAATGTCGGAAAAGTGAGAAACCGCAATGTTAAAAAATCGAAAACTCGAAAATTTAAAAAATCGGAAAACTGAATTTAAAAACTGTAAATCGAGAAATCGAGAAGTGGAAAAAGAGAAATCCAAAAATTGAAATGTCTGTTTGACCCTCTTTTATCACTTTTTTAATCGCTGACAGATTTTTGGGGATTTTTGACGCGTTTTTTGTATGAGTTTAGTAAACATTGTTTTGTCATTTTTTCCCTCATTTTTTGCCGTTTTTTTTCAAAAGACGACAAAAACACCGGTAAAAAGCTTTTTTTGGTATTTTTTTCTCCTAGAGGCCTTTTTTCGTCGTGCCTTTTTTAGTTTTTTATCTTATTTTTTACACTTTTTTTATTTTAGTATTTTTTACTATCACATTTTTTTATGAGCTCTTTTTGCCATTTTTATCGCCTTTTTTATTGTTCTTGTTGTCGCTTTTTGTTTGTCGGTTTTTTTTTTCAAAATTTGTCCATTTTTGTCGCCTTTTTTGTGGATTTTCTTATAGTGTTTTTTTGTCATGCTTTTTTGTAGTTTTCCCAGTTTTAGTAGATCTTTGTCGCGTTTTTTTAGTAGAGCTTTTTGCTTTTTTTTATAAAAAAAAACGAAATGACAAAAGCCTTTTTTTGCTCCCCTCTTCGTTTCGTCATTTTTTTTTGTTGACTCTTGCTTCTTGCATTTTTTGCTGGTTTTCGCTTAGTAGTTTTTTTGTCATCATATTTTCTTGACATTTTTTAACCTCATTTTTTAATGTATTTTTTAATAATATAATAATAATAATAATATATATATTTGGTCTCCACAGATACATATATGAATAACAGTATATAAGACAAGTCAAAAAGAAAAAAAAAAATACAAACAAAGAAACACTAAAACTAAAAATTAAAAACTAAACATTTAACAAGCAAAATAACAAAAAGACAAAATGATATTGTCAACATGCCATCAACCTTGAAAAAATTCACCTAGGGAATAATAACATTTATCTGTTAAAAATACTTTTAAATTTTTCCTAAATGATGATATTAACTGACAATTTTGAATATTCACTGGCAAGTAATTGAAAATTCTAACTCCCATACAATCAGTTGCTAACACACCAACATTACAACGTTTAAACGGAACATGAATCTGATGTTTTTGTCGGGTATTTACTTTATGTACGTTATGGACATACGTTAGATTATGTCGGTTTTTATAAATGTGAACACTCATTTCAAATATGTATAATGACGGAAGAGTCAATATATTTAATTTTTTAAAAAGGCTTTTGCAGCTTGTATGTTTACTTGCACCGGCAATTGTTCTGATGGCACGTTTTTGACTAATAAACACATTGGCTGCGCTTGGTGACCCACCCCATAAACAAATACCATACCTAATTCTGGATTCCACATGAGCATGGTATATATTAACCAATTGATCAATATTTAAAATTATCTTTAAATTTCTTAGAAGATAACACAGTGAGTTTAATTTTGGAACCAGTATTTTGGCATGTGACTTAAAGTTGAGGTTTGTATCTACCATAAGACCTAGAAATTTTATGGTGTCGACAGTGTTATGCTGTAGATTTGAACATTTGAGATCTATATACTTACAGGTGTTTTGGCGATTACGAAATCTTATAACTTGTGTTTTTTCAGAGTTTATATAAATGTTGTTGGTGGAAAACCAGGATTGGAGATTCGTCATTAAAATATTAACCTCTCTTTCTAATTGAACTTCATTGCGATCTGAAATTATAATCGACGTGTCATCAGCATATAAAACAGGTGATACATTTTTAAAGATGCTTTCAATGTCGTTTACGTAAAGAAGGAAGAGAATGGGTCCCAGAACTGATCCCTGGGGCACACCTACATCTATGTCAATTATGTTAGAACTGATTTGATTTTTAAAATTTTCTTTATTGGTATTCGGAATTACAACGTACTGATGCCTGTTCTCGAGGTAGGATACTACCCAATCCAAGCTATTACCTCTACATCCATAAGAGAATAATTTGGTTATCAACAGATTATGATTTACGCAGTCGAATGCCCTGCTGAGATCACAAAAGATCCCAACAGGACACTCTCCCGCCTCTATTTTTGAAACAACATTGTTATACAAATCAATCATGGCAGTATTTGTGGAAAGATTATTACGAAAACCATGCTGGTATTTACTAAGCACATTATGATTGTCTAAAAATTTTTGTAAGCGACACAGAAATGCTTGTTCAAAAATTTTTGAAAAACTAGAGCTAATTGCAACAGGACGGTAGTTCTCCATGCAAGCCTTATCTTTTTTCTTATGTATGGGAATAATTTTTGATGTTTTTAGTAATTCCGGGAACTGACCCTTTTCAAACGACAAATTTATAAGGTACGTTAGAGGAGTTATAATTGCAGAGAGTACTTTTTTAATTATGGCTGGCGGAATATCGTCTGGTCCGGCCGACCATTTAGGTTTTATTTTATTTTTCACAAGAGAAAGCAACTCTTCCTCCACATACGGATGAAGAAATAAAGTTTGATTAACACCATCAATATTATGACTATCGGCTGGTGTATTATTCCTCACTGAAATATTTTTTATGAGATCTTTAGGGGCTTGCTTGAAGAACTCGTTGAAGCTATCTGCAACTAAAGATGGATCATTTAAAAGAGTATCTTTTACTGAAATTTCGATGTTATTAGAGATCTCTGGTTCGTTGTGTGTTAATTCTGAAATAATTTTCCATAAAGTTTTGTTAGGGTTATCGGATGTAAAATTTTGTTTTGAAAAAATCTCCTTTTACTATTTCTAACCAATTTTAAATGAATAAGTTTAGCTTGTTTATAAATGCAGGATAGCTGAGGGTAGTTACTTTTCATAATGTACAGATCTTTTAGCTTAATACTTGATGTTAAAATTTCTGAGTTTATCCACCTCCTACTATACGTATCTGTCTTAGTTGTACGCATTTTAAGTGGGAATTGGTCCTCGAAATGACTCCGAAAGATTCCATAAAAGTAATCAAATGCATCATTTAAATCATTCAAACAGTACAAACCATCCCAATCTTGATTTACCGACCGACAGAGGAATTTTTGAATATCAGCATTTCTAAAAATTCTCTTTAACTCATAGACCTTATTATTTGTTTTAGGGGTAATTTTAAAAATATCAGTTTCATAATAAACTGTCCTGTGATCTGAAACAATATTGTCGAAAACATAACATGTTCCGTTCTCAATGTTAGTGAAAGCATGATCAATAATAGAAACAGTTGATTGAGTAACACGAGTTGGCCACCAGACTTTATCAGCTAACCCATACGATTTTAATAAACTACATAAGATGTCGTAATCATTACATTCTATAAACGAATTTATATTAAAATCACCGCACAAAATGATTTTATTGTAAGGTTTGAAAGTTGAATTTAGCGCATCGTTTAGATTGTCCATACATGTCTTAAGATCTCCATCTGGAGATCTATAACAAGTTATTACAATAACTGAAGTGTTATTTTGTAAGAGTTTGACAGCACATAGTTCGATGTGTTTATCTACGCAGAACGCATTCAACGAAATTTTTTCCCAACACATGTCCATCTTTAACCAAATAGCGACACCTCCACCCCTCGAAGAGAGGCGATTATAGTGACTTACCAATTTAAATTCATCGATACTATTACTGTTTATCGAGGCCGAATTTGACCATGTTTCCGTCAGACAAAGAATTTTTACACTCCTGCATTTAGAAAGTTCAACCTCCAAAAGTCGGCTCTTGTTAGGATTCAGACTTTGAACATTTAATAACATGACTTCTGGAGCAAAAATTACTTCTGAGTAGGCTGATTCTTCTTCTTCCACTGAAAAAACTTATCAATGCATGCCCCTTTCGGCCATATGGTAGAGTAAACTTTTTGGTCATATTTTTGTCACTTTTTTTCGTCTTTTTATGTCACATTTTGTATCGTTTTTTTTTTGTTTTTGTAGACTTCTCACCTTTTTTTGTCGTGTTTATTCCAGCTTTTCCCCGTTTTTTTTTTATACAAAAAAGGGGACACAAATAGGAGATAAAAACCTCTTTTGTACCTTCTTCCTTGTCGTTTTCTTTGACTCATTTTTGTACCATTTTGTCGTCTTTTTGCTGCCGTTTTGTTTAATAGTAATTTATTTTTTCGACTTTTTTAACGCTTTTTTTGTCAGATTTTTAGGGACTTTTTTATCGCCTTTTTTTTGTCCATTTTTTAGTAGTCTCTTTATCATATTTTATGTCTTTCTTGATTCTCTTTTTATAACCGTAATTTTTTAGCACACTTTTTTTTTTACGTTTTTTTTTTGTTATCATGTTTCGTTGTTTTCGTTGTCGCTTTTTTTGCAGAATTTTATGGGCATTTTTCTCGTCCGTTTTCTCATTTTTTCCAAACTTTTTCACGATGTTAGTCGTTTTTTTGTCACGTTTTTTGTTGTTTTCTTTTACCTTTTTTCCCAATTTTTCTGTCGCCATTTATTTTCGAATTCTTATGTTTTTATCAGTTGTTGCTATTCTTTTTTTTCGTTCTTTTATTACCTGGTTTTCCCACTTTTTTGTCAGATTTTTGGGAATAGTTTGTCGCCTTTTCTATCGGTTTTTGTGGATTTTTTACGCAATTTTTCCTTTCGTTTTCTGCCTTTTTTTTCATATAAACAAAAATCGACAAAAAAGGCGATAAAAAACCATCGGTGTTTTTTTGTAGCCTTTGTCGTTTAACATCTTTGTTGTCGCTTATTTTTTCATCTTTTAGCGTTTTTTTGTTATGACATTTTTTTATCTTGTGTTTGTGGCGGTTTTCTTGTTGGGCTTTTTGCCATATTTTAAGGGTTATTATAAAAAAAAAAGATCCGCAGAATCGAAAATATAAATTTACATTAACTGTGTAACCAAACACCCTGTATATTTACAACTAATTATAAATCGCAGCCTAAATAGGTTCTATCAGACAGCGTTAAGGTATACAGTAATAATGCTATAATTCAAACCCGGAATAAATTTTATGAGATAACCTCATCTCTGATTTATTCATCTTGATACCCAACTAGGGCAAAAATTCTGTAACGAATAAATTAGTGTTTGTATTGTATTGTGTATTGTATTCCGGTGAAAATGTTTAAACCCTCGTTGCTGGGGGTAAAATTGGAACACGAGATAATAGACTACAAAAAAAAGAAATCAGACATTTGGAAAACAATCCTATTTCACGAGCTTATTTTTGTAAATAAATATTGATGTCCAAAATATTTCTAAATAACGACTATTCAGCTAAATATTTACCTTGTGTTATTTTGTATAGCATTCATTGCTCATACAAAATTCTATAACATACCGAACAACCATTAAACCGAACAACCCTTTAAACCAGTATTACAATAAATGGAACTGTTGCTCGTTTAATATCCACTTCCTGTTCCGCACACCTCCATCTCCCCGTTTATGAAACCATTAAATATATATTGAAACTTTATGTTTAACTAAACCCGTCGAATTAAACCCCAATTTATTTAGTATTTTCGTTTGCCGCCGGTGTTTGCCCCGGATAATCCATCCCGCACCCCCAAACCCCTATATGTCTTCGATCCGCATGCATTATTCATTATTGATTTTCGCCCGTCCACCCCCAACAAAACCTGCAGCCAAGCAAGATATCAACCTTCCAAAGAAACCCAATCTCAACTTCGCCCATGAATGAAGTTACGCTAGGAATTACGATCAAGGGCCGGAGCTGCTCCGGAGCCCGGATCAATAGAGGTGCGGGCGCCACCTGCCGCCGGGTCCGGCGTTCCCCAAATGGGCCAAGGTCGCGCAGTCCCAATTTCGCTGGCCTGGAGTCCTACTTCGCTCCCGGTTGAGCTTTCCGCAGGTTCCGAAGCAGCTTGATCTTCCCCAGGGGAACTCCTGGCACGTCACCCGGATTCTATTATATTAATGACACTTTTTGGGATGGGGATTTTTTCGCGCCAAACTTGGAAAGTTAATTAACTTGCTTTAATCTCTTTTTTTAATAAAAGAGCGTCTACGAAGTTTGTAAATGGAAAAAGCCGACTTACGGATTCATTAAGAGGCGATGATGGGGGCGGGGGGAGTGGGTGGGAGGTTCTCACGTCTCTTGAGCTGGATGGCAGATGAAAAGCAGATTTGGGCATGTGTGAGAAGCGAAAGTGGTCGTAGAAAAAAAAGAGCGTGTATTTTTTTTGAAAGGAGAGCAATTTTAGTGGTTTAATTTTCTCTGGCGTCTTCTCTGTTTCATTTTTCTTTTAATTTAGTAGAGAATTTAGGTTTCTCCTCTTCGTCTTCGAGTTTACCTATATTAAATATTCCTGTGTTGTCTATTCCTCTTCTCTGATTATAGTTAAATCTACTTCAATTAAAGTGTTATTTCCATTATTCATGTGCTAAACGCAATAAAACGGTTGCGACGCATTTGCGGTTAAATTTAGATAAAAAACAAACCCAAACGCATAAATTATGACTCAGTTTTAAAAACGAATCAAGATTGTTAGTGGTCTTATGTCCGACTAGTTGTGCATTTTGTGTTTTTTTAACTCATTTGTCGACAATGTTTCCGAAGTGCCCAAAAGCCAAATGTTGCCATAATTATTACTCCCAAGGTGTAGTCGTCTTCGCAATTTTTTTTTATCAAGTAAACACTTTTGTATTTATATTTATACTATTTGTTTTTATTTTATCCTTGTAGGTTTTAGGATGTGCGATGTTAGTATCTCTAGCTTTGCCATCTTCATCAGAAAAGCCATCGATCGCTTCTTACATTCTTTCAGCTGTTTCTGTTCTTCTGGGTCTTTGGCTGTCCGTAGCGGCTATTACGGTGAGTTTCACAGTTGACTTGACGACTAAATTTATGAATTTGAATTTCACTGATTAGGTTATGTTTTTAGCGCAAGAAAAATTTGGTATTGGCGGTGCTAATTGTGGGTGTTGTGAAGTTGGTTATAGGTGCGATTTATTTGTTGCTTCCTATTGAAAAAGAGGTGGGAATTTCGGATTTTGGTGCGAGTTGGCCCCTGCTTTTGCTCTTTTGTACGATGCAACATGGGATCTACTTGTATTATAAACAACTGAGAAATGACGAAATCTTTGCAAGAAATGAAGATATTCTCACTATTGAATAAATAAAATAACTGTTTTTAAAACTATTCTAGTGAATGATAAAGATATACAAAAAATTTGGCTATTTTTTACCTGATGTTTTCGTGTTCAATAAATTTTGGATGTTGTATCTGTAAATAAATCTATAAATAAATCACTCAAATGTAACTTATTAAAAGTTTTGAATCATCAGTTTCATATATTAAAATTTGGAAAACTAAAATTGATAAGTCGAAATATTGAAAAATCGGAATACTGTAAAGTTGAAAATTTTCAAATCGAGAAAGTGAATATCATGAAAAACTGAAAAATCAAAAAAAAGTTGGAAAAACTGAAAAACGAAATATTGAAACATCAAAACAATGATAAACAAAAAATATTGAAAAACAGGAAATTCAAAAATTCAGTCTCGAAAAAATAGACGAATTGAAAACTCAAAAAATTTCAAAACTGAAAAACTGAAAAATCTAAATATGGCAAAACTGATTTTCAAATCGGGAATTTGAATATAAGTATATAATAAAAGAAAATGTATCTGTATCATAATAGGCTTTCGTTATGAACATTTTTTTTGCATTCTATTTTCTTTTTTCTGTAGTCTTTTTTTTGGTTCCCTTTTGTGTTACCTTTGGCGGATTCTTATGGACTTTTTGATCGGCGATATTTTTTCTCGTTTTTTGTTGTTTCTTGCCCCTTTTGTCACCTTCTTTTCACCTTTCTCTTCTCACTTTTTTGTCACATTTTTGTGGACTTTTTTGTGGACGTTTTGTCATGTTTTTTGTAGCTCTGTTTCCCGTTATTTATTTAATTTTTTATAAATAAAGGAACAATGAAAAAAGGCGATAGACATTTTTTGTCCCTTTTTTGTCGGTTTTTTAACCATTTTTTATGTTGCATTTTTTGTGATTGGGCTGTCGCTTTTTTAACTTTTATCACCTTTTTTGCCTCTTTTTTATCAGATTTTTGTGTTTTTTTAAACGCCATTTTTGTATGATTTTAATAGACTTTTTGTCACATTTTGTTCTCGTTTCTTTTCTCTTTTTTTTGTCGTGATTTTTTTCCGTTTTTGCTTTTCAGAAAACGACAAAAAATGATCTATAATAAGCTGAAAAATAGAAACATTGTAAATCGAAAAATTGAAGATCGAGAAACTGAAATTTCAAAAACTGAAAAATCGAATAACTGAAAAAAGGAAACACTGAAAAATCCAAACAATGATAAATGAAACATATTAAAAAATATAAAATTCAAAAATTTGATCTCTAAAAACAGACAAATTAAATTGAAAACTTAAAAAATTTCAAAATTATAAAACTGCAACATTAAAAATTGAATATAAATAAAAATTGAAAAATAAAAGAAAATAAATTTTCTGAAAATAAGACACCAGAGATCAGAAGCCGTCAAAATTCATTCTTTCAGATTCTCCCAAAAAAGACACCAGAAGTTCCCAATATTTATTCAAATTTCTTAAATGACGTATCAGAAATTTAAGTGCAAAAATACGGAAATAAATTATTATTATTATTATTATTATTATTATTATTATTAAAAACGAATGGCATTAGCGGCTCCAAGATTAGTTCAAATTCCGTGAAAATAAGACACCAGGGGTTATTAAGATTATTTATTTTCCTCAAAAAGGACACCAAAAGTTTCCAAAATTTTTTCAAATTTCTTCAAAAAAAAAGACAGCAGGAACTCCGCGACTTGGTTCAAATTTCTTATAAAATAAGACATTAGGGCGTACCAAAATTATTTAAAATTAAGATGTTCGTAAAGATTTTGTCCAAATTTATTTAAAAAAAAGGAAACTATCAGGGGCTCCAAGACAAGTTTAAATTTCTTCAAAAATAAGACACTAGGGCCTATCAAGATTATTTAAAATTTCCTCAAAATAAGACACCAAAGAGTCCCAAAGATTTTTTTTCAGAAATTGAAAAATCGTATATTGACGTGTCTTATTAATACTGAAAAATTGGAAAATTGCAAAACCAAAATTTGTAAAATGAAAGCATCGAAAAGTTGGAAAGTTAAAAATTAAAATTTGAGAAATGAAAACTGATAAATCGGAAAATTGAAAAATAAAAATATGAAATCGAGATCTCTAAAAAATAGAGAAATTGAAAAATTGAAATACTGTAAGATTGGAACATGGCAAAAATTTCAAATTTAAGTACAAAAATTAAAAATACAGAAAGTGAAAATTGAAAAAACAAAAAATTAAAAAAACTGAAAAATCGATTAACTGAAGAAACGAAATGTTGAAAAATCATTGTTTGATAAACAAAAATATTGAAACATTTGGTCCCGAAAAAATAGACAAACTGAAAACTCAAAAAATTGCTAAATTATAAAACTGTATTGAAAAACTAGAACTGATAAACTGAAAAATTGAAAAATCGGAACATTGTAAAACCGAAAATTTTCAAATCGAGAAATTGAATATCAATGCAAATTTATCTGTATCATATTCACAATAGATTTTTGTTATTAACATTTTTTTGCCCTCCATTTTCTTTTTTTTGTCGCCTTTTTTGTTCCCTTTTGTGTTACCTATTTTTTTGTCTTCTTATGTCATTGTTTGTAGCCATTCCTTGTCGGATGTTTTTGGATTTTTTAATCGCATTTTTTGCCATTTTCTATGTCGTTTTTTGTTGTTTTTTCTTCTCACTTTTGTTGTCACGTTTTTGTAGACTTTTTTGTCGTTTTTTTGTGGACTGAACCGTGATTACTTAACCATGATTTTTCTAGTTGTTTCCGGATTTTTATTTATTTTTTATAAATAAAAAAGCGATGGAAGAATGTGATAAAAACTTTTTTGGTCGTTTTTTTACCAACATTTTTGAACCATTTTTTATGTTGCATTTTTTGTGACTGGGCTGTCGCTTTTTTATCTGTTTTATCGCCTTTTTTGTCTAGTTTTTGAACAGATTTTTGTGGATTTTTTGTCGCCATTTTGGTATGATTTTAGTGGATTTTTCTGTCACGTTTTTTCTTTTCTTATTTTGTAAATTTTCAACAATCTATAAGCTGAAAAGCAGAAAAAAAACATTGTAAATTGAAAAATTGAAAGAATACAAAAGAACTAAACACTGAAAAATCGAAACAATGATAAATGAAGAATATTAAAAAATTGAAAATTCAAAAATCTGGTCTCTAAAAGCAGACAAATTAAATTGAAAACTCAAAACGTTGTAAAATTATAAAACTGAAACAGTGTAAAATTGAAAATTTTTAAATCGGGAAATTGAATATAAATGAAAAATTGAAAAATATATTTTTTTTTAATTTCCTGAAAATAATAAATAAGAAAATAAGGCTCCCAAAGATTTTTTCCAAATCTTCCGAAAAATGAGACGTCAGGGGCCCTCAAGATTCTTACAAATTCTCCCAAAAAAAGACACCAAAAGTTACCCAAAATTTGTTCAAATTTCTTAAAAAAAAAGAAAGACAGCGGCTCCAAAATTAGTTCAAATTAAGATTAATTATTTTTCTCAAAAAATACACCAAAAGTTCCCACAAATTTTTACAAATTTCTGCAAAAATAAACACCAGGGATTCCCAATATTATATCAAATTTCTTAAAAAAAAAGACAGCAGAATCCTCGCGATTTGGTTCAAATTTCTTAAAAAATTAGTTAGGGGCTACCAAAATTAATTAAAATTTCCTCAAAATAAGGCACAAGATATTCCTAAAGATTTTGTCCAAATTCTTCAAAAAATTAACACCAGAAAGTACCCAAAGTTTGTCCATATTTCTTAAAAACGGAAAATATTAGGGGCTTCAAAACAAGTTTAAAATTCTTCAAAAATAAGACACTAAGGCCTATCAAGATTATTTAAAATTTCGTCAAAATAAGACACCAAAGGCTCCAAAAGATTTTTTTCTAATCCTTCAATAAATAAGACAATAATAAGAAAGGGGACATCAAAATTTTTATAAATTTTTCTCAGAAAAGGACACCAGAGGGTCCCTAAAGTTTGTTAAAATTTCAAAATATGAAAAATCGTAAATTAACGTGTCTTAATAATGAAAACTTGGAAAATTGCAAAACTAAAAATTGTAAAATGAAATCGCAAAATTGGAAAGTTAAAAATTCGAAATTGAGTAAATTTCAAAATTATAAACACGAAAGATTAAAATTTGAGAAACTGAAATTGTAAAATCGCAAAATTGAAAAATAAAAATATGAAATCGAGATCTCTAAACAATAGAGAAATTGAAAAACTGAAACATTGTAAGGTTCGAACATTTAAGAACAGAGAAATTGAAAAAAGTACAGAAAGTGAAAAATTGAAAAAACGAAAAATTAAAAAACCGAAAAATTGTAAAATTCATAACCGCAAAATCGAAGAACTGTGAATTGGAAAATTGAAGACAGGAACAATTGAAAAACTGAAAGATCGAGAAAAATAAAAAATCAAAAAAGAAAAACCGAAACTTTGAAAAATTGAAACATTGACAAATACAAAAATCGAAAAACAAAAAATAATTAATAATAATTTCAGAATCCGAGAAAATCGAGAAATTGAAAAATCGAAAAATTGTATCATTGAAACAGGGAAAAATTGAAAAATTGAAAAATCAAAAAATTCAGAAACTGAAAAATCCTGAAATTAACTTGTCTAAATATTGAAAAATTGGAAATCCACGAAATTAAAAAATTGTAAAATCAAAAAATTGTAATATGAAAGTATCGAAAAATTGAAGAGTTAAAACTTACGAAGTTGAAAATCAAGAAAACGAAATTAAAATTGATAAAACGAAAAATTAAAAAATAAACATACATATGAAATTCAAGATATCGAAAAATAGAGAAATTTAAAAATTGAAATATTGTAACATTGAAACATTGCAAAAATAAAAAATTTAAGGGCAAAGAAAACGAAAAATTGAAAATTGAGAAATTAAAACCAATAAAAATGGAAAAACTGAAAAATAAAAATATGAAATTTGAGAACTCGAAAAAATAGAGAAACTGAAAAATTGAAATATTGTAGCACTGAAAGATTCCAAAACTTGAAAATTTAAAATTGAAAAATTATAAACTCGAAAAACTGTAAGTCGAAAAATTGATGAAATAA